ATTTGAAAGGTGGTCTGAAAAATGGGTCTTAAGGAGCCAGGACAATTTTTCAAAATCATCGACTGTTGTCTATATAAGGATGACTAAAGCACAGGGTTTTCTAGAGCTTGATTTGAAAGGAGGTCTGAAATATGGGTCTTAAGGTGCTAGGACAATTTTTTTAAATCATCGACTGTTGTCCATATAAGGATAAATAAAGCACAGGGGTTTCTAGTTCTAGAGCTTGATTTGAAAGGTGGTCTGAAAGATGGGTCTTAAGGAGCCAGGACAATTTTTCAAAATCATCGACTGTTGTCTATATAAGGATAACTAAAGCACAGGGGTTTCTAGAGCTTGATTTGAAAGGTGGTCTGAAATATGGGTCTTAAGGAGCCAGGACAATTTTTCAAAATCATCGACTGTTGTCTATATAAGGATAAATAAAGCACAGGGTTTTCTAGAGCTTGATTTGAAAGGTGGTCTGAAATATGGGTCTTAAGGAGCCAGGACAATTTTTCAAAATCATCGACTGTTGTCTATATAAGGATAACTAAAGCACAGGGGTTTCTAGAGCTTGATTTGAAAGGTGGTCTGAAATATGGGTCTTAAGGAGTCAGGACAATTTTTCAAAATCATCGACTGTTGTCTATATAAGGATAAATAAAGTACAGGGTTTTCTAGAGCTTGATTTGAAAGGTGGTCTGAAATATGGGTCTTAAGGAGCCAGGACAATTTTTCAAAATCATCGACTGTTGTCTATATAAGGATGACTAAAGCTCGGGGTTTCTAGAGCTTGATTTGAAAGGTGGTCTGAAATATGGGTCTTAAGGAGTCAGGACAATTTTTCAAAATCATCGACTGTTGTCAATATAAGGATAAATAAAGCACAGGGGTTTCTAGAGCTTGTTTTGCAAGGAGGTCTGAAATATGGGTCTTAAGGAGCCAGGTCAATTTTTCAAAATCATCGACTGTTGTCTATATAAGGAAAATTAAAGCACAGGGGTTTCTAGAGCTTGATTTGAAAGGTGGTCTGAAATATGGGTCTTAAGGAGCCAGGACAATTTTTCAAAATCATCGACTGTTGTCTATATAAGGATAACTAAAGCACAGGGGTTTTTAGAGCTTGATTTGAAAGGTGGTCTGAAATATGGGTCTTAAGGAGCCAGGACAATTTTTCAAAATCATCGACTGTTGTCTATATAAGGAAAACTAAAGCACAGGGGTTTCTAGAGCTTGATTTGAAAGGTGGTCAGAAATATGGGTCTTAAGGAGCCAGGACAATTTTTCAAAATCATCGACTGTTGTCTATATAAGGATAAATAAAGCACAGGGTTTTCTAGAGCTTGATTTGAAAGGAGGTCTGAAATATGGGTCTTAAGGTGCTAGGACAATTTTTTTAAATCATCGACTGTTGTCTATATAAGGATAAATAAAGCACAGGGGTTTCTAGATCTTGATTTGAAAGGTGGTCTGAAAAATGGGTCTTAAGGAGCCATGACAATTTTTCAAAATCATCGACTGTTTTCTATATTTGGATGACTAAAGCTCGGGGTTTCTAGAGCATGATTTGAAAGGTGGTCTGTAATATGGGTCTTAAGGAGCCAGGACAATTTTTCAAAATCATCGACTGTTGTCTATATAAGGATGACTAAAGCACAGGGGTTTCTAGAGCTTGATTTGAATGGAGGTCTGAAATATGGGTCTTAAGGAGCCAGGACAATTTTTCAAAATCATCGACTGTTTTCTATATATGGATGACTAAAGCTCGGGGTTTCTAGAGCTTGATTTGAAAGGTGGTCTGAAAAATGGGACTTAAGGAGCCAGGACAATTTTTCAAAATCATCGACTGTTGTCTATATAAGGATGACTAAAGCACAGGGTTTTCTAGAGCTTGATTTGAAAGGAGGTCTGAAATATGGGTCTTAAGGTGCTAGGACAATTTTTTTAATTCATCGACTGTTGTCCATATAAGGATAAATAAAGCACAGGGTTTTCTAGAGCTTGATTTGAAAGGTGGTCTGAAATATGGGTCTTACGGAGCCAGGACAATTTTTCAAAATCATCGACTGTTGTCTATATAAGGATAACTAAAGCACAGGGGTTTCTAGAGCTTGATTTGAAAGGTGGTCTGAAATATGGGTCTTAAGGAGCCAGGACAATTTTTCAAAATCATCGACTCTTGTCTATATAAGGATAAATAAAGCACAGGGTTTTCTAGAGCTTGTTTTGAAAGGAGGTCTAAAATATGGGTCTTAAGGAGCCAGGACAATTTTTCAAAATCATCGACTGTTGTCTATATAAGGATAACTAAAGCACAGGGGTTTCTAGAGCTTGATTTGAAAGGTGGTCTGGAATATGGGTCTTAAGGAGTCAGGACAATTTTTCAAAATCATCGACTGTTGTCTATATAAGGATAAATAAAGCACAGGGTTTTCTAGAGCTTGATTTGAAAGATGATCTGAAATATGGGTCTTAAGGAGCCAGGACAATTTTTCAAAATTATCGACTGTTGTCTATATAAGGATAAATAAAGCACAGGGGTTTCTAGAGCTTGATTTGAAAGGTGGTCTGAAATATGGGTCTTAAGGAGCCAGGACAATTTTTCAAAATCATCGACTGTTGTCTATATAAGGATAAATAAAGCACAGGGTTTTCTAGAGCTTGATTTGAAAGGAGGTCTGAAATATGGGTCTTAAGGTGCTAGGACAATTTTTTTAAATCATCGACTGTTGTCTATATAAGGATAAATAAAGCACAGGGGTTTCTAGATCTTGATTTGAAAGGTGGTCTGAAAAATGGGTCTTAAGGAGCCATGACAATTTTTCAAAATCATCGACTGTTTTCTATATTTGGATGACTAAAGCTCGGGGTTTCTAGAGCATGATTTGAAAGGTGGTCTGTAATATGGGTCTTAAGGAGCCAGGACAATTTTTCAAAATCATCGACTGTTGTCTATATAAGGATGACTAAAGCACAGGGGTTTCTAGAGCTTGATTTGAATGGAGGTCTGAAATATGGGTCTTAAGGAGCCAGGACAATTTTTCAAAATCATCGACTGTTTTCTATATATGGATGACTAAAGCTCGGGGTTTCTAGAGCTTGATTTGAAAGGTGGTCTGAAAAATGGGACTTAAGGAGCCAGGACAATTTTTCAAAATCATCGACTGTTGTCTATATAAGGATGACTAAAGCACAGGGTTTTCTAGAGCTTGATTTGAAAGGAGGTCTGAAATATGGGTCTTAAGGTGCTAGGACAATTTTTTTAATTCATCGACTGTTGTCCATATAAGGATAAATAAAGCACAGGGTTTTCTAGAGCTTGATTTGAAAGGTGGTCTGAAATATGGGTCTTACGGAGCCAGGACAATTTTTCAAAATCATCGACTGTTGTCTATATAAGGATAACTAAAGCACAGGGGTTTCTAGAGCTTGATTTGAAAGGTGGTCTGAAATATGGGTCTTAAGGAGCCAGGACAATTTTTCAAAATCATCGACTCTTGTCTATATAAGGATAAATAAAGCACAGGGTTTTCTAGAGCTTGTTTTGAAAGGAGGTCTAAAATATGGGTCTTAAGGAGCCAGGACAATTTTTCAAAATCATCGACTGTTGTCTATATAAGGATAACTAAAGCACAGGGGTTTCTAGAGCTTGATTTGAAAGGTGGTCTGGAATATGGGTCTTAAGGAGTCAGGACAATTTTTCAAAATCATCGACTGTTGTCTATATAAGGATAAATAAAGCACAGGGTTTTCTAGAGCTTGATTTGAAAGATGATCTGAAATATGGGTCTTAAGGAGCCAGGACAATTTTTCAAAATTATCGACTGTTGTCTATATAAGGATAAATAAAGCACAGGGGTTTCTAGAGCTTGATTTGAAAGGTGGTCTGAAATATGGGTCTTAAGGAGCCAGGACAATTTTTCAAAATCATCGACTGTTGTCTATATAAGGATAAATAAAGCACAGGGTTTTCTAGAGCTTGATTTGAAAGGAGGTCTGAAATATGGGTCTTAAGGTGCTAGGACAATTTTTTTAAATCATCGACTGTTGTCTATATAAGGATAAATAAAGCACAGGGGTTTCTAGAGCTTGATTTGAAAGGTGGTCTGAAAAATGGGTCTTAAGGAGCAAGGACAATTTTTCAAAATCATCGACTGTTGTCTATATAAGGATGACTAAAGCACAGGGTTTTCTAGAGCTTGATTTGAAAGGAGGTCTGAAATATGGGTCTTAAGGTGCTAGGACAATTTTTTTAAATCATTGACTGTTGTCCATATAAGGATAAATAAAGCACAGGGGTTTCTAGAGCTTGATTTGAAAGGTGGTCTGAAATATGGGTCTTACGGAGCCAGGACAATTTTTCAAAATCATCGACTGTTGTCTTTATAAGGATAACTAAAGCACAGGGGTTTCTAGAGCTTGATTTGAAAGGTGGTCTGAAATATGGGTCTTAAGGAGCCAGGACAATTTTTCAAAATCATCGACTCTTGTCTATATAAGGATAAATAAAGCACAGGGTTTTCTAGAGCTTGATTTGAAAGGAGGTCTGAAGTATGGGTCTTAAGGAGCCGGGACAATTTTTCAAAATCATCGACTGTTGTCTATATAAGGATGACTAAAGCACAGGGGTTTCTAGAGCTTGATTTGAAAGGTGGTCTGAAATATGGGTCTTAAGGTGCTAGGACAATTTTTTAAAATCATCGTCTGTTGTCTATATAAGGATTAATAAAGCACAGGGGTTTCTAGAGCTTGATTTGAAAGGTGGTCTGAAATATGGGTCTTAAGGAGCCAGGACAATTTTTCAAAATCATCGACTGTTGTCTATATAAGGATAAATAAAGCACAGGGGTTTCTAGAGCTTCATTTGAAAGGTGGTCTGAAATATGGGTCTTAAGGAGCCAGGACAATTTTTCAAAATCATCGACTGTTGTCTATATAAGGTATAACGAATTTTAATTAATTTCCAAAATTAATATTAAATTCTCATGTGATATTATTTTCAATAATCCCTTCCTTTTCCTTTTACACAAATAATAAATAACGCGTGTGCGGCGAGCAAGTTAAAGAAGAGAGAGAGCGAGCGAGCAGCAGGCAGCGAGTGATAAGAACAATGAAGGTCATTGACTCCCTCCTTCGCTGCAGCCGGTCAAAGTGCAACGCTTGCCACCATACAGGTAAACCGGGGAAGAGCACGGTGCTCTTATGCGAATCAAATCAGTCTCGCCCAGCCAAATTCAACGGGGCCGCCTCGCGCCGTGGTACCGGCGAGGCGAGAGCTCAAACTTTCACCCTTTTGGGGTGGATTTAATTTGCATCTGGTCTGTGGACCGACAGAGTAAGTTACTCTAAAATTCTTGGTTTAATCGGGCGATTAATAATCAAGAGCAACCTTCTGATTGCTCAAATCAAATTTCTTCGGGCAGGGTTTTATTCTTAAATTAAAGACTGGTTTGATTGCGCACCCTAGGTTTGCCCTGGTGGGCGGTCACCCCTGGACGGACTTGCTTCCTGAGTCCATGGCCGCCACCAGAGCCGTGTCCCTGGCGTCGTAAGGGACAGGCGGACAGGTCCCACGTCACCTTCGACCTGACCGCGTGGCTTCACCATCCAGCCACCCAGACCGGCAGCCATCGTGCCAATTCGATCGACTCGAGCAACAACTCGCCGCGACCATCACCTCCGATCACTCCGCACCATCAAGACAACGAACTCGATAAGTACAATTTGCGAGTGCAACTTCAGTGATATAATACGAAACGCGTAAAAGGCCTATTTCATAATATTTGTATATTAATCATGTGAAACACATTTTCCTTACCTAATCCATATTACCTCATTTGAATATCACATTTTTTCTATTTTCAAAATAACCAAAACTTTCATTAAAATTTAATCAAAAAATAATAAGTTTCAAATTGAGTTTTTCCTAAAATTAAATTATCTGCATTTTATTTGTGTGCTTTCAACCCTCTCACAAGTTTAAAAAAGGTCTACCTGCACCTTGAGATAAGAAGCCGAGGTTAAAATAAATAACGGATTAAAGTTAACTTTTTAATCGTTATAAAGGATAAATAAAGCACAGGGGTTTCTAGAGCTTGATTTGAAGTGTGGTCTGAAATATGGGTCTTAAGGAGCCAGGACAATTTTTCAAAATCATCGTCTGTTTCTATATAAGGATAAATAAAGCACAGGGGTTTCTAGAGCTTGATTTGTAAGGAGGTCTGTAATTTGAAAGGTCTGTATTAAAAGATATGCTATTCAGTTGGCAATTTGATATGCTTTCACAAAACAAATACTCATTAGTCGTTTCGTGCTGGTCTCTGATTTAGGATTAAATGTGAAATCATAAAAATGGTGTTAATTGAACACTCTAATGATTCGTGATTTGCTTCAAATTAAACAAGGAGTTATTAAATATTTAATATTAATAAAACTGGAAAATCCTCTCGAATATTCTCTCATATCTTGTTCCAAAAATATAAAATTTATAAAAAAACTATACTAACTATAACTTTTGTCAAAATTAAAAAAAAAAATCACCCAAAATTTTGCAAATTTTGTATAAAATATCACTTCCAATTTTAAAGGGATAATTTACAAACTCTTTCCTAATTTATCCACGAAATTGCGAAAAGCCGTGAAGTCTGGGAAGAAATTGAGCCAGACGCTTCTTTGCGTCGCCAAACAAAAGGCGTGCGTCTCTATATTTATGGAAACCAAACAAAGGCTCCAACTTGCGAAGAGATGCTGTAGATTCTCCGGGGCCGAGATCTCGTTACAAGCAATGCGTTGTTGAGAGAGATTATTCTGGGATGAGATTCGCCTCGCCGTTCTGAGACGGGAGAAGAAGAGTCGAGTGCCGTCGGTCGGGCAAGAAAATTTATTGTTCTCAATTTTTCTCTGTGCCTTGCGGAGAGATTGAGAGCTTCTCTGGCTGAAGCATCGGCGGTGCAATTAGTCAAATCGGGTAAAAGGCACGACCGCGAGCGGCAAAAGGAAATTTCCCCGTTTTTTTGCTTGACCTAGAAAATTTTAATATCTTACATACGTACAATAGCAGATTTGTTTTGTTACCTATCATTTTTACTTTTAAAAATTCTAAACTATTTGAAATAAGATGGCCAGAAACGAGATATAAAACATAATATCTGATCTAAAAATTCATATATTTGTAAGGTTTACAAGTCAATCAAGTTTGAATAATTTTTTCTGGAAAAACAATTTGGCATAGAAAGGTTTGATTTCTTTCAAACTTTATCAGATTAATGTTATTATTCGCTTTTCATAAAATTGTTTGACCTGAATTCTTCAATTAAATTTTACTTTAAATTTTAAAAAAGCCAATTTAATATTCAGTCTGATAAAATTTAAATTATTTATCTCGCCTCTCCTTTGTAATGGGATCCTCAGCAAAATTGATTGCATATCTAAAACATTTTGAGCTTGGTTTCCTCTTGTATCTAATTTAGTTTAATTTGACATTTCGTATCATGGAATCCAAGCAAATTGTTTCCGAGGCAAATTGCTCAGTCTCAAAATAACAAAGGAAGGTGAGGCAGGAAAGGAAAGTCGCGCAGTGCTGACGGAGATTAGAGAAGATTTGGGCGAATGATAATTAGCTAGCAGGGGTTGCGCTCGCCCTTGGTGGGCTTGACTGCCTAATAATCCTCTCAGCATGCATCTTGTCAAACAGCGGCCTCCCGTCGACGCAGGGCATATCGATTGATTCGCTTCTTGCTGGACTTTGATTGAGTGCGCGGGCGGGCGCACCGAAATTGCCCCGGGCCTCTTCCATCATCGCAAAGCCCGGAAAGAAAAAATTAGGACAGTTTTGTCGCGTTTTTCTCTCTTCAATAAAGGCAGCATGGCTCGGTGCGTTTTCTTCCAATGCGGAAAACCAGGAGAGAAAGTTTCTTTTAATTAAGAGGAGAGTTGAGAAATATAATGAAGTTTTGTTGCGATTTTGTTGCAGGATATCTAGAGCAAGGCCTGATGGTGCGGGACACTGGCAAGCTGAGAAAGAACTACTTGAAGTCTTTCCGCTTTAAGGTCTGAAATTTACAAATCCACGTTTCACAGAAATGGAAAGAATTTCATATTATTTCTTAAACTCTTTCAATTTAATGGATATTTCCTATGTCGTTAGTTTTGACTTAATTGTTTTGGCTTTTAAATTATGATATTTTTCAACCAACTCATTTTTCTATTACAAGACACGGATTTTGTTTCATGTATTTTTTTCATAAGAAATGCAAACTTTTTCTCATTAAAAAAAAAAAAATACCACATTATTTCTCGTTTTTAAATTAACTGGATGCATTCTGATATTTTTTTATTTAGAGATGTTTTTTTAAAAATTATTTAATTTCCAAAAATTCGACCAGTGTGAAATTTGATTGTTATTTGATGGCAAATTTATTTACTGTGGAACGCAGATGGACACGTTGAGCGTGCTGCCGACGGACCTGCTGTACATGGTGTTGCTGCGGTCGGCGGTGATGGCGCCGACGACCGCCGCCTCCGCCGCCTCCAACTCAAGTGACCTTCTCGGCGACCTGGTCGCCGGTAGTCCGGCGCCGCCGTTCAGGCCTTGCGGCGCCGGGCCCCACGTGCCGTGCCCGGTGATTGTGCGGCTCAACCGACTGATGCGCATACCGCGGCTGCTCGAGTTCTTCGACCGCACCGAAACCAGGACCAGCTACCCCAACGTCTGTCGCATTCTCAAGGTCAGTTCTTTCACACCAAAACAATTACTGAGTGATAAACCATTCTAGGTTTTTTACTACGCTTTGTTTTGATCCAAAACCGACAAATCTTTCAAACTGCGTCACCAATTTGTGCTCCTAAATTGAAGAGATCACAAAAATTTGCAAAATTAAAATCCTTCTTATTATTAATAATCATTAATAATTATTTTTTTTAATAATTTCCTTTAAATCTATCATCTTTATATCACTTCATGTGTCTATGCCTCTATAAATTAACAACTCCTTTGAAATATAGGCGTCCACATTTCCCAAGCGGTTAATTTTGAAAACTGGAAAACACATCAAACTTTATTGTTTATTTGTGTTACAAAAATAACAATTTTAATTCCATTGAATAAAACGTTTACTGAAAGCATGAAACATTTTCCGATATTTCGATCTGGCAAGGATCAATTTTTATTTTAATATCGAGTATAAATGGATGCTATTATAAAAATTAACTCTAATTATAATAATTGAAAATAATAATATTTCATGTATATAAGGGAAAATTTGTTTGCTTACAGAAAAAAAATTCGCGCTCATCCAACAGTAATTCAAAGTAAATTCTCAAAATATGATTTTTTTTGCATTAATTCTTTTACTTGTTAATAAATTCTAGAAACTTATAAGAAATTAACAAATAATTAAATCATAAAAAAATCAATATTGGGATAAAAATATCTTTTAGAGCTTTTCGATGGTATTAATGCGTATGTACTATACTTTTAACATCTAATCTCTGATCTTTCCTGATTGCAAGATGAACACTTAATTTGTGCGGTCAGCATTATTTCCGTGACGCCTTCACAGATCAAGAGTGTTTAAAACTGCTGACGGAAAGGCGAGTCGCGTTGTGTTCTCCTATTTCTCTCACGTTTCCCTCCGACTGCTTTCGTCGTAATCGGATTTGCCGCGAGTGCTTTGCCCATCTGACAGCACGCGAGTTTTCCAATTAGCAGTTGTAACTTTTCGCATCCGAGACGTGACGCGCGATGCTCTATTCCAGCGAGCGGCGAGACATAATTAATTATCGCCGGCAATTGCGTATGAATGAGTGTGACTGGCGTCTGGCCCTCTCCGTAGGGACCACCACTATGTACACGAGACCCTCTCGCAAATAACCTTCCTCTCTCGGGGGAGCCGAGCAAGAACCGCCGTTGTTTCGCGAGAAAGACGAGCAGTTTAAATATTTAACCCTCTCTCTCTCTCTCAGAGCAAAGAAAGAGACCTTCCCCCATTCCTTCTCAGAAGCAGAGCAAACTGGGGCACCCACTTCATTTAGGCGATTAACCTTAAGCGGAATTTCATCGCTTTGCCAACACGCTTAAAATTTAATTATATTCATGAAGAGCGACAAAATTTTAGACATTATTTCTTCTAATTCAGAGATTAATTTTGTTGTTTATTTATCATTTTTTTTTTTTTTTAATCTACATTTCTCACCAATTTATTTTATTTTGATTAATTTATTATGAAATAACATACATTACATGACATTATAGGTAGTCCACGATTGAAGTTCGCGCGAACGAACTTCGCTGAGCGAACAGGGAACTTCGCGCGAACTTTTTTTTCGTTCGCTTGAAGCGTCCACGATTGAAATACAATATTCGCGCGAAGTTACGTCACTAATACGTCACAAGTACCTAATAAATAAATTGATTTAAATTTAAAAAATTTAAATTTATCTTGTTAAGTTAAAAAATACTATATATTTGAGAATTGACCAAAAAATTTAATTGAAAATTCAGCAAAAAAAATGTAAATAAATAAAAATAAAATATTTAATTTTCATGCGTTTTTTTATAGTAATTTACAAGAGTACTATAAAATCTATAAAATGTCAATAATTTTAATATTAAATTTTTTCCAATGGTTACAAAACATCTAAAATATTGAAAATTAATCAATTGTTGGGAGGAAAATATTGAATTATTAAGGCACCACCACCACAAAGAATTTAGCTAAAACTTCCATCCACCACAATGAGTCCACTTAGAAATTAGAAAAATAATTATTCATCAAATTTTTAAAACGATTTTCTCAATACAATAGAATTGATATTAATAAAAATTGCAAATTTAAAACAGCGACGATAGACATTTTAGATTAATTAGCTTTCGTTTCAATTTCTTAAAAATAGTTTAGGGTAATGTAGAATTAAATTAATTTTATAATCTCAATTGATCAATCTAATTAAATATATCAATGTATCAATATATTTAAAACAAAACTTTCTTGTCTTTAAAACAATTAAGTTAATTTCTATGAAAATGAAGTTATAAGGTACCAAAAATGTAATCAAAATATATTGAAATGAGATAAATAAATTAATTAATTTAGCTTTAAAATTAAAATTTTCCTGTAAAATAAAAAAAAACGGAATTGAGATCTGGCAAAAAATCTAAATAAGTAAATTAAAAAAAAAACTTCATGAGCTTTTTTATTATTTTAATTTTTATGAAAAGCACGCATGCGCAAGATTTTTCGCTCGACGCGGGTCTGGCGAAGTTCGCCAGAGTAGAGCTCGATTCAACTCCAGCGAACTTCGCGCGAGTCGCGCGAACTGAGAAATTTCGCCCAGCGAACTGATCGTGGACGCTTTATGGGCCACACATGTTATTAACTTTGTTCGTTCGCGCGACTTTTCAATCGTGGACTACCTATTACATGTGATTACATTCCATAATACAATAAAGAACAATAATAATAATAATAATCAGTCAGAATAGTGAAAATTGTATAATTTAGATGGTGAAATTTCACTGACTACCAATGCAGGGTAATTGTAGTTTTAATATTAATTTAAATTGATATTAACAAATAATTTAGAATTGCACTATTAATTATTTTATGGTAAATATCCGTTTCTTTTAAACAAATAAAATTTTAAGCCAACAATTTTTGTAACAATTTGACAAGTAATAAACAATGGCATTAAAGAAATTGAAATTAATAAAATAATTCTAAATCTGCGGTTAGTTTTGCGATGAAATTATATAACAACGTTAATTCACGACCATTTACACTCAATGACATTTCCTTTTTCACTTAATAAATTGAGCCTTTTGAATGACTGACGCAGGTGGTGCTCTTCATTCTGCTCATCATCCACTGGAACGCGTGCATTTACTTCGCCATCAGCTACGCAGTCGGATTTGGCACCGACCACTGGGTTTACAACATCACCGGCACAAGAAATTCGTCCCTTTCCAGGCAGTATATCTACAGGTGAGCCGTAAAATAAAGCAGTTGGACGCCCCGGCACGAAGCTGATTGTAATTCAGTCCGCCTGGCCGTAAATTATACCAAAAATTTCTCATTTGGCTCCCCCGCAACACTCGCCCACCTCTTTTTGTCGTTTTCACGTCCTGAAAAAAATTTAATATCATTTTTATTGCTTTTATTTATATATCAACCCTCTTGCATTTGAAATATTTTTATTTGAGAAAAGGTTTTTATGGAAAAAGTTTTATATTATCTTTCGCAAAAATAATTTTGAGTGACTAAAAAACTATATGAGAAGTCAATTATATTAATAATTTGACTCAAGTTTACAAAATTAAAAAAAAGTAATTTCCAATTTGTTATTTTTGTCATTGTTTATAAAATAAAAAAATTCTACATCACGCATTTTTGTTTTCATTAGTGCAATGAAATTATTTTATAAAATGCAAAATTTTAACCAATTATCAAACAATATTTTTTGCAGTTTTTATTGGTCCACCCTAACGTTAACAACGATTGGTGAAACACCGCAGCCGGAAACGGACGCCGAGTACCTTTTCGTGGTGATCGACTTTCTGGCCGGAGTGCTGATTTTCGCCACCATCGTCGGCAACATCGGCAGCATGATCACCAACATGAACGCGGCCAGGGTCGAGTTTCAGAACCGCATGGACGGCATCAAGCAGTACATGGCTTTCAGGTGAGACCAAATTTGAATTTCTCAAAAGGGACCCATAATTTTTAAAATTTTGCTCCATTTTCATCAATAATTTGTTTTTTTCTTGTATCCTAATTTTCTAAGAAAAAATCTTAAATTTTCCTTAAAAAGTACACTACTACTTTTGTTGGTTCGAACTAAAATTATTTAAATTATATTGATTTGTTTTGTATTTAAATATTTTAATTGATTCTTGAAAGCCATCGATTCGCTGAAATTTCCTATATTTGCAGCATCCCCTCTCTCTCCATCAGCGAAATTAATGTTCAAATGAACAATCCGCATGGTTGGTGACGAAAGATTAGCTCTAACCGCGTTTGAGTTGATATTTCGTTCAATCGAAACGTGCGAGTTACACAATGTAATTGGTTGTGCACTGAATGAACAACTGGCATAAGATAATTCTAACAAATGGATCAAGTTGAAAGGCAGAATACGTCGTCGCTTTCAACTGAGTGAACAATCCCACAGATTATATATAGTGATGAAATATTAATCATTCAGAGGAGAAACACAGTAAGAAACACTGGAGAAACTCGCAAATCATTATCTCAAATTAAATCCAAATCTATCAATAATTAAAGTTAGAAGATAAATTTCATTTTTTTAGATATGATTAATTATATATATTTGAAAATAATTACCGCTATTTCTTTATTATAAGTCGCCGTTTTGTTCAGTTTTGTTGAACAATTTTGCTGTATATTTGTCAAAATTTTAAGAAAATTGTAGAATTGAAAATAAAAAGAAAATTAGCGAAGTAAATTATAAAGTATTGATTGTAGCGTAAAATAATATCTATTCTTCAACCTTCTCTTGCCAGAAAATTGATCAGTTTTGATAAAAAGTTTAAGATCACAATTTTCAATGTTTCGATATTTTTTATCAATTCTCAAAACTTTTCCAACACGTCCCGTAAGTTAAATTTGATTTGCTCCTTGTGCGTAGTAAAACCTAAAAAATTTAAGGAAATTAATTCCTCTCATACCGAACGAGGCCAAGGTGGAAAAATTGTAACAAAGGAGACATTTTTGAGGGCGAGGCTTTTTCACTCTGTTAAATTACAGCATATCAATTTTTGCTCCTCGTGCACGCACTCCAACTTTTTTGTCCATACGCTTTGATCCGCGCTCTTGGCGGGAGGCCTCGCGAATTTAAGAGGCCAAGTATTGATCAGCATCAGGGCAAGAGACCCTCCGCCGCACCACGATTTGGTTTATCGCCAATTTCAATTTCTCTCGCCACCTCTTTAATTCTGACCAAGATCGGAAACTTCAAAACAAATTCTTTGCTCGTCGGCTCGGATCCTATAATTGAAACTCTCGCATTTCAATTGGGGGAATTATTATTATGTAACTTGGCTCTGTGTGTTTCACGCATCAACATGATGGCAGCGTCGCTTGATGAATGGTGCTCGCTGGGTCGGTTGCCATGGCGACCGCGAAATCCGCCGCGACGAACAAAACATGACTTCGGGAAAAACAGCTCATTGGAAATTTTCTCGTTAATACGACCAGCGGCCCATTGACAGCCTTTTATGGCTTATCTTTTCTGTCGCTAAATTTTCCTTTGGAAATAAAATGGGTTTTCCATTCAAGTCATGCAACCTTCCTTTGACCTCCCTTTAAACCAGAAAACTTATATTCTCAATTGTAATAAAATTTGAATTTCCTCCAACACAAGGCTCAAATTTGTATTGAAAAAGTGCAAAAATGTCTTCATGAAATTTTCAAATGATTGATTGCAAATTGAGAATTATTTTATTAAACCTAGTGAATAACATGCTGAATTTATTCACATGACTGTTAGTTTTATTTGCCTTTAATTCAAATAATATTTCGTCAAAAGTCAACCAAGTTCATTACGGCGGATGGGATCTTAATGGTCTCTGATGTTTTAGCAAAATTCCTTTTCGTTCTTAAGTTGAAAGAATAAACAAAAATAATTGTAAATAAATAGAATAAAGAATATGAAAAATTAGGAAATTACTTCTCTCCGCTTTTCTCTCTCCTCTTATTCAGAAAAATGTGATTTGTTTAACAATTTCACAATTTTGTTATTTTCCGATAGAGTTTTCTGAAACCTTTGCATTCCACCCCTCGGGCTAATTCGAACGGAAGCTCCGACCCACGCATGAACCAAAAGTGAATGGTTTGGCCGCGCCGCGCCGAGGTGAATGGAATAGGCCCTCATTCATAAGGGACGGAAACAACCCCCGCAGGCAGGGCAGGCATTAAATAAAACTCTTCGTGCTTTTCTATTTTTTTGGCAGCGGATATGATTGAAAGTCTGACGGCTTTTTGCTTTTCACGCGTGCGGCAGCTGCCGGACTTGATTGGTTTTTGTGATGGCGCTCATTATTTTTTTGCGTGTGAATGGAATACGGTTTTACTCTCGTTCCATGCAGTATCGGCAGAAATCATTTTCCACATATATGCACACTTCGGTCTGCGCTGGATTCTCTGTTGGTGGCCAAAATCATGGTGGGACTTTTAAAATTTCACATGAAAATTAAAGTTTACTTCTTAAATTTCTTTTCAAATAAATATACTTTATTAAAAAAAAAAAAGCACTTGTGGACTGATCATGTCACAAAAATTGGATGGAAATTTTTTAATTTAATTTTTTTTGTCACTCTCAACAAAATGTATAATTATTATATAAAAAAAATTATAATTAATTCAATTCAATTCATTTATTTTCTCGCAACAAGTCAAACAAAAACAACTAATTATTTGAAAAAAAAATATTAATTAACGAAATTCTCTTTTAATGTCGGGCGTTGTAGCTGACATCTGCAAGTTGTAAACCCTTTCTGCTCTTTTTCTCCCAATTTAAAATTTTGTATTCACCGGGAAGAATAAAATTATTTTTCACAAAACTACTTCATCTCCCTTTTAGCAACTTAAAATTTTTGTATTGACCAAGAAGAATAGTTAATAATAAATAACATAATAATAACATAATAACTGTGCAATTTTGTAAGTTATTTAATAATTTATTTATCTTGTTCACCTGGTGTGTTATCTCTTGTTTTTTGAATAACATAAAAGGCCTCAAAAATATTTTATAATTTAGCTTTAATTATTTAATTTAACTCCAGTATAAACCCTTTTTCTTTTCACAATATGGATAATAAATTAAAAAAGTATTTTATATTTAATTAAAAGATCTTTTTCACAAATATTTTAGAAATCTTTAATGAGCTTTCATTCAAATTCATTTTTTTTTCTTTTTCATACAATTTTTTTTAAAAATTTCTAACTTTTCTCACAACATTAGAACAGTAAAATACATAAGAATATGATCCACCTCAATATTCCTGAAGTACATTTCGGTTTGAAAGTGGGAAAAGATCTCGTTCACAATAGCAACTTAATTATGCATTCTGGCGTGGGTTTCGAGAGCGGTTTATTTTGAACGCGCACGACTTTTCGCACCCCCAAATAAAACGGGAGCTGCGTGGTGCGCGTATTTCCATGATTGCATTTTTGCGGCATCGGTTTTCCTCTCGGCGAGGGTGCGGCGCCAGCGTGTAACTTCATTTCCCACATATAATCCACGCTCAACCCCTTTTCTGTGAAAAATTCCATTTGCAACAGAGCACAACCGACTGCTTTAATCCCCTGACGTTTTCTTTCAGAATTTCACAGCGCAAATTTGGCTCGCATCCTTCCTTCCTTATTTCTTCTTTCTTTTAACGCTCCGGGAAATATACAAAAGATATTTCAGACGGAAACATCCGTCGGGCAAAGCTTTTTGCGCGGATTGTCAAAAAATACGAGACCTTTTCCATAAAAATCTGTTCCGCCAACAGATCGTCCCTTTATTTCATCCGCCTCGGCTTTTATTGCTCTCCCTCGGATTTCAATTCTGCCAGACCGACTCGCAGTGGTAAATTTGGCGAAAGCATAAAAACAATGAAAGTATCAGAGTCTTGCCAAATGTATTTTCTGATCCTGGAAAAAGTAATAAAATTTAGATTTTTTTAATGTGTGCTAATCAGCTATATTTATGTACTTTTAAAAATTGCACATTATTGTTTCATCAATAAGAGTTTTTGTTTAAAATTCACCATCTTTAAGATTTCAAATTTATTTCGCTTAGATTTAAATAATAAAATTGAAATAATTAAATGTCATTGAAAGTAATATATCGCTTTCATCTAATTGAATTAATAATATTATTACTCTTTATTGACTTATGAGACGTCGCCACGATGCAATACTCCTTGCGACGCGCCCCATTTGCAAAACATAAGTACAAAAAAAGAAGAAACTGAAGAGAAAAACAATATTACAAATAATCCATATTCTTAAAAAAACTCTTCTCTGTCTTCTCTGTAATAATTGGAAATTGATCAAAAGCATATTTTCAATTCAAAATGAGCAATTACAAAAAAAAAATGGGACAATTAACAATTAATTGTTATCATATTTATTATTATGATTATTTATTCTTCGAGGTCAATAAATTAAAATTTTAACTGGGAAAAAAGCGACACGTCGAAAAAGGTTATATAAAAACAACATTTTTATATGATTATTGTTAGTAATGAAATAAAAAATAAATGAAATTGAAAAAAAATTAATTGATTTTTCTCATCCTTTTGACAGACGCGTGTCTCCGGTTTTGGCGTCGCGGGTGATTCGCTGGTTCGACTACCTGTGGGCCAACAAGCAGGCCCTGGACGAAGGTCGCGTCCTTTCCGCCTTACCTGATCCTTTGAAGGCCGAACTGGCCATCCATGTGCACCTGGACGCCCTGCGGCGGGTCCGGCTTTTCCAGGACTGCGAGCCGGGACTGCTGGTGGAGCTGGTGCTGCGCCTCACCCTGCAGGTCTTCAGCCCTGGCGACTACGTGTGCAGGAAGGGCGACGTCGGCAAGGAGATGTACATCGTCAAGCGAGGCCGACTCATCGTGGTCGCCGACGACGGCCGCACCGCCTTCGCGACTCTAGGCGCGGGCAGCGTTTTCGGAGAGGTCAGTCACTTTGAATTAAATGAGGCGAAAAAAACTAGAATTTATTCTGGAAATGAAGCGATCGGGCTTTTCCTCGTTGCAGAAAATTGTTTTTATTCAAAAACAAATGGCTCTACCAGTTTCGGTCACGGTCTGCGACCCTAAATTAATTTTTATTTTAAAATGTGGTGTTTTTTCAATTTGCTGATTTTTTTGTATTTTCTCTTGCTCATGAAATAGGGTCGCAGACCGTGACCGAAACTGGTAGAGCCATTTCTTTTTGAATAAAAACAATTTTCTGCAACGAGGAAAAGCCCAATCGCTTCATTTCCATGATCATCTCCTCGAGTGTCAACTTCTTCAAATAGAATTTATTCATTTCAATAAACCAAAGTGATTTTTTTTTTAATTTTTGTTAACTAAATTTAATATTTGAGTATTGCAGACCTCTTGTTACTGAATTTTTTGCTTGCTACATAGGTGATTTATGAGAAATGGGCCAAATAAGTGAAATAATGTTCATTATTTTCATGTTCCAGTACCTTTATTTGTGATTCAAAAGTCTAAATTTGTAGGTGAAATTAATGAGCAATTTTAAAAGCTCTGCCCTCAAATTTAGGAGGATTAAGGAAAAGCATGATACTTTCCAGTCGTAAAGCCATGTGATCTTAAGGTACCCCATGTATAACAAAGAAATTTCCGTTTCGCGGAACGTTGTGTCAAAATAAATCACCCCCGCTAAGAACTGCAGTCAGGACCTTAATCTGCGCGCATCCATTATTCATGCGAGTAAATCCGCTCACCGTACAAGCGAATTTTTCCACCTCTCCTGATTAATGTTGAAAAAGATGAAAAGCCGCTGCCGCGTTGAGGGGAAATAAATTTGTCGGGCTTTTGAAATTACGGGAAATGGTGAGAGCTTCCATATTTTTTGCATTCATATAAAATTGAAAAAATAAAATATAAAATCATCTTTAAAATATTGAACGCGGTAGGTTATAAAATGAAATGTCATAAAATTTGAAATTTTAATAAATTTCTTTTTATTATAAAAAATATTATAAACTATTAAGTAATCTTCTTGATTAAAAGCATCTCGATATCAATTAAATTAAGTGATTTCAGATGTACAACAATATTTTTGCGTAAATATAAATTTAAAAAAAGTCGATTTGAGATTTTTATTCATCTTGGATAGATTTGTGACAATTTAGTATTTTTTTTTTTTTTTATTGATTAGGTTTACCGCAGTGGTCCAGTTTTTTTCCATCGGATTTCGTGTCAAGCGAGATGTCAGTTGGTAAAAATTACTTTAAAATATTTCGAAGAGGCTCTGTCTGGATTACTAATTATGTGACCTCAACCTCAATTAATTATCTTTCAATATAAAAAAAAAATTGTAAAATTCTTCCACTGAAACAACTTAAAAAAAATTATGTTCAATTTTGTCGGGGTAAAAGTTGAGCAAATAACCATGAAGTATTTATTTGAATTTCGCTTCAAATTTGTGTGAATAGGTGAGCATCCTGAACATTCCCGGCAACCGCACTGGAAACCGCAGGACGGCGAATGTGCGCAGCGTGGGCTACTCTGACGTGTTCTGCCTGGCTAAGGCGGACCTGTGGCGCGCCCTGGAGGACTACCCTGAGGCGCGGCGCAGTCTGCTGGAGCGCGGCTGCCAACTGCTGCGCAAGGACGGCCTGCTGGACGAGGACGAGCTGAAGAAGGCCGAGGCCGAGAATGAGTCGATCCGCGACAAGGTCCTCCGCCTAGGCAAGTCCATACATTTTTATAATCGTAGAAAATCAAAAAGAACATTTTTGTTGCATATTTAAAAATTTCATAAAAATAAATACTAAGAGGCTTGAAGACAATTCTCACACCATCTTCATCCGCGTGAAGAAAAAATTCCCTTGATATTTTATGAACTTTGTCCGGTTTTCTCCTTTGGTGCCAATCGTTTGGAAATTTCACGATTTGAAAGACAATCGTCGATCTCTTCTAAATTTCACAGCCCTATATATAGCTATCAATTAATTAGCTAATTAATTATGAAAAGTAGTCCTTTGCTCTGCTATACATCAATTAAGTCAATTACCGATGCGTGCCGGCCGGTTTGTGTCTCTCTCTCGCTCGCTGCCGAACGCAATTTAATTAATTAGAGGGGCGCGTGTCAGTTGCAAGGGACCTTCCCCAGCGGTGCGGTCGAGCACTGCGGTGTCCCTTTGAAGTCGTACTTTGCATGCCCCTATCATTTTATGGGGATTAAAATAAAGTAGGGTCGGAATTATTTTCTGGCCGACTCGCAATCATTTGGTTAATCTGAAATAATTTTAGAAGCATTCCAGTTTCATTCAAATAACGTCCCGTCGAGATAATTTTACAATTTCTTCAATTAATTCTGGAAGCAAAATATGTAATCATATTTAATTAGGAATAAATATCCCTAATTAAGCATTTCATTTGTTGAAGAGTTCCGAAGAGTTTATGAAAATTCCAAATTATTCATTCAATTTTTATTCCATATCAAACATAGTAACTCTTTTTTGGCATTATTTTTTCTTCAATTAAAATTTTGTCAGTAAATAGATTTGTAAAAATGCAAATAATTCAAAATCAGGATTTCACTTTTAAAGGAATTAGAGAAAAAGTTTCTCATATAGTTCAAGATTTTCTTGCGGAAGAAGTCTGATTTTCTCAAAACGATGGTGTCCAAAACGTTTTTATCGAAGTTTTCTTAAAAAAAAAATACGACGATCCCCAGGTGTCCATAATATCCAATTTCATATTTTCTACCAAGGCTATTTTTAAACACGCTTTTCTCCGCAAGGTCGTGACTGCGATCAAATTGACTGGGGATTATCCCTGCTCAAGGGCTTTATAGTTTGATCCTGAAATCGTCCTTGAAGGAAGCGCTTGCCTAACAATGGGAACATTTTTCAGAGGAGCAAATGGGAAAAATCCATAAGTACGTTCGGTACTTGAAGAAGGAGAACGAGGCTCAGAAGGTTGTCATCCAACAACTGCAAAACGACGAGGCGTGAGTACATTTTTTTATTTTTAAAGTATGCAACCGGCCTCACCGATATGCTCAGCGAGTTGCTTACCCTCCTATTTGGGATAAAAATTATTTAAATTGATATTTTTTTAACCATTTTCGTTAAAATGTCTGGTCCGTTTTAATTATAAATATTATCATTTTTGTTAATTGTTCAAAAATCACCTAAAAAAATTAAAGAGAGTCGAGAGAAATACAAAATGTGAAGAAACCTCAACACCTGGCAGTTGCTAAAACGCAAGGGCCTCAAAAGAGGTCCGCTCTGATTATGATTTGGGCCCCAAGCTGAATTCATTTTCACAATTTAAATTTAAATTGTGAGAAAAAGGATCATTATTCTATGTTGTTAAATACAGAATTTTAAAACTAATTTGCTTCTTTATCTTGAAAAAATCATACAATTTAAAAATGAGACCCGACCTATTTATTAAAAGCATTACAAAATTTTTCACGGGCTTTTGTAATTTTTTTATTAATTTTTTAAAAGCAAGAGTTTTGAGAAGAATTTTATTAATTAGATGCGAGCCAAGCAGTGCTGAGGTCATCCCAAGCGTGGTGGTGAACGCTCTGGATTTGGAGGAAGAGCAGCAGCAGTGTCTGGACCAACAGGACTCGAGTTCCGACTCCGAGGAGGAGACCACGGTCGTCGAGAACCCGAAGAGCCCCGAGGCTTGATTTGTGATAAGTGATGTTTATCAGAAAATTGCTGCGAACTGGACTATTGGCAGCTGCGGGCAGTGACGGCGGTAGAGGAATCAAATAAGGGGACACTTTGCAATTCTATAGTTGTTATCTGGAGGAGTTCGGCAATCGCGAACTAATAAGTGGTGAGATTTATCACTGACGTGTTACACGAGGAATGTTGTGGCGTTTTTTACAATATATAATATATGAGAGAGTGGTGATTTTTTCGGGTTTTAAATGAAAGAAATAATGCACTCGTGTGTTGCGGAAGAGAAATATGTTTATTGTTGTTACTGTTGTTTGGAAGTGAAATTATATTGTACGTACACACACACAACCACACAAAAAAAAAACGGGAATGGCGGATTAATAAATTTGTTAAGTGTGGAAACACGCACACAAGGGAATGCTACATGTGAGTTATTGCATCCAACCTTGTTTAAGCGGTTTTGAACAGAGAGCTAGAATAAAATTTTAAGTGGTGGAATTAACAAGAAAGTTAAGTTGAAGGGAGATTTAAAACCCAAGTAAAAAATAATTTATGTCAATTTTTAATCATCATTAAAATAAAGGTTGATGAATTTTGATAAATAATATAACAAGCCAGTTTAAGCTTGGGGTGATTTTTTTAAGTACTCTCTTTCTTTAAAACGTTTCTCAGGAAATATAAATTTTTTAAATCAGAACTGATCAAATTTTTATATTTTAAAGGAATTTTTTATTTAAATCTCCCCATTTCATTTTACCAAAAAGAACTTCAGTTTAAACTACTTATTATCTACAAAAAGTATCACAATATATTCTGTAGAGCCGCTGCGTCGGCTGCGGCAGCAGCAGTTTAAAATCACACATTTGGAGCGAATCCAAGGAAAGTTTGGCAGTTGGGGCAGAAGTGAGAGGGAAACTGGCAGGACGTCATAAAGTAGGGCAGAATGCAGCACGGCCAGCATCTGCAAGTCGAGATACATCAGTCGATGTGAAATGTAAGATAATTTATGCAATAAGTACCCAAAGATGCACAAGAGGAGGGCCGCGAAGTGGGTGGAGGAGCCTGGTCGGTATTCGATTCGCGTCTGAACCATTTGTCTGCAGCACGGACACACGAGCTGGACGGAAAACGGCGGCAGCAATTCGTCATCGAGAAAGACACGGGGCCCTGCAAATATCCGTTTTGTTGACACACCAGCGAGTAATTAGCTGCTGAATTTATGTGCGGCCACGACCAATTAGAGATCGACTTGATGGTCATTAATCAAGAGTGCAATATTTATGTCATTTTGTTGCACCCCTAATGAAAATAGATCAAAGAATGGGAATTATCGGTGTCGTTTTTTTGCAACTGTTTTTTAGATTTCTTTTTCGTAATTAATTCTTTGGTTTAAAAAAGTCAATAGATGAGCTTTTAAGTTGCACTAAATTAGAATATTTCATTTTTATATGATTCAATTCTGACAATAAAGAAGACCTAACCTAGCCCAGGCTAAACAATCTGAAAATTAAAAATATAAATTAAATGGCGGGTTGAATTAGCTTAGGTCAGGTTAATTTAGACTGGGCTAGGTTAGGCTTTTGAACCCCCCTAAATAAATTTAAAACGATTAAAAATGGCCTTTGGTGTAACTAAAGTTTTTTAAATGTGGTTTACCAAATATTTTATTTTGTCGCCATTAAATAGTTGCAAATTGTGTTTATTAATAAATATGAAGATATTTTGTCATTGTTTTTTAATAATTCTATGTAAGCAATGAAAATTTACGAATGCAAAGAAATTTCTAGGGAATTGAATTGTTAATCGCGAAATTGAAATGTTTAAGAAAATTTATGATGAAATCCTTTAACATTATTAATCGTAATGGCCACCTGAATTATTATTTTTTTTTTATAAGTTAAGATAAAAGGAATATCGGTAATGACTCATCTAGTTAAGGCAAATTTACATAGTCAAATATTTTGTTTAAAAAATATCCAAAATTTCCCTTTTCACATGGAAAAATTCAAAATTAATATATTGAGAAAGGAAATAAATTAATAGTTTTCTGCTTTAATATTGTTCAATTTTTGAATTTTTGGATTCAGTAAAAGTTACACTTACGTCTGGCATTGATGACAAGGACACTTTGCTGTTGTCCATTCAGTCCTTGGGCCCCTGGGGTCATGGTGACCACCGCCGGGCGGCCAGGCGGAAGATAGGGCGCATGTTGCGTGGGGTACGGCGCGAAGGGTTGCTCGCTTGGTCCGAGTTGGGTGGTCGAAGGCCCAGGGTTGAGGTTTATTTCGCTGTAGGGCGGGGGCGGCATCTCGCCACCCTCAGGAAGGGGCTGCTTTTCGTTGGACGAGGCCATTTTGAGAGAGAATCGGCGCCAAGTGACGAGCAAGAGTGACGGGTTTATCACGTGAATTGGTGTTCGGACAGATAAGATTTTTGTCTATCGCCGGTCGAAATAATCGATCTGCAAAAAAGGGAACGCTGCCAATCTTCAAAAACCGATTTTTCTTTTACAGATTGAAAATTAAAATTCGGGTGACACAGAAACATCTAGAGTAAATTTTGGAAAATTAAAATATTAACAATAAAAATAATTTATATCACCAAATGAATACATGCGTGGATAAAATAATGGATATATTATTTTGCAAAGTACCTAAATTTCACAAGCTTGCTTTTTCTATAAAATCAATTCATTATTTAAAATAATAAAAAAAAGTAGACATTTAAAAAAATATATAATGAATAAAAAAAAATTTAAAGGCATATTGATGAAATTTGAAGCTCATTAATTTAATTTAATAATGAATCTTTCAAAGTATAAATATTCCAACATTGTAAACTTTTGTGAGCGATCCGCGTGAAAAGGAAAAACTATGACGTGAAAAATGGTTCTCACAAAAAGTTTAAAAAATACCATCGCGTAGGAAATTTTATTATGAAATTCCAACTTTGATTTAAATAATAGTGAATAAAATGATGATTTATTGTGATTCGAGTTCTTTCTAGTATCATCGGTCACTGTATATTGACGTTGTTCCCTACAAAAACGCCTGCTACCATCGGACGGGATCAAATATTGACTCCTGCCTTTCTCTGATTTTAACATCGATATGGATTTTTTCCTTTATTATTTTCACTATCTAGTAAAAATCTAAATTTATATTTTCTCGTTTTGTTTGTATGGGAGGCTTATAAGCGTCTCATTTCCCATTTGTCGTTTCCTTTTCCTGGCTGACTAATCACTTGAAATTATCTCTCGCGCTGGTCACAACCATTGCACTACTCCATCATACGCCCCACAAAACCGAGCTTATCTTTTCTGTCTCTCCTCTGCGTCAAACTCTTGAGAGTGAATTGACACTGCATGTCTTATCTTCATCAACCAGTCGGAGAATTTTCTATTCTCATTTTAGGATAATCTGTTCCCGTCAACAGGACGCACCTAATTAACGAATTTGTTTAATTTACACTTTCCCGAGGTAAAATGCATCCCGCGACGGTGGCCGGCAGCAAGAATCATTTGCACCACGAGGACAGCGACCACTTTTACCACGGCGAGAGGCCACCCCCGTACTACCCGGAGGCCTCGCAGTCCCACCTCGCCCCTGACATCTACCAAAAGCCACCCCCGCAGCAGCCATGGACACCTGTAGGTCAACCCCACCAGCAACAACCTCCTCCTATAGGATTTAAAATGCCCCAACCTGACGTGCCTGTGGCTGCACCGATGCCACCAGCCCAGCAGGTGGTTGTCATGCAAAGTCGGACCACAAGTATGAATTTTATAATTTTATGCCTTTGTCTCTTTTTCAAGTATATTGACATTGACAGCGTAAATTATATTTACAGTTTAATTTTGAACGCAAAAAAAGCCTATAAAAATAAACAATTTGTGTACATTTCCACTTTTTAGGACTACATTAGAAATATTCATTCTAATTTTGAATTTCATTTCAAAACCATTTTTTATGCTTACCGTCTTTCTGTTACTTTTTAAAATTTTGGTTTTAAACCAAATATGCGGTTTTTTAATTACATTTTATATTATCTTTTGATTTGAACAGAGATTTCGGAGATTTGATACCTGATCAGAATGGCAAAACCCAATCAAATTGAATTCACTTAAAACTTCTACTTGATAAGAATATTCAACGAATTTAAAATAATGCTTGTAATAAAGATAACAACCCCCCACCCCAATAAAAGAAGTAATAAAAGATAAAATTGAGTAGCGCCTCCTGTGCAACTAAAAAAAGGGCACAGCAGGCCTGACCCTAAAACCATAAAAAAAAAAAAAACAATTCAATCAGTCAATGCTGTCAATATTCTAGATTATCCCAAAGTTTTTAAGAGTTGCTTTATATTATAAATAACGTTTACTTAGAGAACTTGTGAATTCTTCAATTTAATTTTATATTGGCATACAAATGGTTTGGGGAAAAAAGAAAAAATAGTTTGCTACTTAATATTTTGTCAACTAATTTGAAAAAAATTTATATTTAAAGCGCAACTAACCGGGGGTCTGGCGGGTCTACCTCACAACGCCACATCGGTCACCTGCGCAAACTGCGGCACGATTGTTCCCACAAAGGTCGAACACGAAGCGACTGGCAAAACGCATTGCTGGGCTTGTTGCCTCTTCTGCTTCTTGTATAAAAAATTGCATTAAATAATAATAATTCGCAATGATGATCGATAAATTCACAGGTGCTGGCCATGCGTCTGCCTTCCCTACTGCATGACCAGCTGCAGGAAAACCAACCATTACTGCACCCGGTGCAACAGCTACTTGGGAAACTCTGAAAATTTGTAATTTTCTTTTGCCCGGTTTCAATTTTATGAAATCCACCTCGAGTGTAGCCATTCAATATTTTTTTCACATCACAAATAAAATCAATCAATTTTTATTACGTAAAATTTGATTTTTTAATTTCTTTTTATTGTTTATTCCTTTTGGGAAAGGCACCAGCGGTAGCAGACAGGCCTGCTAAATCGCAAGAGTCGATAACTCGGATCTTCCCCTTTCGGGGCCGATAACACGGTGACCTTGCGACCCACTGGGCGTAATAAATTTTTTAGAAAAATTAACTATAATGTCTGTTTCCCTTATTGAATTTTTTAAATGGACTGCAAAGTTAAGAGGTTTTTCTTAAAAGTATCTTGTTCTTTTAAGAACGGTCTATATTCAATATTTTTTATAAAATTGAGAGTGAAACCGAAAATGTATCATCATACAGAATTTAATTATGTAAAATAAATGTTTCAGAAAAACCAACATTATTTAATTTCCCCAGATATAGTAATTGAAACTAAAAATTTACATTTCAATATAAAACATAAAAAATTACATTATTTTAATTCGCAAATAATTTTCAAGGAATTATTGACTTTCATAATTTGTTCGTTCAAAATAAATCATAACGAAAAAATCCTTCTCATAGTTTATTTTATACTGTGAAATTTTTCCTTTATTTTCTAAATTTTTATTTCATTATAGCTAAAAATTCATATAATAATATTATTTTTCTTTCAGAGTTGTTTAATTTTTAATTAAAAATTTGAGAATTATTGCTTGTAGGATGCGCCTACAATAAAAGGATGTACAAAGTATGAGGAAATTACAAGATATTAGCGAGCCGCCGAGCACTTTTCGCCCTTTGTTAGTCCCATCAAAAGCTCCAATATGCAGCAGCGTTGCCATTCGCTACATCGGGGACAAGTTTCCTGAAGGCCTCGCAAAATATGCTTCTTCATTACTTTTTTTCTTAGCTTGGGATACAACGCAGCACATTATATGCCCCTCCACTTAAACATCTTGTTCTTATCTTTCGTTCTACGCGCAGCGTCTCTGAAATCTGAAAACTCGACAGTGCAGACGAGAAAACTATATATCTCTCTGCAGGTCAGTCTAAATTTGGTGCGCGCAAATTAAGCGGATTGATTTGTGTCGGAGATCAAAATGTATTCCGGCAAGGAAGATATAAGCGACCACTTTTACAGCGGTGTCCGACCGCCGCCGTACCAGCCTCTCGACGAGGATGCTGCTCGGCCCCACATCGCTCAAGACCAAATGCACCCTGCGCCACCCCCGGCGCAGCAGCCCATCGGTTTGAATCACCTCCTAAACCCTGATGAAGATCCGAACGAGGTGGCTGTGACCCAGCAACCGCGCATGATGGTCATGCAGAATCGTGACACAAGTATGATTAAATTCAGCAACGAAATTGTTGCAAAATTATTCACACATTTATTATTCGCGCTAAAAGAATGTGATAAAAAAGTTGACTTTCGCAGAAAAATTTTTCTGAAATATTCAAAAAATAATATAATTTATAATTTCCATAGTTAAAAATCTAAAATAAATTTAATATTAAATTAAAATTATTTCAAACACTAATTTAAAAAAATTATCAATAATAATGCAATATATATTAAATCTTGGATATTTTTGTATAACAAAAAAGATCCATCAATAGTATTAGAATATTGTAAAATATTTTTAAATAAGAATAATTTGATTTTAATTACCACCAAAATTTGTAACGTTTTAAATTAACTAAAGAAAGAATAATTAATTTAATTTTTTTAATAATCAAACTATAAAAATCTCACGTTTTACGGTTAGAAAATAAAAAAATCTTGTTTTTTAAATAAATAAAATCTTTTTTCAGTACAACACTTACTTGTGCGGGACCTGAAGGGTCTACCCCACCACAGCACTTCAGTCACCTGCTCAAACTGCGGCATGGTCGTACCTACCAGGGTCAACCACAAGGCGATTTGCAAAACTCACTGCTGGGCTTGTTGCCTCTTCCTCTTCTTGTAAAATTTCACCATTATTCATTATACTTTGCTTTTAATTTTACTTTTCTTTACAGTTGTTGGCCATGCATTTGCATCCCGTACTGCACCGCAGGCTGCCGGAAGACCAACCATTACTGCACCCGATGCGACAGCTATTTGGGAAACTCTAACATGTAGAATCAAATATGCAAATTCCAGAAAACATGAGGACTGGAAACTAATAAATATATAACAAAGTTTTGGAAATAATTTCAGATATTTAATTTTCTTTTTATTTACCTGGTTTAGATAAAAATTGATAAATTAAACTTCCTCAAGATAAAAATGTTTCATTTATATTTCAGTAGCTGTCAGTGTGTAAAATTGAACATAAAATCGTTGGGATTTGTGGCACATAAATCAGATTTCTTTATCTTAAAAAAGTTCAAATTCCGCCGTCGCCAGCGCGGTTGCAGCACTTGGAGGGCGGGACGTTCCAATTGTACTCGAACCCTGGCACCAGGGTCTCCTCGGTCTCGCACATCTTGCCCTTTTCCTTGAGCTGCCTCCACAGAGCTTTCATCTGCTCAGGGCTCTGTTTGTGAGTGACCAGGTAACTGTTGCTGCAGCCACGGGAACGGTGCTCAGTGTCAAAGCGCCGGTCGTGCCGCCTCCTCGCCTCCACGGCCGCCAACCACGTGCCCACACTGATGTCCTCGCTGTTGAATCGGCGCCACATCTGCACATTTCTAGCCAGGAAGGACACGAGATCGGACGATAATACATATCCTGTAATTTTGATCAAGGATTTAAGGACTGCAAAAATAGACAACAAAATACAAACTTCAGTCATTTAAAATTAAATTGAACTCTAAATGAGATCTCGATCGTAATTAACTCCCATTTTTTAAAATTAAGTTTTTGTTTTACTCTTTTAACGTTTTTTCTTGTTATTTGTTTAAAACGTAAAATTACCTCCACCATGTGCATAGGGTAGGTAGCGGTCACAAATGTCCCATTTTGTTTCGCGCCACTTTCCGGAAGTTTTTATTCGCGCATCACCCCGGAAGTAGCCCCAGTAGAGGGGCGAGGAAGCAGTCTGCAGTTCAGTCTTGAGGGCTGAGAGGCGCACAAAAGAATCGTCGTCACACTTCAGCAAAAATCTATAGTTGTAATGAGATGTGACCTGCAATTAATGTATGGTAAATTAATAATTTGTTGAATACATTAGACGGAAATATCAAATGTTTGTTAATGGATAACTAAAAAATTTATTAATCTGTTCATAAAAAATCAATCTAATTTTAAAAGTATAAAGACTGTAACATAGCTGGTCTTTTCTTTGTAAACAAACTGTAATTGAAATGTTTTTCGTTCTATATAATCTAATAAATCTAATAAATGGAAGCACACTTTTTCAAAAGCCTGGAGGACTTTGGTGGTCAGCGAGTCGTATCTGTCCTGCACGTCGACGAAGAGCAGGTCGTCAAACTGCTTGACCTCGTGCCGCAGGTGGTTTTTGTCGCCACCTTTGCCCAGCACAAAGAGGCAGACGGCGTCGTCAGCCGCCTCCGAAGCCCACGTCTCTCTGATGACATTCCTCTGGGCATAGTTTTCTGGTTTGGACAAGACTAAGACAATCAGCAGATTCTGCTGCTCGCTCGAGGTTAACTCGGACTGCTTCTTAGGCTTGGCAGCCGAGTCCAGGGCGATCAGGTTCAAGGTCAGCATGCAGCCGAAGAGGAACGAGCCAAGGCACAACAGCAGCGCTGTCCGGTCACGCATTGTGCATAATCTGAAATAAAATATTAAAATCAGCTTATAATGAAAACAAAATCAAATTAAAATATGCATGGGTGCACCAAAATATTAATATAATGTTTTCTTTGAAAAAACAAGGATAGAATTTCTAATCAAATATAATTCCATTCAAAATTAAATAAATCAATGTGTAAAAATAATTTAAAGCACGTCTTTGAAAAGAAAATTTTGACAGAGAAAAGGACTTTTTATATTAGAGAACATTAATATTTTTTCTGATGTCTTTTTAGTATGTTTTGTACCGATTTCTTTTTACCCTGGCATATTTCATTGCATCGAGTTGAAAGAACGTTCAAGTATAGAGTGAGGCTTTACATACTGCAAGTAGTGTCCAATGTCGCGTGTTTATTATGTCATGATGCCGCAATAATTTGACATAATCCAACTCCAATCTAAACTCTCTCAATCCGTTCGGTTCGATCTGCTAGCCTTGTTTTTAGAAAGCAGCTGATCACCATTCTTGCCAACAAAAATGCGAAATTGTGAAACAAACTGAAAATGAATTCCTCAAAATATGCAGCCTAAAGTTATGCAAGACACGAAAAAATAAAGACCAGCAAAGCTCGAGTTGAAATTTGAACAAAAAACGTTTACCTTTGGTTGGAAATACCTTCTCTTGCAGCTCGTGTACGGTTGGCAGCAGTGCGCAGGTTGGCAGTCCATCGACCCGTTTCCGCGTGCGTGCAGGTTCTCTCTGTACAATTTTTGGGATTTTACATGAATTCCCGATGGATCTTTCAGCGCGGTTGTGACAAAGGCTTCGTTGAATCGCCCGTCGACAAAATGCACTTGACCCGACCCGCCTGAAAATAGGTGAGTTTGTGCACCAACCACCCCCGCAGCAGCGACTGGTATCCGATTTGGAGGCCAACTCAATATTATACACGCTTATATTCAAACTTGACCTTCGCTCGTGTGTGTTTTCGCACACACACACGCCAGCTGCAGATTTTGATAGCGATCGTGTTAATAATTTTTTATTTTGTGATAGGAGATGGGGGAGTGCAGTCGGGTTAATCTGGCCGACGTGGTTTTGCGCCTCGAGGGCGGGTCTTCCCTCGTCTGCCACTGCACCAGGGCCAAATTTCCATCATCGGCTCGGATCAGCTCCAACAACCAAATCATCAACAAGGCCGACCATGAAAAGCAGTCGCTCGGCGTCGAGGTTAGAAGAATATAAACTTTAAACGAACGGGAGGCCACGCGCGTTCGCTCTTTTTCTCAGTGCGTTGTGAAAAAGCTTCGACGCCACACCATGTCTCTTGTTCGAAATAAACATTTCTATTTTGTAATCTTTGAAATAATTATTTTTTAAACATAAAATTTCAGACGTTTTCCGACGACTTTGAGCAAATCTTCCAATTTGATGAGCAGCAAAGTCAGGCTCCGCTACCTTTCGTTGCAGAGGAACGATGGTCATTTTTAAACCAGACCAAGTCATTTGGCGAAGACTCGAGCCCGAGTCTCAGTTGGAGCAGTTCGTCGGACTCCATGACCTCGGTGACCTCGCTAGATGAAGCTATGCTTTCGCTCAGTTCGTCGGACAGTGATGAGGAGGACAGTCAGAAAGCTAGGTACATAATAAGTTATTACAACATTTTTTAGAAAAAAATATTGGTGCAAACTTTCAAAATTTTATTCAGATTTTCTGTGGATGCTGTTGAGGACTCTCTCAACAGATTGAGCATATCTCCATTAAGGCAGAATGGAAACTCGCGCCAGAGCAGTTTGACAAAGTGAGTCCGAAATTAAGCAACATAACATTAAATATTTTTCTAGCTTATCTGTTTAAAAATTTGTGGCATTCAATTGTTACCTGAATTTTTTTTTTTAATTTAGTATAAATTTTAAAACATATTCAACAACTTTTATATTATAGAATATTTTCAGTTGTGGTGAATTAGATTTAGATGCACTTATGCTAAATTATTATACTGATTTTTTTTAGAAATCACTTTCATAAAAAATGTAAGCAAATATTCTAAAATAAAAAGAACCAGCATTGAGTTCAATATCAACGTCTCCACATCATCCTTCACTGATTAGATAAACTTACTTTCAAGAGGATTCTAATGTTAAAATGAAACGAAGAGAAGCATATTTCTCTCATTTTTTTTCTTAAATTTTTATCACCACTTCTAGAAATATGCTTAATTTTTTTTTTTTTACTAATTCATGTGCATAGTTAACTTCCGAGAAACTGTGGCATAGTGCATATTTGCCTAATTACTTCTTAAGCCGAAGCTTTTAAAAAAATAAATAGCGATTGTGCGAAACATCAGATTAAACAATTATTTGCCAATTTATTATGAAAATTTTTCCCAAGCTCCAAGATTATTTAAATTGCATTATTAACTAAATCAAATAAAATTGAAAACCTAGAAAACTCTTATAAATAAGATTCTATTAGAAAAATTTAGCGTCGACCAACATCTAGCTGTTTTAATTAGATTTAGATAATCCAACAAACCAATCTTGTTTTTAGATCATTGGGTCAAGCATGGATAATTCCAGTGCAGGAAGCGATGCGCTACTTTGGGTTTCACTTTTTGCCCACAAACGAAGACTTGACAATCACTTCAACCGAAATCATATCACACCAAAAGGATAAACAAGCTGAAAAAGTAAAAAAAAAAACCTGAAACACTTTCAGATGATAATTTTTTATTCTATAAATTTCCAGTCGAAGCGGCAGCTCAGTGTGCAAAAGCTTGCAAAAAAAGAGATTGCCAACGGAGACTGGCTTTGTGAGTTAATGAACATTAATCACATTCTTATGTAGAGAACATTATTAAATACTCAGGTCACTTGGCCAAAAGAGGTGCCAGCGACCTGGTGGTGGACGCTGTCTGCGGAGACGGGGCGCTCGCCATTTACCTCGCACAAAACTGCCAAAGAGGTTAGCTTTTTCTCTCTGTTAAGCAACATATATTATTGATTTGATTGTGCAGTTTTGGCACTGGACCCGAACCCGGTCAACATCAAGCAGGCGCTGCACCGAGCCAAACTGAGCGGAGTCTCTCACAAAATTGATTTCATCCAGGCCGACTTCTTCAGGATGAAAATGCTGGTGAAGGTGGATGCCGTTTTTGTCCGACTCTCGAATTCCAACGCCAGCTTCGAAGAAAAGGTTTAAACCAAATAGTTTTTAACCAAGTAAATGTGGAACTTGCAATTCTTAGGCGGTGTGTGATCTCAACGCTTTCCGAGGGCAGCAACTCTTCCAGCAGGCCAGATTTATTTCCAACAATGTAGTTTTCTGTCTGCCCAGTAATCAGGACGCAAGGCAAGTCCTGCAGCTAGTGGGCAAAGGTGAGATGGAGCTGGAGCAGTGCTGCATCGAAGGCCAGTTCTCCGCCATGGCCGCTTACACTGGCCCACTTTTCGACCAAAGCAGATAACGGATAAATCAAGCTGGAAACAAACATCTTCAGGGGAAAATGAAATTTTCTGTATGTGAGTAGCTACGCAGCAACTTTGTAAATCGTTTTAGCAAGAGCGATACAACCTATTTGACTGGGGGGCCTTAGAGATATGAAACCAGAATGGAATTAAATGTCGTCGGTGTTTAAATGTAAAATTTTTTCGGACCAATAATTTTATTTTTTATCGGTTACGTTAAAAATGGATATTTTTCTTCGCAAAGTGGATTTAAATAGTAAAAAAGTTCACTTTTTTACTCATTTTGTTTTGCAAACTTTGAACTCTGTTCGTCTGGCAAAGAAATTGTCATTCTTTATGCTATATTTTAATGTCAGATCCACCTGCAGATATTTTTACTTCCATACTGTTTTGATACTGTCAAAAATTATTCTGAATGCGCATTTAACGTGTCCTGACCAGACAGTTGCACAGAGCTGCTGTTTTTATACTTTTGTACCGTGTTTGTCTATGATCTCACCGGATAAATTTATTGTTCTGTGAAATGATGATTCACGACTCTTTCAAAACTCTCTAAACCGGATATCCTCCACTGCCCGATTTTTATTTTTTTCCAATCGACCTAGTCATGTTTATATTTTCGTTGAGAACAAAAATACCTCCGAGGGTCGATGGATTCTCGCCAGCAGCTAAATAGGAAACTAACAAAAAAGTTAAAAACCACACCAAGTTTCTTGAAATATATCAGTGTTAAAATATAACGCAAAATTGTATTGAATAATTGTTTAAGTGCCAACAATGTCAAAATCTTCTCAATTTTTAATTGTCTACAAGTTGAAAGCATCAAATCCATAAATATTAAATCACAAATCATTAAATATATGTCTAAACAATACAAAGCAGTTGCGTGTGTAGCAGATTACTTAATCTAATTCCATGCAAAAGGCGCAAGCAAATCATATTTATTATGAAATGAATGTTCATCGCTGATCATATGTATATTTCGATTACATTGTATTGCATGTTATTTTGGAAATTGTATGAAAATCCAGTTGATAAAATAAATATATAGACAAAATATTTTTATTTATTTTAATTAATATGAAATCATGATTTGATTAGCAAAAGCAAGGTATGCAACCTTGTGGGCTGGTGGAATAGAATTTTTTTGAGCCCGCTCCGAAGACTGGGGAGGCCATTGGTGTCAGGGTGGTTTATTTTTGCTCTTGGTACTTAAGTAACCTGAGCCACAGAATTCGTATATGACTCGCGCAAGTGGGAGAATCTACGAGTTTTCGGCTGATAGGCGGCGTCCTGGCGTTGAACAAAAATTTACCAGAAACGCCGTTTAATTCCGCGATTTTCAAATTTGAACGAGTTAATTCATTTCGTTATAAAATAGTTATGCTGATTATACATTTAAATTGAATTTGGATTCACATTTTCTTGCTGCCGCATAACCTTTCTTAAAACAAAAATCTTCCCTAGACGTTTTATTTTACATACCAATATATGCAACACCGAAAATTTCGTTTTATTGAATGGATCATTTCCTCATAGGGTTTTAATATTGTCAGCCGGGCCCATCCCAATTATTTAGTTTTTCATGATATATATTTATTTATTCTCCATTCGATACAGCCATGAGTTATGAATACAGCAAAAAAAACTATACATAGAAGTAAAAAAAAAGCTGAAATAATAATAGCAGAGTATTTAACTATCCATAAATTAAATTAAAAAGATATCATATTGAGGCTGAACTTTAGAACTTCTTGAAGTCAAGAGACCAGAGGAACAGATCCTGAAAATAAACTAAAATATAAAATCTGTATAGATTGTAAAATTTCAATTATACTGATAATTTTTTTAGAGATTAAATTAAATTCATTTTATTTTTCTCCAAACAAGTCAGACAATCAGTTGTAAAAAAAAAATTGGTAGAGAGAAAAATAGTCAAGTGATTAATACATCTTTGATTCTCACATAAGAGGTGTCCAATTTATTGCATAACAAGAACCTCATTTTATATTTAAAACTTGGTTTTAATTATTTTGCTCCTCTTATATGTTCAGAACTAATTAATTGGTCACATATTTAAAATTGTTGTTGTTTCATTTAGCATAATAAAAATTTCAGTACTTGAATCTGAGTTAGCAGGAGTGTTTTCAATCACTGAAATAAATCAAAACTGAATTTCTTAATGAGGAACTAAAAAAAGAGAAGAATTAATGTCCCTGTTTTTATTGAAAATATTTGGTGCTGTTGCGACTCTTGCCGTTTTTTCCGCTTGTACAGTAAATTTGCGGGCGCGCCTCGTCCAAGGAAAAGCGCATGTCCAAGTTTAGTTGGAAAATCGATAGACTGTCGGGGCCGGAGAAGAAGAAGTGTCTCGGTACGAAATAATATGGCAGCCGCTGGCAGCAGCTGAATGGGGGACACGGAATTCGAGCAGTTCCGTCGCTATTTCGACCGACTGCCCCAGTACATCAAGGCCCCGGCCCACACCTACACGTGAGAATCAAATCTCAGCTCGCAGGTCCCCTGGCTAATCGCATAATTTGCAGACTGGTGCATGACATCGCGTTGGACGAGTCCGTGCTCGGGCCCCCGTCGGCGGCGGCGGGCCCACCACTAGGGGCACCGCAGGACCCGACGGGCTCCAAAAAGAACAAGGCGGCCTTCAGCAGCAGCAGTAGCAGCTCGGCCAGCAGCACCGAGGGCGACAGACCGCCCAACGACCAAGAATCGGTAAAATATATAACAATTTATGAAAATAAAACGAAAAAATTGCAATTTTATTTCTGGGAAAATGATTTTACTACAAAAACGATTTAAAGTACAAATCTAAAATCCAATTAAAAAGGAGGAGTTTGGAATATGATTTTTTTCAGAAAAAATTTTGAAATATTAAAAAAAAAATGAAAAATGGGACAAGACATAATTTATTTGTTTGTTTTTGGTAAGCAGAAATACCTTGTAATTTGAAGTTTGAGATTGGCAATTTTTTTTAACAAAATAGTTTAAATTTTTTATTTTGAAATTCATTTTTGGCCTTTTGCCAACTGATAATGAGGCAGACACAATTTTTGTGAACTCGTCTCTTTGCATCTCTAGCCGAGATCTGATTATTTTTCCTTTTCTCTCTATAGAGACGAGTGTTGAATGATGTATTAGTACGATGAGTACAATTCAAGCTTGCGTTGCACCTTTGTGTTTCTCGCCAACAGATAATCAATGGCGAGGCGGCCGACGAGGATGAAGAGGCTCCGTGGCGGCCCTTGCCCTCGGCGTGGCCCACAGTTGTGCACCGACGCAGACGGAAACTGCCCGAAATTCCGAAAAATAAGAAAAGTGAGTCACACAAAAAGTTATAATCTTCTCTCTGCGATAAAAATCCTTTAATTTTTTATCAAGCAACGAAATTTATGCGTGTCGCTTTCATTAATATTATAAAATTTATTTATTAACGAAAAAGCAAAAGTATGGAAAATAAAAAATTATTTAAAGGTCAAGTAAAAATTTAAAATTTGAGGTGGTTGAATAAAAATAGGATTTTGAAAATTCTTTAGCCAACACGCATGGAGCTCAAAAACATAAACAAATCTAGAAATGAAGATAAAGCTGCTATATTTATTCAACCACCAAGAATCAACCCTTGATCGGGAAATTCTACTAAAGAAAAATTAGAAATTGGCAAAAAAAAATGATTCAAAAATTTGCAGATTCAGGTTTAGTGTTGTCGCTGGCCGACGAGCTAGGCCAAGTGGGCAGCGGACGTTTGCCCGAATGTGTGCAAGTGTCGATTCGAAACGGCCGCCACGCGGTCGGCGCCTTTCAGCTGCGGGGCTCGACGCACTTTGACAGTTCGCCCGAGGGCCACCAGCAGGACTTTGACTCGGGACACTCGACCACCAACAGCCCGGACGGCTTGGCCAGACCCACGTCGATCGCCTCCTCGTCCTGCTGCAGTTGCAGTCTTTCAGAGCAATCGCTCAGTGAGTGAAACAACTTTTTACTTCAACTTCCAATTTTTTTTTCACTCCATTTATTAAAAATATGATTTTAATTTTTGCAATATAATTTCATAGTTGTCGGTGGTGCTGAATACAGAGACGTAACTCGACTTGTGGCCACACACCGTGGTCTCCACAAATTTATTCCGAGGCACAGAGATGAAATCGAAATTGAAATTGGTGATCCAGTTTATGTTCAACGGGAGTGTGATGACCTCTGGTGTGAAGGTAAAATTATACGTATATTTATATCAAAATGTTCTTCTTCTCTTGATTTTTTATATAATAATTTACCAAAAAATAATAGAAAATTTATTTAAAAATTAGGGTATATAGAAGAAATTTTTTTCAAATCGCTCTCCAAAATCCATTTTGACAATGTTTTTTGCGTTTTTTGTTCCAATCCAAAATTTCAAAGACTTCATTTCATTTCCAAAACAGATAATTTGAACAGCTTCCTTTTGTTATGGACCTTATTATTTTTGAAAAATATATTATTACATATTTGTAACAAATTTATTTTTGAATTAAAATAACCCAAATTTTTGGCTAAATATAAATTATCTTATTCAAATACTTCCACTGCATTTGAAAAAAGCCTTGCTGAATTATCTGATTGAAAGCAATTTTTATTTTGAAAAAAAAAACGAATTTTAATTTAAGCGCAGAAATTGGTGTGACTGTTTTCTTGACTTTCTTGTGTTTTAATTTTTGAAGGGGTGAACATGCGCACCCGGCGACAGGGTTCGTTCCCTTCGGCGTACGCGGTGGACCTCGAGTACCGCGAGTTCGACCCGGAGGCGGCGGTGGCGGCCGGCGGAGAGGAGGCGGCGGTCGCGGAGCGTCGGGAGCGCTTCCTGCTCGACTACCTCGGCTCGATCGAGTGTCTGCAGCCGAAAGGGAACACGGTGCTGTGCCAGGCGGTCAAGCGAATCTCGAGCAACCCGCCGGCCACTCGACCGGCCATCCTCGAAGTCTCCGACCAGGGCATACGCATGCTCAGCAGGGACAAAAACAAATCAACCGCCATAGACAATAAAAAGGTACATTTTTATAATTGAATTTTAAAAGTATAAATTGAGGCAAAAATTAGAAAAATAAGAATATGCAGCAAATTTGAAAATTAAAATACATTTTCATCTTTTTTGACATTTTAATTTGTTATTAATAATATTAGATTTATTGTCAAGAAGAGAGGAATTATTTAGAAACGCCCAAACAGAATTTAGTAATTAAAATCGTGCCGAAATTAAACATATATTACGTTATTTCAATTTGTTATTCAAATTAGGTTTCCAGTCTTTCTCACGAGAAGAGTATAAAATTTTGCAAAATTGAATCTGATTTTAATGTTCATGCAAAACAAAAATAAATTTTATTTTCATAAAAATTGAAAATCTTTACAAACAAATCCTTACTCAAAGATAAGCGATTGTTGAAACACGCGCAAATAGAAAATTCTCATTCTTTTTTTATGACACACAATGTGTTTGATCCCTTTCGTCGGTCCATGACCCTCAAACAACCAATCTCCAGCAGACACTGCACCGCTTATTCATGTCGAGGCTGCAGCGTAAATTAATCTGGTCCAGCGCTATAAAAAGAAGAGCCAAAAAAAACGCCCTCCAAGAGAGTTATTGTTTATTTGTTCAAATTAATACATAAAAATTGTACATCATAGATTCACAAAATATTATATATTGTACAAAATACGATTAATTTTTATTAGAAAAAAACGCGACTTCTACTCAGCAAGTTCAATGTCATTTTTTTTCCACAGGAAAACAACAACAATAACCTGGACTACTTCTACTCGCTCAAGAACGTGTCGTTCTGCGGATTCCACCCGCGTGACCAACGCTTCCTTGGCTTCATCACCAAACACCCGCAGCGGCAGCGCTTCGCCTGCCACATTTTCCGCGGCGACGAGTCGATGCGCCCCGTGGCCGAAACCATTGGGTACGACACGAGTTTTTTTTTTACTTCACGTACGCACCCTTGCGCGGAATCTACTCATTTCAAATTACAATCTAAAAATTATATTTATGTTCAATAACAAAATTATTAAGTTTTTACAATTTAAATAATTCCGAAGTGAATTATTGCATAATATTCTTATTTTAATTAACTGAAGTAGTATTAGAGAAGAATAAATTTTTAATTTATTTTTTTCCAATATAATTCTTTGTTAATTCTTCTTCATTTTAATTATATGATTAATAAAAATCTAGCAATCCTCTTTTTTTTCTTTAGTTTGTCTGGTTTTGGAAGAGTTTATGTCACATAAAAAACCAGTTGAAAAGCAAATTCTGCTGGATTGAAATTGGTTTATTTTATCTAAATCATCGATTTATTTCAATTAAACTGATTTTCATGATTAAATGGAAAAAAATTAAGCAAAGAAAATTACGCTTCACTTTTCAAGTAAGAAAACATCCGACGTCCAGTGCGATTGCAAATAAAAAAGAATTTTTTTAAATCTTAATTCATTCATTCCTTGGCAACAAGAGTCTGCACAAAAAGATAATATTATCACGTAAAAGTAAATTTGAGGTTTATTTGAAAGCCAAAACCAAAGAAAAAAATCTTACTTTTCGTGATTCAACAATTTTTTTTTAAGCGTTAACCTTTTTACAGCAAAACTTCATTGATTTACATTTGAGTATTAATTGCAGACGTGCGTTTGAGAGGTACTACCAGAAATACATAGAGACGGCGTACCCAACCGAGGACATTTACATCGACGACGATTGAGGAAATTAATCTTCGTTCGAAGTGAGAGTGTCTCTGCTTTATTCTCATCCTACCGCGTTAACCAAAGAATGAAAGTGAATTTTAACTTGAAAAAGCAGCATCGCTTTTTTCAACATCAGCAGCACAAAAACGTATAATCTCTCCTACATTCTGGGACTGTCAGTTGTAAAACATGTAAAACTTTAAAAAATTAAGAAGGTACGACACTCGTGTACATATGTATTGTACATATATCTCCTGATGTCAAAATAATAATACAAAAATAATCCATCGCCTTGTGAGGAGACGAGAATAATAAAAATAAATTACGCCTTGGAAAAAGAAAACCAGTCCATTATTCACTTGAGTTCCTTTTCCACGGATCAAAAAATTTCAAAACTGATTCTAAAGAATTGCGTTATTTTATCGGCCTTGGAATGGAAGTAAAGGGTGCGTGTCATTTTGGATTATTATTAGGTTTCTTTAGTGGTGAATAATTCGTATATATCATGTGACAATTAAACGGGACGAGCTGCACACACAAGAGTTGGTTTAGTTTTATCGTGCAGCGCGAGGGGAAGCGACCGACGAGGGTCAACAGCCATGGGGGTCACAGTTCGAGCAATGGAAGGGCAGCCGGAAGCTGAGCGAGATCTCGCGTTTATCAGACTCGAGCGAGTGCAGCTGCCGTCAGTCAGACATGGGGCGTCCGGGGCTGCTGCTGTTGCTCATCGCCACTGGTAAGATCAATGCGCACTCCTTGTTCTCCGTCCGAACTTGCGTAAACACATCTGCATCGTAAACGCAAACTGTTCATTTTGAGCCTTTCTAAGCTGATTTAATTAGTATTTGTTTTTCAAGTGTGAAAAATTCAAAAATTTCATTTTTTATTAATTTACATGTATTTAAACTGTTTTTGTGCTACAGATTCAGTTCAAATTTAAATTACTGCCGACTTTACTCTTAAAAATTGATAAAATTCTTTTACCAGTTAAATTTATAACCTCCAATTCAAAAATTTTGATTATTGTTATTTAATGTTGTCCTTTAAGATAAATAGTTATCTTATCATTAAAATACTATATTTCTTGTTATTACTATTTTATTTTAGAAATCATCTTTAGCCTGGCACTGATTTTGGCACGTTTCTTTATTTATTTGGCACGTTTCTGTGTTTTAATTTGGTATAATTATTGATTTGATTTTTATATCTCTACGTATTCAAAACTTATTAATTTTTAAAATTTTTTTTTTTAATAATGATATTTAAATTCCTATTTTCAGTGCTGGCAGTGTCGTACGCTTGCGAGTTCAAACAACAAGGATGTAAAATCGAAGGCTCGTCGTGCATCTGCGGCGAGGGGTGTCCAGGACAATACCGCTACTTGACTAAGACTCACTGCCACCGCGCCCTCATGAAAGGCAAGTCTGTTTTTATCACGGATCTTTCGTCATCTCTCGCGCTCCGTATTGAAACAGCAGCACATGTGATGCGCAGACGTTTTGAAAGGATGCAAAGTTTTGCAATGAAAACATGTTAGTGTTTAAAAAAACGCAATCCATTACGATTTGTATTCCCATACGGAAATTCAAAATACGGTATTCAAAATTGGAGCTCAAGATTTGAATGAAGTGAGAGATGGAATTATTCTAATCAGTTTTAAAAACAATTTTTTAAGAGAATAAAAAAAAATGCGTTTTATATTTTATCTTTTTTTTTATCTATATCTAATATTTTAATATAAAATGTATTTTTATTTAAAAAAAAAACTTGCGATGAAATCTTCCAATTTAAATGCAGCACGTAAAGGGCGAGATGTTTGCTACCGAAATCCGTGTCAAAACGGAGGCGCCTGCGTCCAGAGTTCACAAGAGCCAGGCTACAAGTGTCGGTGCGAAGGAACAGGCTACTTCGGCAGGCGATGTGAAATGGGTAAATTCAATCAAATTGGTTTTTAAACAAGATTAATATTATCTGAATTAAAACAGATTGCACGTTGGCAAGCAACTATGAGGGCCACAGGTACCCGTACGAGTGTGTCATGATCTGAAGAAGGGTTTTCGAATGACAAAATCTTCGAGGTTGATTTTTCCAAATTATATTTCATAATGTACAATCAATTATTTTTCATTAACAATATTACTTTTTGTTTCTTCATTGTAAGCCAGAATATCATGAATAAAAAGAATCGTACATGTTCATCGTATTAATAGAAAGAATCTTGAGTTAATATTAGTTTTTTTGGAATAACAAGAGCCGTCGGGGAGAACGACGGCCCAACCTGTTTCTTTTTATTTAGTTCTTTTTCTCATCAGTTTCCCTTCTTTCTTGGTTGACTCAGCTGCTAGTAAGATATATACTTAACAAAAACGTAGGAGCGGGGGTTTGACAATTTTTAATAACGCGATCCAAGCTTCTTTGTTTTTGCCAAAAAGAAGTTTTCAAAATACATTTCATTAAGGCTAGAAAAGTTTTCCTCTCTATAGACTAATGTATAATTAGTTTTGCATCTCCGTACATTTCTCAGACATCAAAAAACCCTGATTTCAAAATCAACGAGGAATTTTACAACGATTGCTTTGCATAATCTGAGGATTACACAAAAATATCATCAGTGTGTGCCTACAATTATGTGAAGGAAAAAGAGGGGGAGATAGACGGAGAGAGAGAAAGGGGGAAATAAACAATGACACATACAGTAAAGCAGTTCCCTTGTTGACATGCACACAAATATTTTCATCAAAAAACTTCTTTTTTATGCTTTCTTTTCATTTTTCACTTTTGTTTCTTTTTTTGTTTGGTTTTCTTCTTCTTAGCGCTATACTTTAAATATTAACAAATGTTACAGTTTCTCAGTCTTGGTAACAATGGGTGCGTTAATATATTCACATGGTTGTTTCTTTCTTACTTTTGAATTATTCATTTATAAATCTTCGCGTCAAGTTACTTTTTTCTTGCTTGCTTAACTCATCTCTCGCGGCTAGTTAACATTAATTCAGTTGCAATCCAATTGTCTTTATTTATTGTGAACGGTCCTGCTTGCTCGAGCTTTGGTATTTCATTTGTTTTAATCATCATAGTAAATGTGTAGTTCTCTAGACCTTCTTCTCATAAAAACGTCTCTCTGCTCTACTCAACCAAAACAGCAATAATTCGTTTCTTGTATTTTTTTTTCTTCGCAAAGTTGTAGTTTAGTAGCGTGTAGTAATAATATGCAAAGTTTCCTAGGCAAATATGCAAGAAAAGCTTAGTTTGTTTGTGTGCAGATTTTTTTAAGAAATTCTTTTTTTTTATGTGATGCCCCAAAATTACTTCAATAATGAGTACAGCAATAAGTTTTGCTAAAAAGTGACTTGGTTTGAAGCACTGCGTCAGTTAAAAAATTTATGCATCTCTTCTGCAAAAATCAATCTTACGACAACTTAAATTTACCATTAGATCAATTTTAATAATAGCAAACATCAGGGGTGAGGAATTGTATGTATTTTTTTGCAGCATCCACGTCGTCTAGACTGTTTAAAGCATTTTTGGTTTTGTTGTTTCAATTAAATAATTTCACTGATATGCATCAATTTTCACCAAGAATTTCTTTCTCTTTTGTTTTTTTGTCCCCGAATAAATGCAGGACTAAAATCAGAGGCGTAATTAATTAAGCTACGAGGAAACTTTGATTAGAATTGCGTGCGAGGGCCCATTTGTTGGTCGGGCCGCAGAAAGGCTGCGTAGTAGTTTTAACATTCGAGCGTGATTTTTGTTTATCACATAATTATTTACTTTTACTTGGTTTCTTCGGGTTTCTCCTCCTCGATGGTGACAACGCCTGGCTTCCTGGGGGTGCGCGCCTCGCTGCTGAAACCCTTGGTGCTTGAGTCGGGGCCCTTGGGCTGACGCAGGGTGACCACCTTGGGGCCACTGTCATCGATGCTGATGCTCCTCAGCTTGCTCATCATCCTCTCTGGACGCCGCGCATCTCTTTAATTTTAAATGCAATAAATCAAATCCTATTTTTCTTTTTTTTTATGAAAATTTGGAACTTACGCAGTGCGAACTAAAGAGCAGGCAGATGACTTGCCGGTGCGCTGGTTGGTAACCAGAACAAACTCAACAGTGTCTCCAGACATGAGGTTGACGTTGTCAGCAACCTCAGAGGCGCGGAAGAATAACTTTTTACCATCTTCCATCTCGTGATTGAGAAATCCGAACTGGCCTGCAGACAAAAAATTTGAGAATATGAGTTGCCTAATTTGATAAGTGAATTTGAAGCAAACAATTTGATCCAATTGCTAAGTATTACTAATATTCAATTTGTTAATAAGCAAACAAAATTTGAAGATCCAAAAAATCACCATAAATTTGGCGTTAATTTTCTTTAAGGGTACGAGTAGATTTTCATATTTTATTAATCTTAGCAATTCATTACCTTTGACGGTATCAACGGTGGCCCTCAACTTCTTCCTGACGGCAACAACATTGGTAGCCCTGTTGTCTGCATCAACCTGGAAGGTGACAGGGTCCCCGTTTTGCAGCAGCTCCCGCTTGTTTTGCAAACTGGATATCCCAAACTCGAATTCAGCTGGCGCGGTTCCATCGTCGTCCTCGTCAAGAGCCTCCCTTATAAGACCAGCATACTCGGCCTGCTCAGGGTTGGCCGCTCTGAGGGACCTGACCACCTTGCCAGACCGCAACTCTGGGTTGATTTCTGCTACCTTGATGGAGCCCTTGGTCAGGACGCGCACGTTTTCAGCTGAGACGCAGGAGCCGTTGGAGGTGTTTCTGGCACCCAAGGTGAATTCAACCTCAGCCCCGATTTCAAGGGTCGAAGGATCGCGGTCGTAGTTGCTGAAATGGAAGAAGACCTCACGGTCGTGCGAGGAAGCCTCTATGAAGCCAAAGCCGTCCTTGATGGCGGCCACCCAGCCCTGGCACTGACACCCTACAGGACCAAGGGGAATCAGACCGACAGAGTTGCTGACAGAGGTGGAGTTGCCGTTCTTGCTTGGTGACGCTTTCTGGGTCACCTGGACGTCCACCCCAAGGATTTCTTTGTTGCGCTTTACTTGAGACAGGTTGAATCTCACCTGAAAAATGTACAGTATTTGATCAAACAGTGCTAAGATTAAATTTTCATTCCCCTTTGCTATTTAAATATAAGAAAAGTGCAAATGTCAATTTAAGTCTTTCTAAAAAAGAAATTAAATAAAAAAATAAAAAAATGCAAGGCTGGTTAAAAATTTAGAGATTAAAATTTGTTTTATCAAAAAAAGATTTAAATTAATTGATATAACAAAGGATCCAACAAATTTCAGGTAATGATTCTATGAAAACAAATATAAACATTTTAGCTTAGTTAGTAACCAGCATAAAAATATCATAACTTTAATGACATTGAATCCTGGCCAAACGTCATCTCAAATACCAAAACGTTCAGGAAAGAAACTAAAAGTAGCAAAGTTCAGCTCCTAAAACGGTGTACAAGCTCTGATTTATCAGAAACACTAAATACAAATAAGGACCCCAGAAGGTTTTTAAAGGGGGGGATATTTAAATAATCCTAGTTATTTTAGGTCACCTTATCATTTATGCGTGGGATATTCTTGATGTCATGGCAATCTTTAGCATAGTAGTTGACAGTGGTCTTTTCTCCATCAACCATATATGTAATCTGTCCAGCTTCCAATTGAGTTTTCTCGCCCTACAATTTATCATCAAAATAATATTAATTATAAACTTTAGCAAAGGACAAACCTTTGTTGGACTACGGGGCTGCCAGGTGGTCAGGTTAGGCGCCTCTTTGGTGATGACTCCGTTAATGTCCCGCTGCATAATCAGCTCAAACTGAACTGTGCCAGGAGAAAGCAGTAGAATGCGAGTAGCACTGTGCCTTCCAGGCTGGGATGTGTCCTTAATTTTAATTGTAAGTAAATTAGCATTAAATTGACTTCAGCAAATTTACTTGGACAACGGTGAATTCAACTTCGTCTCCAATGCGAAGAGTGCGATCAACGTCGAGCATTTCATTCAGGTGGAAAAACATGCGAGCATCACGGTCAGCACAGTTGATGAAGCCGAAACCGTCCTTCAGGTTGACAACAGTACCTTGCTCACGTTTCTCACCAGACACATTGAAAGATTCAGGCAGGATCTGAAAAATGATTGTGATAAGAATGTTGATAACTTGCTAACAGCAAAAAATTCATATTAACAGACTTCAAGCATAAGTCACTAAAGAAAAATTAAATCTTTTACAATCAGGTTGCAATATTAAATTGCGTACGACAAATTTTAAATACTGTACAGGTTGGCCCATAAGTAGTCCGTGATCTTTGACAGCTCGCCACGGGCGAACCGTTGGTCGAATTTGAAAAATCTGCACAGATTCTGAAAGCCCAACTTTCTACAAATTTGCCTGGCATAGTAAGAATTTTGGCAGAGTTGAAATTGTAATTGTTTTAAAAGGAAAACTAAAAAATGAGAAAGTGCCTTATGGGACTTCCCATATAGCAGCATTATGAGTGTCGGAAGTTCAAAGTGAAAATCATGTTTTTTAGGTAAATCGACCCTCCTGAACACGAATCCGTGGTCGGTTTTTTGAAATTCTCATTATTTCTAATTTTTCCCCTCAATTTGCAAATATTCGCAAAATGTGCCAAAAAAACTAACACGTGGAGATAAAAATCTGAAAATTGCTGGAGGGGTGCACCTTGAACATAACAACAACGTAATTTTTCCATACTTGCTATTTTCCGGAAAATTGACCATTTTCACAAGGGGTCCACGTTTTGGTCGATTTCTCGATTTCTATGGGAGTTAAAAACAAAACTTAAAGTGATTCTGAAAGCTGATTTAATTTCCTATCTTTCCTCTGTGAACATTAACTTTCCAACACTGGCTGCTTTTCCGGAAAATTGAAGAAAAAAATTAACTTATTTTTCCCAGAGAGTATGCAACCCGCAACAGAAAGTCGAAATAGCCAAAATGTAGCTTGATTCTTTGGCAAGACACCCCTAAAATTTCAAAACTTTTCCTCCAGCCGTTTTTCCGCAATCGCCGATTTTCCCGACCCCTTTTGGGAAAAATAAAACTTTTCCGGAAAGGCATGTGTGATGCATCATTCGATTAGGCACGTCAAGGAGATGCTAGAAATGAATTTTTATCAAAATCGGATCATTTTTCAAATTTTCAGAGCAGTTTTTGTAAATTAAAAAAAGTTCATTTTTCAAACTGCTCTGAAAATTTGAAAAATGATCCGATTTTGATAAAAATTCATTTCTAGCATCTCCTTGATGTGCCTAATCGAATGATGCATCACACATGCCTTTCCGGAAAAGTTTTATTTTTCCCAAAAGGGGTCGGGAAAATCGGCGATTGCGGAAAAACGGCTGGAGGAAAAGTTTTGAAATTTTAGAGGTGTCTTGCCAAAGAACCAAGCTACATTTTGGCTATTTCGACTTTCTGTTGCGGGTTGCATACTCTCTGGGAAAAATAAGTTAATTTTTTTCTTCAATTTTCCGGAAAAGCAGCCAGTGTTGGAAAGTTAATGTTCACAGAGGAAAGATAGGAAATTTAATCAGCTTTCAGAATCACTTTAAGTTTTGTTTTTAACTCCCATAGAAATCGAGAAATCGACCAAAACGTGGACCCCTTGTGAAAATGGTCAATTTTCCGGAAAATAGCAAGTATGGAAAAATTACGTTGTTGTTATGTTCAAGATGCACCCCTCCAGCAATTTTCAGATTTTTATCTCCACGTGTTAGTTTTTTTGGCACATTTTGCGAATATTTGCAAATTGAGGGGAAAAATTAGAAATAATGAGAATTTCAAAAAACCGACCACGGATTCGTGTTCAGGAGGGTCGATTTACCTAAAAAACATGATTTTCACTTTGAACTTCCGACACTCATAATGCTGCTATATGGGAAGTCCCATAAGGCACTTTCTCATTTTTTAGTTTTCCTTTTAAAACAATTACAATTTCAACTCTGCCAAAATTCTTACTATGCCAGGCAAATTTGTAGAAAGTTGGGCTTTCAGAATCTGTGCAGATTTTTCAAATTCGACCAACGGTTCGCCCGTGGCGAGCTGTCAAAGATCACGGACTACTTATGGGCCAACCTGTATAACTTAATTCAAAAGGTACAACTTTAATAAAATAAATTTGAAGGGTACAAAAAGCCAACATATAAAACGCATCTAACATTGATACCTTGATTTTGGTGGCTCTCTGGAGGCCGTCACGCCTGTCCGTAGCAACACAGAACTCAACCCAGTCACCGTGTCTCAGGGTAAAGTCACCCTGCTGGTCTTTGTCTCCAAACTGGATGTCGACCTCCTTATGGTCAGGAGCGCGGTAGCGAAGACGGCCGGGAAGAGGATCGTTTTGATGGCGAGCCAAGTTGCGTTCTAGAGGCTTTAAAACTTGGCCACTGATGGTCTCGGTGCCAACATCCTCAAATACAACACTGCCTGACTCAAGACGAGTGATGTTACACGCCACCTCTTTGCCCTGAGAAATAATAATATATAAGAAAAACAGTTTAAGAAATAATTCCGAAATATCAAAGAAAATTAATAGTTTGATAGGTTAAAAAATTTATAGCTTTGTAGTAAACAAGTTTTAATTATAATTTTTTAACTGCTTAAATAGAAATTAAATTTGCGGTGAAACTTGCATTTCTGGTTTGAATGGTGAACTCAACGTCATCGCCAAGGGCAAGTTCTTCTTTCATGCCCTTTGCCTCGGAGAAGTGGAAGAAAATCTCTTTAACAACATCGGCCCGCTCGATAAATCCAAAGCTCTCCTTCATTGAGCAAACCACACCCTGGTAACGAACAGGGTGCGCTGGATTTTCCAGGCGGACGTTCCTAGCAGCTAAATTTCCACTCCTACTGAAATAGCCAAGGAGAAGATTTTATTTAAAATTTTGATTCAATTGAGGTCAAGTGCCAAGACCTTTGGTTGGTGGCAATCTGGAAGGAGACCTTGTCGCCGGACCGCAAGGTGACGTTGCCCTCAACGTCGTCCTTGTTGTAGGGCAGGAAGAAACATTCACCTCTGTTTTCGTAGCTGATGCGACCCTGCATCTCAGGCGGCTGCGACAGCTCAGTGGTAACAAGGCCCATGACCCGCTCTTCGCTCAGGACCACCTCGGGTGCTATCTTGGTCACCGCACTGGCAATGGGTTTGCCTGTCCGGCGGTCATAAGTCATCTCAAACTCGACAGGGTCTCCGATTTTCAGGTGCTCGATGTTGCCGTTGAACTGGCTGAAGTGGAAGAATAGACGAGCTTGGCGGTCGCAGCATTGAATGAAGCCGTAAGAATGCTGAAAGATAAATTTTTTGAAAAACTTTTTATCAGAGGCAATTTAGGCAATTAGCATAAAATATTATAAAATTATCAAATATTTCATTTACTTTTACTAATTTATTATTATCATATATTTTTATTTTGGCCAGGCCAAGACAGAGTGTCTTGTCAACATGTGCCCATTTTGAGCTTGCGGAAGGCATGCTCCAATCTTAGAACTGTTTTTTTTTTAACTAATATGAAGCGATTTTTATTTTAAATTATGGGAAAATCCTTTTAAAATAAAATAAAATAAATAAACAAAATTTTCCAAACTTTGAACTTATATCAAATATACTAAAAAAAAGCAATAAAAATCATATTTAAAATTTATGCTTCATAAAAAAAAAACGCAACTAATATGGATGTCTCACCAAAAGTTTTTCAATAATCCCCGTTTCACGAATACTCTGGTTGTTGGCCATGGCGTCTCCGAAGTTGTTGGACGAGTTTGACGATGCTGGTGGGGAGCGTCCTCCATAGACATTATTGTCCGAGGAGGCGCCGTTGCTGAAAACGTCAGTGGTGGAAAATGTGCCGATCGTTGGAAAACGGGCCGACGAAGATGACGAGTTGTTGGAGGAAGATGAAGGATACCCGCCGCTGCCCATGACTGGCCTCATGTAGGGGGACGGCGACGAGTAACTAGAGTTGTAGTCAGAATGTTGTTGACCTGCTTAAATAATCATAATAATTTACACCTTTCCCTATTTCTATTCAAAAAGCAACCTTGGTTTTTGAAGTTGTAAACTTCAGACGTGGAGCTGTTGTTCATGGCTGTTGGCGGCTGGAAATGACTCCACTGAGGATCGTAGGACATGTTTTCATAAATCTTTTCAGTTGTTGATTATATTCAAGTTGCGAGTCTTAACGTTAAATATCACAGCAGCAGTGGCTTATTACAATTCACAAGTTGAATTAAAAACAATTAATGACAACGCGCTTTTATCTTTCTTGAGTTTGTCAGCGGCCGAGAGCAGAGTGATCTTGCAGAGGGAGGCCACGGACACACAGACAGACAGGAAATAATGAAAGTAGTCGGGGGTGGATCCTCAGATGTGATCAATGCGTGCAAAGTATTGCTGAGTTTCTTGCTAGTGTTGCGTTCGTTTCTTGGTCTCTTCTTTTGCCAATTCCGATTGAGATGTTGGTAATTTGCGTTTACTTCTCAAACACGCTGCAAAAAATAATCTGTTTACTCAATTTGTTAGAGAATATACGAGAAAGTTAATGACAAACAAAATGTGAAAAACTTCTCGGCAGTGGAACTTCACGGTAGGAATGTTACGAATCAATATCATTTCAAGAATTTAAATACATATTGACGAGTGGAATTATAGAAAATGTGCAAATCATTCCAGCAATTCGCGTCACGCTCGATAGCGTGGATCCCGCGTTCGGCGGCCGCAGTCTCGTGGACGTTACGAAAAATCGACAGACCTTCCAAATTTAAAAAAAAAAAATCACATCGAGCATTTTTGACACAGATTTATGTGTTGGAAAAAAAGACTGTAAATTTCTCTTCAGGCTCATTTTGCAGAAAAGAGGTCGGCGATTTCTCCCGATCAAATCAACTCGTGCCGACCTCAATCGGCACTAATTGAACTTTCGCAATGAAAAAAAAACTTTTGCGGAATCAAATGCACTACTCGTGAAGCCCAAAAGAGATTTCAGATGTCGATATTCGACAAAACTACGACTACTCACCAAAACACTGCACTGCACTGATGACATGCCGCCATGTTGTATCGGCTCTGCGAGACTGGCCGGCGAGTCGCGAATCAACGTTTGCGCCCACCGATGCTCAACTTTTTCCTGTTGATTTTTTTGAAAATTGGCTCCAATTCCTCATGCGCATGGGGAGGCGGGAAAAAGAAACAAATCGTGTAGTCATTTCAAAGAGAACAAGATGCCAAAAGGGTACAACGCAGGCCAAAGGGACGTTTTACGCTAAAAATATGTGATTATTATCCTACAACATATCTGATCTGCATTATATTTAGATGAATGAAGCCTTTGCGGAACAATTTTCTTAATTTTTCCAAAACACACAGACAGCGATTGCAAATATCAAAGAGCGCTTGATTTTAAGGATGTTTTCACCAAATTTTGTTGCGGTTGCAAACCCCATGGAATAATAAGAATGATTTTATTAACCCCACTTTCCCGGAAAAGCTGGCCACTGTACGGAAGTAGCTTACACAGAGTAGAAAATGAGTAAAATTTCCAAAATTTCCTCACAATAATAATAACAATCAGATTTTAAAATCGTCTTACTTTATGTTTCTAGCTAGAGAAGCTGAAAAATAAACAAAAACACCCATGGAAACAGAAACTTTTCAGTAAAAAAGAAAAGCTATGTAGTATTAAAAATTTTGATGCTCCATGGCTCTATTGATCTATGGCCATCCAAGAAATTTGAAATTTTTATGTCAGCGCGTTAATATTTTTTGCACTTATGATTATGAGAATTGAGAAACCTTAAAATGATAAAATAAAAACACGAGCCAAATATTGAAACATTTATATGGCGTAGGCGCGTAATTTGAAATTATTTGAGAGCAATTACTTTATTAAAATTTTAATTAATTACCAATCTCTGAAAAAATTTATTTTTTAATATGAAAATATTGATGAAAGGTACACATCAAATTTTGTGTGTGCTTCGATTACTCATTTGCGATTTTTCACTTTAGAAAGTAAAAATTGACAAACATGCTCAGCTTGTCCAAGCAAATGTATGTGTCACATTTGTTACGTGCACGCACATCTATTTTATAATACAAACGCCCTGATAAGATATGCAGTCAGTGCGCGTCCAGCACCTTTTATCAGTGGCTCCACACGGTGCAGCGCCGATAAGGAGACAAATGCGACTGTGGCCGCGCCGAAAGTTGTTAGTTATCCGCCTGAAAGCACCATGGATAATCCGTGCGGGCTATGAACTGCGCCGAAAGTGAGTTTTTCAGGGAGAATTAAATTCAAAAAAAGTTGACCTGATAAAATTTCTGAACTTTAAGTGATGCGATCAAAGAGCTCTAGCAAACCGAAAGATGCGATGCGCCTAAAATCAGAAGATATCGGCGCCCCGCTGAATTTCAATCACGTCGTCCATGTCGCGCCCCGACCGTTGGTCTCCGTCAATTTGAACGATCCTCACATCCAGGCCTTTCTTCAGCAGGTAATTATAAGAATTAAGAAAAAAATATAAATTTCTAATCTCTTGCAACACCAGTTTCAAAGCAAACAAAAATATAGCAATCAATGAGTCTAGAATGTTTTCCATCTCAGCAATATATATTGTTATTATTAATGTTGTTATCTCTCGTTTTATTGACTAATTTTATATTTCAGGCTGGAGTAACTGAAGATCAATTGTCAAATTTGGCTGTTTACGAGACTATCGTCAATTTCATTAATGTTCACGGCGTGGATGAAGTTAAAAAAGAAGTGGCGGATCAGCAGGTAGTCGGTCCTTCAAAACTAGCACCTGTTGATACTGTTGATAGCGCCGTACCAGCAGAAATTGCATTGGAAAAAAGTAAAAATGCGTTTAAATATTAATTAATTATTAATTTTTTTCTATTTATTTTTTCAGTTGACGTGCAAGATTTTCAAGGAGAGGATGAAACGAAAAAGCAAAAAATAGACGCTAGTCCGAGCTTCATTTCTCGTATTTTCAAAGGGAAGAAAAAGTCATCAAATGTTTCTATTCATGCTAAAGAAGAGAAAGAATTGAAAGAGGCATCAACCAGCCAAATTGTGACGGAGGCCGTTGAAACTTTGGATAAAGAAGTCGATGAAGGTGTGAAACTGTTGGCCGTTGAAGAAGAAGGAAAAAAGGGCAAGAAAAAGTTTTTCTTTAGTAAAGAAATTAAGGAGGAAAACAATCATCCGCCGGAAGAGAAGTCAGGAGGGTCTTTTTTCAGCTTGAATTGGGGGAGGAAAGAGAGCGACGCGAAAAAACGAAAGGCCGAGGAAACGGCCGAGCCTAAAAAAACCGCTGGAATTTTTAAAAGAAATTTGAAAAAGACCAGGGTCGGAAGTACAACAAGCAGTAGCAGTGAAGACGATGAGACGATCAATTTAAAACCAGACGGCGATGAGGAAACCATTGAGACTGCACCTGAAGTGCTAAAGCCCACTCCGATAGAAAAAAAGCGCAACTTTTTCAGGAACAAAACGAAGAAGTCGGCGTCGGTCGACGAGCTGCAGTTGGAAAAAAAGCGATTCGATAACATTGAAGGCAAAGAAACAAGCAGCGACGACGAGGGAAAGAAAATTTCTTCACTTCAAAAACAAAAAAAGGAGTTGTTCAGAATCAAAGGGAAGAACGCTGTGTCCGTTGACGTACACCAAGAGGTAGTCGCTGAAGAGGTGGAAAGAATTGAGAACTCGCCAGTATACGCCCAGGTACAGAAAACGTCTCGGTTTTTCGGACAGAAAAGTAAACGTGAGTCATCGGACAGTTACGACAAACTGGATAATCAGGAAGAATTTGATGAGGCGTTCAAGAAAGAGGCGGAGAACGCTTCCAAATTAAACATTATTCCTAACTTGACCAAAACGGACAGTTCTCAAAAGAAGAAGACGGACGGCGAGAAGACGTCAACTTTGGACAGGCACTCCACTGGAAGTGGATTCTTCAAATTTGGGAGTTTGAGGTCATCAAAAAGGGGATCTGCCCCAGTGGAACGTGTCCCTGAGGCGCCGATAAGCACCCTTCCTGAGGAGAATAAACACAAAGTGAAAAAGTACAAGGTCCATAGAATTGCACAAATGTCTAGCGCCTCATTGAACACGCAGTCAGCGGGTGATGTCACTTCTTCGGACGAGCACTCGGACGGAAAGCATAAGGCAAAGCGCAGACCTAGAAAGACAAAGAAAGGCAACAAACCTGAGACAGGGTCAGACGCCGAATCGCCTCCTGGAATGTTCAGACGGATTTTTTCAAGAAGATCTGCTTCAGAAACCAGAGAATCCAAAAAGCAGGACCGCATCAAGAAGCAAAGAAGGAGCAGTTTAGACGCAACTCCCGTCAAAGAAGAAGAAGTTAAAATTGAAGAAAATTTGAAAGAATCTGTAGAAGTTCTGCAAGATCCTATTTATGAGAATTTCCCACCAAAAGGAGAGGAGGACGAAAAGAGCAAATCAACAGACGAGGAGGCGGACGAGTATTACGCGCAATACCACCAGGAGAAAAAGCAAGTCAATCAGGCACGAAGGTCGTGGTCCTTTGTGATGGCCGAACTGAAGGAAAAAATCACCTCATTCGACGAGGAAGATCTGGGCGAGCCAGAGAGACTGGTGTTTCAGTTGAAAATGGTCGGGGATGAGGAGGGCATCGAAGGCGAGAAGTACTCCACCGTCCGACTACAGCAGATGAAGTCAGACCCTTCATTAGCTGACAGACGAAGTTCTACCTCCTCAGAGGACGAGCTTGAGAAGATCAAACGGTCCGTGGAGAAGTTAGACAATGATTATTTTGAACAAAAAGATGTAAAAGAGGTTTCAGAGAGTGTTTCAGTTATCCAACCTAAGGTTTCCAAAGAAATTCTACCAACTGAAGAAACCGAGGTTAAAATTGAGGTTGAGAAGCCTCCCGAAGACAAATCTGCAATTCCAAACCTTGAAAAAATCAGACCGACCCTTCCACTTCCCATCAGAGTCAAAATGTCCGACGCTTCCTCTTCGTCTGAAGACCAGCTGTCTCCTGATCAGATCACATCTCCCTCTTCGTCCGGACAAAACCCACTGTCTCCGTCCGATGCTTTGGAAACCGATTCTCGGGAGGGCAGTGTCCGATCCCCTTTGTCCTTGGATTCTCTGGACAGCAACCAGAACACAAACAACAACGAGGACGACGTGCAACAAGAAGTGATCTTGAGGAGCAGTCTTGTCCGTCAGGGTAGCAGTCTGGTGTCCAACTCTGAGTCAAGACCACTGTCCGACCGCCAGCTGAAGATCGCAGATACCATCGAAGTTGAAGACGAGCAACCCCCTGTTATTAGACAGGTGGTGCCCAAGCAGTCAGGCCGTCGGTTGGAGCGTGGAAGTCGAGTGTCCAAGCGTCCGACCTCATCCATGTCGTCTTCAAACGAGGAGAGTGGCTCCCTGCCAAATTCTCCTGTCCAGAAAGAGCCACAGAAACCATCAGTGCCGGTAGTAGAGGAACCAATTATTCGAATGAAGGTGCGCAGGACTTCTTCATCGTCGTCCGATTCATCCTCCAAGGGGGACAGCATACCATCGTCTACGGAGGACCTCACGGTCAAGCAGGGTAGTGACAAGGAGAACTTGCAAACGCGCAGGGAATCTATAAATGATGACGTCTTCGAAACAGAGGTAATAAAAGTTTACCAGCAACTAAAATTACTAGAAAAATTTAGCAAGTTGAAGGGCCATAATTTAAATTTATATGAACATTTTTTTAAGTAATTTTTGTGTGTGCCAAAATATTTTGAGGGAAAAAATACCACAAATTTCAATTAATATTAATAATTTTATATCATTATTTATTTCATATTATTAAGTTGCCTACAAATATTTAAAGTCCAAAATGAATGAAAGGGTAATTAATTATTACTTATTATTATGAATCTCTATTGACTTATTGATACTTTTTTTGCAAATTTTTCCAAAATATAGTCATTGACGTCCAAGCGTACGAGCGTGGAAAGGAATGCAAGCTATCATCGTGCAGTAGAGAAATCCGGCAGCCTGCCACTCCCGCGGAAAAACGGCCAGCCAGGTAAACAAGATAAGGCGCTGATTAGAAACGGGCGTAAAATTTTGGAGCAATAATTACGCCTTTTATCAGCGGCTGACGAATATCAGTGTGTGTTTTAGTCACTTCCAATTTCTAGCTGAGATTTTCGCAACGAGGAAAAAGACGAAAATAAAACCTTATTTTTCTTTATAACACAGGAAGGCGCAGCTCAAGTAACGCGTCACGCATCCCGCGGCCTATTCTGAAGAAGCCAAGGCGGCGCACGGTGGACAACTGGCCCTCCACACACAAAGTCACTGAACTGTGATAAAAAAAAATCAAAGAGCTCCTGCTTAACTGCTGCTTAATTTCTTAGTTGCTTTTAATTTCATTTAATCTGTAGTCTGTGCTGTGTGTTGCTACATGAATCAAAATAAAATTTAAAACTAAAAATTTTAAATGGAAAAAATATTTAATTTTTATCGTAATATATCTACAATATGTCTATTTACGCATGAAAAATAGTATATCTTCATTTTTAAAAAGTTGGTTTAGACTGACGTGAAATTTAATTTTATATCAGTTCAATGATAAATTAACAAGTTGTGATGGGATTTTCTAGGCGCAAAAAAAATGTATTTTAAATTATTATAGTTCGAATTTAATAAATTAAATTTTCCTGCAATGATAAAAGTTATCAAATGCGTGAACAATAATTTCAATAAAAGTTTAGCTAAAAAAAATTTCAAATGCTCTTGTGAAATTTAAAAAAAAATTACGAAAAATTATTTTTAATCGGTAAACCATTAGGCTTGCAATAATTATATTAATCATATTCATAAACTTTAAAAAGCTGTAAATTTGCCGATCCTTTTAATATTTGGTTTATTTTATTATATTTCAATCAAAAAAATTTTTAAATAATTCATTTTCCTAATCTTGGCTATTTTTTTTTTTAACTGTTCAATGCACAGTTTCAAACATATTTTTTTTTTAATTTATAGATAAATTCTAAATTTGTCCGATTGCAAGGGATTCTTGATAAGTGGTATCTTTGGAATATAAGGAATTTATTTGGAATTCAAGGCACTGTAAAGCTGATAAATTTTTATAAAGCAGACTTCCCGTCGATCACCAATGTAAAGGAATTTGCTACTTTATGCTCGACTTTGACAGCGCATCCAAATGAAAAGGAAGGTGGAAGTAAACAAAATCACTTTGCTGTGTTATATGTATGTATATTTCAGTCTCACCGATAAAAGCCACGAAAGATGTTTGCAGCCAAATCCATTCTCGTTTTTGACAACGGTTCCGGATCTTTGAAGGCAGATTTTGCCACAGCCGATTCTCCCAGCATTGTTTTCTCGTCAGTCGTTGGCCGACCACGAATTGCAAGTTATTTTAATAAAATATTTTTTACACAAAACTGATGAATATAATCCCCATGATAAATATCTGTTATGATCGTTTTTTAGTGAATTTTTCATTAGACTATAATATTATGCTTATTTTTCTCCCATTTTTATTAAATATTTGATTGTTTTGACTCGTTAAATGTTTTGTTGTAACCCTTTTTTCGTTATAAAATTAATCATCGTTGAGAAAAATCAATAAAAATTTTTTTGCATATTTTACAGTTTTGTTTTAAAACACAATTTGAGGCTATACTTGTAGATAACTTTGATCTTTGAATGATATTATTATAATTATTTTTTCGATCAAAAATTTAAATTTGAAATAATGAGGGTTTACAACCAAAGATGTCAAAACAGACTTGGGCCGCCACCTTAAATCTCACACTAATTTTGTTTACTTTTTAGATAGGTGAATTGGTCCTTGGCGTGAATCCGAGGGACAACTACGTGGGCAAAGATGCTCAAGAAAAGAGAGGCATCCTTGCACTTTCCTACCCGATTGATCACGGACGAGTAGCCGACTGGGACGACATGGCGAAGATCTGGCACCACACATTCTACAGCGAGCTCAGGGTGGTTCCTGACGAGCACCCTGTTCTGCTCACCGCGCCGCCCCTCAATCCTTTGCGCCACCATGAGAAGACTACCCAGATCATGTTCGAGACTTTCAACACTCCTGCCATGAACATCGGCAACAAACTGAAGCTGGTGTTGCACTCAACAGGCCGCTCATCCGGATTGGTACTCCACTGCGGTGACGGAGTAACTTGCACACTCCCAATTTATGAAGGTGAATATTTATTTTTTGATGCAAAGTTAATTTGAAAGTATTTTCTTTTGCACACATGACTCTACATTTTATTAAATTATTTAGTGTTTCTAAATTAATTTTGTGTTTGAAAAAGAAAGTGTTTTAATTGTTTAAATCCAATCCCACATACCTACAAAATTATATGTACACAATCATTTTTTTTTAATACTTTTGAACTAGCGTGAAAATTATTGTTTTTACAGGTTTCACCCTTCCACATGCAATGGAACGTATAAAACTTGCTGGCCGTGACTGCACTGAGTACCTGATGAAGATGTTAACAAATGGGGCCTTCAACTTCTCCACCACTGCGGAGCGAGAGATCGTTCGGGACATCAAGGAAAAATTGTGCTTCGTGGCGCCGGAATCAGAGCACAGGGTCAAATCGAGCAAAGTGGAAAAGGCGTACATTTTGCCTGATGGTCAGGTGATCACCCTTGGCAAAGAGCGCTACCTCTGCCCCGAGCTACTCTTCCAGCCTTCACTTCTAGGTATGGATTGTTGTTGATATTGATTTTGGCTTTGGCAGGACCATTCAGCCAGATCTGTGTGTTGAGAGCATTTAATTACTTAATGTGGAAAATATTTTTGTTAGGTATGGATGTGAGAGGAGTGCACGAGATAGTGTACAGCTCCATTATGCGCTGCGCCATGGACACTCGGAAGGAGCTGTACAAAAACATTGTTCTCTCCGGAGGCTCCACCATGCACCCTCGCTTTGCCGACCGTTTGCAGAAAGAGATCTCAGACCTGGCTCCAAGCACAATGAGTATCAACATCATCGCCCCTCCAGAGAGAAACTTTTCCGCCTGGATTGGTGGGTCCATTGTTGCCCGTATGCCAACCTTGATGTGGATCACCAAGCAGGCTTACGACGAGTGCGGTGAATCCATCGTGCACAGGATGTGCTACTAAGCCTTGTAAAAATTGAATTTTTGTGATATTCTCTTTTTAAAATTGTAAATGATTTTGCTTATTTTGTATATTTCAATGGATTAATTTTGTCTTGTAATTGAATAATTCATGAAATTAAAATATCTTTCCATAAGACTAAGTCTAACTTTTTTAAATTTTGAAACAAGGAAAAAGTTGACTTTAATTTAAAATTTCATCAGGGAGTTATAATTTTTTTCATAAAAAAGCATAATATTTGTATTTCTGCATTTTATTTTTTATTGTAGAAGATTGTGTTTTTATAGGAACGCACTGCTTTAATTTATCTCTTATCTCCAATCTAACATTTCCGGTAATTTTCATTATGGATCAGTGATTTGATATTTTTTCTCTCTCTTTTTGATACTGCGTTTTGTTTTTGAGTCAGTCTTGGACAGGGGACTGGCTAGCTTGACACGATTACACTACAGAAGTGCACTGCCCCGAGAAAATATCGATTTGGTTGCCACAAGGTTTAATTGAGTTACGGTGTCATCTTTTCAAAATCAAAATTTTGAATTGAATGTCATTCTAAAGATGCCGTGGATATTTACAAAACGATAGCAAAAATCTACATAGAAAAAATTACACAAAGGCAAGTGGACGAAGATCGTTTATCGAAAATTTCGTCACGGCTTAAGTACAAAAATATTATGTTTTTTCAACTTAATACGATTCTCTTTTCAAAGGTTAAAACAAAAAGAAAGCACCTATAACAACAAATAACATAATTGGCACCTAAACAGAGTTTTACTTTGATCTGCTTATTTCTTTGAGGGAAAAGCTGTTTGTTCACAGGAACCTCATATACGAATAGATTGAATAGTTTCAGCAGTGGTTCTCACTCTTCGATCCATTTCAGTTTTGTTCAAAGTCTTTCTTTACACTGAGAGATATGCAATCACACAAAAACTGCTCTGCAACTTTTTCGAGAAAACAAATTCAACAAGGACTGGAATTAGCTGGGATCAAAATCCAAAACAAGTTTTATCCAAGAAAGCCTCAGTTTCGCGTTTTGTACTTCTTATTAAATGTTTTTACTTTGTTTTAAATCAGTTTTTGCACTTATTGATGAAATTCAAATGAATGTGTATTGCTTGAGCCGACGATTTTGGGGTAAATACAACAAATTAGAGGGTAGGATCCGTTTTTCGACTCACTCTCACTTCTTTAGTCGGCGACCGCAGATCGTCCGGCACTAAACGATAAATGCTTATTTTAATCACAGTCTTAATTCTATCCCAGCGACGGGTCGGCGAAAAACGAGCGGAGGACCGGCCTCAAAATCTCAGTGAGCTCGGAATGTCGTGAGGAGGTAAACCACCTTCGTGCTTCTGGGCATGCATTTTTAAATGGAAATTTGGCCCATTCAGAATCATTGACGAATTCTTTTCAAATTAAAGTTTAGATTTGTCCAATTTCCCAGTTGAAAAATTAAGCTTAAAAAGATTAATACCAATTATTGTGACTTGGTGCAAGACTTCTGTCCAAGAAGCACACGGTTTTGTTTTACCTCTTCTCCGTCAGTTGAAGTCCTCAATCAGAACATGTCGAGAGCCGAATGCCGGAATTCGACAGGGCTACTGTCAGGAGGTCAGAATGCTGCGGACCGCCTCGTCGAGTGCTGGGTCGCCGGCCGGGCCGACGATGTCCTCGTCGTCGTCGTCGTCCAGCAGATTGAGGTGTCGCGCCGTCAGCGAGTGGTCGCCGTTGTTGGGCGGTCGACGACCGGCAGAGGCCGTCGGCCCGTTGGTGGGCACCGTCGGCAGCAGGTCGTCGCTGCGCTGGAGGTTGAGGATTGAGTCTATGGCGCTCTGCACCTGCGCGTGCAGGTCGTCGTCGTCCAGACCTAGCTCGGCGGCGCTCGGGTCGTCCGAGGAATCGACGCCGCTGCCGTTGGTGTCGCGCGCATAGCTGTTCAACTCGCGCTGAATGGCCTCAAACTCGTCGTAGTTTTGCTCAATCTTGGGCTCCTTTTTAACCTCACTCGTGACCCGGGCCACGTCCTGCACCACTATCCGTAATTCTTTCACATCACTATTGTTCGTCGAACCAACTAGCAGCGGCATCACCGACTTGGAATGGACCGGAGTCTCCGTCTTTACTTGGATCGCCTCGGCTGCCGCATCTGCTTCTGTAATCATATTTTTTGTTCCTATTTCAAAATTGTGTCTAATTTTAAATAAGTTAGATCGGTTAGTAATCTGAAAATAAAAACTTAAAAACACTGCAATATCAGTCTGAAAGTTCTTGCATGGATTTATTAAGTTTTCATAGATGTTTTGAAAAGAGAAATAATAAGCAATTTTGAAAAAGACTCCTAAGACATTTTTTTAGATAATTAATAATTTTTATACAAACATAGTAACTTAAAAATTTATGAGCTTCCATAATTCACTGTAATTTACACAAGACCCGTCAATACCGCACAGATTTACCAAACAAATATTACCTTTAGCCGCAGTTGCAGCAGCAGCAGTTTGGTCTTTCAGGTCCTTGAGAGAGGCCTGTTCGTCAGCAAGGAACATCCTATCAATCATCATCAGTTCTGAGGTGGCCACCTCTCGCTGGCTCTCCATGAGACACAGGTACTGATACTTGTGGACCATCTGCTCAAACTTGTCCAGCAAGTGTTGTGATGTGGCCTCGAAGAACTCATCCGCCTTCTCCAGGTCCTTCTGGCCAAGTACCTTTTCTTGGAAAACGTGGTATCGCAGCAGCCGCTTGCAAGCGTCCGCCTTGCTCCGGAACGGTGTCTTTGTGTCCGGATCAGTTGCACCTTCCTGGTCTTTTGTCAGTTGTTGCTCGATTCTGAAAAACCAATACGAGTTAATAACGATTCAAACAAGAAACCTCTTTCAATTACAGGCAAATTTTGTTGAATCCAGGCTTGACTGGAGTGCTTGCAGGACGTTTGAGCCCTTTGTTAGGAGATGCAGGTCCGGCCGGGGTCGTGGCAGTGGCTGCTTTGATTTGGAGAGGCTTAGGAAGGAGAGTTACACTGTTGGCTGTGCTACTCGGTGGGGCCTGCGTTACCACTGTACTTGCGCTTGGAACCTGAATCACAATTCAGACCAATTAAACTCAACAAAAGAAATAAGGAACCAAAAGATTAACAAAAAGTGCTAATAAAACAGATAAAACATTGGTCTCAATTGAAGTCGTCAACAGTAAAAAAGTCCAAAAATAGTCAGTGAGTCAGTTGTCAAATTTTTGGCCTTAAACAGTTTCTTTGCAGGCTTCACAGCTTTCAATAATTTAAAATAAATTGATTTGAATAAGTTTTACAAAAAATAAGCAAGAACTTAGTTCTAGAAGGCCAAACTGCAAAATTACCTGGTGAACCTGAATGGTGGCTTTGATTTGCGTCGGTATTGCTGTAGTTAGGCCTTTGTCCATACTCGAGTTGAGATAGACGACAGTGGGGGTGGAGGAGAGCGTCGGGGTGGTGCTTGCAGAACTAGTGGTACTTGCCTTGGCCGCAGTGGTCAAACTCGAGGCCGTAGTTGTTACCACGCTCTGGGTTGATGACACAGCAGATGTGCTCTTGGCCTGAGAGGCTGCCTGTTGCTGCTGGTGCGACTTTTGAGTGAAGGTTATGATTTGATTTCCCACCTGGTGGTAGTAGCACACCTGCGGTGACTGGTTGTTGCTGTTCACCTGGGGAGGAACCTTCAAGTTAAACAACAGAGTTGAATACTTGGTTATCAGACTATATTAAAATCTAAATCAGGGCCAACTAATTTTGAGATTTGAAAAAATTGAGATGCTGCATTAGCCCTGCTAAAAAAAGAATGCAGGAAAACAAGCATGCTTGTCAGGAACGGCTCACTTACAGGCTGCTTTAACAGATTGGCAAGGTAAGCAAGCTGTTGGGGGGCTGCTTCAGTGAGAGCAGACTCGTCAATAATTGCTTCTACTTCGCCTACTGCAGAGGGAGGAGGAGACGGCTAAACAAAATAACAGAGCAAATAAGCATGCCATGCTGGGGAAAAATCATATAGAAAATAATTTCATATCATTTTCTTCCAAACTACAAGAGAACTTGAAATAAAAATTTCCAATAGAAAATTTGACATGCAGTGCACAGTGCACTACTTACAAACTGAAGTCCCTGAGCATGCTGGCCGGGAATGGTCGGGACCAGTTTTCCAGAGGCCAAAATTTTGTTCTGCTCCAAAGACAGCCTCTGCAGAACAGCATTTTCCTGGGCACTCCTTGGTTGCTTTTTGGCCAAAGCTTGAATTTGGGCCTGAACTTGCTTCAAATGCTGGAAAATTTTAAAGTGATGAATGAATTTTCTTTCACTTGAATAAATTTTGAATCACCAACCTGTTGTTTCTGAGGAGTCAACTGGATGGTTTGAACCTTGTGTGGCATCAGACCATGTGGTACGGAAGGCTGTTGAGGTGTTGAAGGGGGTTGTTTAATTGGAGAGGAAGAGGGCGACGGTGTTTCTGGAGCAGGTTGGGCCTGCAGAACTGGAGTCTGTGTGTTGGAGTCTGAAGAGGAGGTGACTACATTGCTCGATGGAGAGTTGGGAAGCATTTTGGAGATGCTTGAAGGTCCGTTTGATATGCTTGGTTGCTCTGCACTTGGTTGTGGTAGAATTTTAGTCTCTGCTTTGATGGGAGCTGTCTGCAGTCTAAGATAGGAATCATAGTTTTACTGAACAATTCTTAACATCCACAACATATCATAAACAACAGGTTTAAATTTTCTTAAAAAAATTTATATGCTTAGGTTCTAACCTTGATGGTTCTGGTTTACTCTCAATTTTAATCACCGCCTTTTTCTTCTTCGTACTCGGCTTTGGTTGGCAGGTGATTGTGGTTCGGATTTTGTTTTCCATCTGCGTGAGCTGCTGCTGTTGAATGGGGGCAGTCGTTTGGGCAGGCTCGACGTGCCTATTGCATGTGTGCTGTATACTCTCAGTCGAAGTGCGTCTGATCACAGTGGTTGCCTTTGGTGCAGCGTTGATCATAAGATTAGGTTTTGGGAAGCCGTCAGCCCCAACAATCACAGTGCCTCCAGCGGCCACAGTCAGTCCAGGAACGGTTTTGGTCGCAGTCATTTGTTGCTGAATTTGTTGTTGTTGTTGCTGCTGCTGCTGCAGGGCCTAAGTTAAATTTGAATTACTTTTCAGATCAAATATTGATATAAACTTTAAAAAATATTAAACTTAAGATTTCAATTATTATTAACAAAATAAAAGAAAAGAAAAATACGAAAATTATTTGAAAGTATGATAAGGAGTATCTTAAGTTCCTTTACGTCTAAACTGATGAGCACCTGCTGCTGCTGTTGTTGTTGTTGTTGTTGCTGCTGCTGCTGTTGCATTTGCTGCAACTGTTGCTGCTGGAGCATTTGGTAGAGCTGAGCGCCCTGTTGAGTGAGAACAATCTGGTCTCCTGCCTGGAAAGCAAATGGCGTGCCCGAGGCAACAACTTGCAGAATGGCAGCCGCCGCTTGCGAGTTGGGGTCAATGTTGGCGCTTCGAAGGGTTTGCAGCAGAGCCTCAGGGATTTTGTCAGATTGACTTGCAACCTGCTGCTTGGCTGGTCCTCCAATTAGCATGTTTGAAGTCATTTCCGAAGCAGAAGTTGTGGCCAACTGTTGCTGCGGAGCTGCTTGAACTGCATTTGTTGTTGTCGTCTGCACCACAGCCTACATAAATAAAAATAGTTTATTGAATTGAAAGGATTTAATTATTGATAATAAGTTAAATAATTCACTAAAAAACAGAAACCAGATTGAGCAAAATTTTAAAATAAATACTCAAATTTTAATTGGGAATGATAGTTATATTATTTTTCTAAATATGTATTAATTACCTGATTGTTAGGCTGTTGCAGCATAAGGACCTGAGTCTGCTGTCTTTGAGCTTGGGCTGCTTGAATTTGCTGGTTCAAAGCCTGTTGAGCAGCATTGTTTTGTAGCAGTTGAGTTAAGGAAGGGTGTGGTGTGGCCACGGTTTGGGACGGCATTCCTGACTGCAAGCTCTGCAAAATCACTTGGGCCGCAGCTAGACCAGCAGCTGGACCACCAGGCTTTTGGAAAAAATCCAAGTCAGATAAAAATATTTTATTGTTAATAACAATTACCTGAGGAGGAATAGTGATCATGCTGCCATCTCTGTGGATTATCACACGTCCATCCTCGGTGACAGCGATTTTGACCTGACCTGGGGGCACAGCCTGTGGAACCTGTTGAGCTACAGTTTGTTGCTGCTGCTGATGTTGTGCTTGGTTTAACTGTTGAATCTGTTGGTTTAATTGCTGCTGCAGCTGCTGCTGAACTTGTTGCTGAGGAGTGAGAGTTGCAGACGTAGACTTGAAGAACAAAACACAAGAAGACAAAATTAACTTTAAGGTCAGTTTTTAATTTCACTAACTGCACATGAATTATTATTATTATATGAAATCGTATGAAAAATTGATAAATTAAAAATCACCTGGAGGGTCACTGGATTTTGGAGCTGAGACACAAGTGGTGATTGAACGGAGGTGGGTTGCTGCTGTTGGACAACAGGCGCCTGCGAGGTGGGTTGCTGAGGTGGCTGTTGCTCAGCTGGTTGAACATCTGTGTGATCATCCAGCATTCCGTCATCATCATCTCCAATTCCTGCAGATTTCATGATATCTGCTAGGTTTAATTTGCTTTCAACCTGTTGGCTCGCCTCTTCATCCTTGCTTTTGGTTTTCTTTTTCTTGGGCTTTGATTTCTTTTTCGGAGGCTGTTGCTGCTGGTTCAACTGCTGCTGAGCTTGAATTTGAACCTGCAGGGAGATTCAAGTAAGTTTCATGTAGAATAAACACAATCATATAAAAATGTGGTTCAATAATTGAAATTCAGAAGTAACAGAAATAAGCAAATTTAAAGTATCCGAATTAATTTTTCATAATTTCCAATCTTAGTAATAAGTGGGAAAATTATTATTTGAAAAAAAAGTACCTGTTGAGGTTCCTGTTTGATCACAACTTGAGGCGTGGCTGGTGCTGGTGATGGAGTTTGCGAATGCATATTCGGAGGAGACATGATTGTCCCGATAGACAAATTGGAGTCTGTACTAAGTCTCCGCTCAACCATTTGAGGTTGCTGCATTTGCTGTTGCTGCTGAGCCAAAAAAGAGTTGATCAACTGCTGTTGCTGCTGCTGAGACACAACCTGCTGTAATTTGAGGAATTAGCACGGTTGCAAATCATCAAATATTATGTCATAAAAAAAAATTGATGCTTGAACTATAAATAAATATAAACCCAATAATAATTTTAAATGGTTGATTTAAAAAATTTTTATAACTAATTTAAAAATTCAGAACTGGAAAAATCCCGGGTCAAAATTGTACTTACTTGCTGTGACATGACAACCTGAGGTTGCTGTTGGTTCCTCATCTGAGGTTGGAAGCTGAGCATTGGCGCCGAAGGCACTGCTATGATTGCTGGCCCATTAGAGGTCTGGATCTGCTGCAGCTGCATTTGACCGCTGTTGGTTTGCACAAGGCGCAGCACAGGCTGCTGCATTTGGTTGGCCCTCTGTTGCTGTTGCTGCTGAAGGGCTGCAGCCGCTGGGTGTTGGATCAGCACGGTCTGACCTTGCTGCTGACCTGGTATCACAACTGTGTTCTTGTTCAGCATAGGGGCCGCAGTTGGCGACGGAGACTGCTGAGGCCGAATTATAAATTGCATTCCTGTGCCCGGTTGCTGAACAATCATGGGGCCCTGCCCCAATGATGGAATCACCTGAACACAGACACAAAGTTATTAATGATGATGAAAAAAAATGCAAAATTTGAAGATTCATTATTTAAAATTTACATTATGTAAATAATATATTATAATTAGCAATTTTACAACAAGAGGGTTAAGTTATCTCTGATTGCAAGTGAAAAAATTGAGATGCATAATAAATTTATTTTCCAATCATTCCTACCTGATTAAGCAACAACTGTTGGGAGAGCAGAGGATTCATGAGAATCTGCTGCGCATTGGGCACAGCAGTGGCCATGGTCTGCTGAGGAGGTGGTGTCTGAGGCGGAATTTGCTGAGCTGTGGGCTGACTAGTGGACACCGGCCGCGGGGTGCTGGATGATGAAGGCTGTTTGGCTGCTTGCGCAGTCACCCCGTTGGCTGGTTTCGGGAGCAACTGTGGCTGCTTTGGCCTCATGACCACCGGCTGGATTGAAGGTGCCATGGCCAAGCGGCCGCCCGATTGAATTATCTGCACCAACTGGTTGTTCTGAGATAAAAATTGGGACATACCAGCCGCCTGCAGGGCCGGATGCTGCAAAAGGGCGGCTGGCAAATTGGCCGTCGAGGTTGTGATGCTTGGCGAGGGCGAGGGGACGGGGGTGAGAGCGGCAGTGGGGGGTGCAGGCGACTTTTGCACATGATATGGCCCGGGGGAGGCCAGCGGCTGCGGCGAGGCCTGTTGCTGATTGACTGGCGCTGGGGATCGAAGAAGGACGCCCGGACTGGGCGATGGCGTCGGAGGGGCGTGTGGCACTGGCGATCTGTTTGGAGGAAATTGCTGATGGTTTTGCTGGTCACTCGGGGTGGCAAAAATAGCGCCTCCAGTACTATTAGCCGGGGGTGGCGACTGGAAACCCGTCTGAGTTATAATAAACTGCTGACCTCCGGCGCTGCTGACCACCATTTGCTGGCCAGGTTGCTGCACATTTGTGTGGATTTGCTGCTGCTGAGCATGCAGATGCTGAGGAGCATCAATTTTTATCACACCATGTTGTTGTTGCTGCTGCTGCGAAATTTTTTGAAAAAAAATATTAGTTGTTTACTTTTAACTCAACTAGACGTTTTAATTTAAGTCAATTTAATTAATCAATGCTCTAAAAATCAATAAAATAACGCATTCAATACAGTTGAAATAATTTTAATTCATAATATCAAATTATTTTAATGTAATTAATTTTTATTTTAATTTTTTATTTTTTACTTTGTTTTGTTAATAATTTCACTTACAATTGAAGGTTGTTGCTGCTGCTGTTGCTGCTGCTGGAGAGCATGCTGAATTGCAGCAAAAGAGGTTGAAGGCGCAGAATGATGCAGCTGCGAGGTGGCCGAGCCGTTCTCGAGCAAACTTGAGTGCAGCAGGGGGTTTGACTCTAGCAGACTTTGGGTCAGCGAGTCAACGAGGGAGCTGGGGTCAAGGTCGTGGTGCCCGTCACCCTGCAGCATGTTGACAGAGCTGAGGATGGACTGGTCGGTGGCCATCAAAGAGGTGGCCGAAGTGGTCGGGGGCACCGTGGGGGCAGTGTTGCCTCCGGTGCCACCACCGGGCGGATGCAGGCCAAGAAACGACTCCAGTGCTGATGGGTCACTGTCAAAACATGACCTTGGCGTTAAGTTCTAACTGCAGGGCACACTCAGCGATAGTCCTGGTACTTACTTAATCACGTCTAGTAATCGCTGCCCATCATCCATTTCAGGTCCCTGCAAAAATAAAAATCAAATTTCAATTATTTGTAACATTTTACACATCAATACGTACCGACAACTGGGTTAAGATTTTGTCCTTTCCAGTCTAACATGAGTTGCTTTTTTTTCAACCGTATGTCCAGAATGCTCGGAAGAAAAATTTGCTTCTAAACTGTTATTTCAGAAGCTTATGCCGGCCAGCCACAGTGAGTGTGGCGGCCGGCATTCGCAATTAGTGCCCTTCTGGAAACAGCTTTCCTTGAGTGCATCGGCAGGTCTCAAACTTGTCCTTAAAGATGAGCTCCAATGTTTGAGTGCAAACCCTTGGCCAAGCTAACGTTGCTGTAGTCTAACCCATGAAGGCGAATGGGTTGCTCAGAGATTGAGGGCCGAAATCGAGTTCCTTTCACTTCTGGCAGTTGATTTTCAGAGACGGACTTCTTTCATTTCTGAAATTAAAAACGTAGCTTTATGAGAAAACATTCATTAAAAAACGTGATGGAAAGAACTTGATTGCAATAAAAACGTGAAAATTGCGATGCTAACGAGCGCAGATCGGGTTTCAAAACAATAACAGGTCACGGCAGCCTGAACGCTTTTTGCGGTCGGAATCAAAAAGACAAACTTCCCGCCACCCACAAAAACACTCAAAATAACCCGCAGCGCTACGATTTTGTAACAGAATGCGTAGGAAATATTGATTGTCACCCTCTCTTCTCGAATTTAATCGGTTCGTATCGAGCGAAAAAGAGACAAAGCATGGTAATTACCTCGGTTACATTTTTCACCTAATCCTCTCCGTTCGGAATCATTAAAAACTTTCGATGCTCAATGGCGACCAACAACACAAAAACAATTGAAGCGCGCGCGCCATCTCCCTGAGCTCTACGTAATCAATCAATAAACGAGCAAACATTACCGCGTTTGCTGTCGATTAAAAAAATACACATTGCCAATGCCTAAACAGGCATTCCAATTGGTGTTTGTTTTCAAAAAGTGGTAGATTAGATATAATTAAATAATCGCGCAAGGTTTTACGGAGCGTTATATGCCTGACATGAATAAATTTACTTGAGATTTTTTATGACGACAGATGGCTGCCACCAGATAACGCGGTAAATCTGCGTCTGATTTAAATGTATACAATGTGCGTTTGTACTGATTGTTAGATAGAATGGGTTAGGTTATCAATTAATTCTCTAAATTTTCACAAATTTAGGCTGGCCTAGCGATTTTTCAAATTTTTAGATTGCGGTTTAATATTCTTTCATAATTTATGTAAAAATATTATTAAATAAAATTGAGAAAGTTCCAATTTTTAATGATCTTCATTTCTCTCTGTCTCAGCGAAAAAGATATGAAAAAAATAATTAAGTTGTATAATTATAGAAACTCTTCCTTGCTTGCATATACACGACGCCTCTTCTTGTTCTGCATATACACTTAATAAATAAAATTCGAAATATACCATAATGATAAATGTATGAGTTTAGCGGTATATGATATATGATTATAAGTCTTGTGTAAGACTGTAGGGAGCCAGAAGTCGTAGACTCTACGTGTCGAGGAGTGAGGAGTACATAATAATATACTTGGTACATTCCCTGACCTATCCACTGCGGAGGGAACGAAATTACCCCAAGAGGCAAGAGCCGTACAAGTGCCATTCGTACCCCCACACCACTGCTCTATGCCTTTCTCATCCCACCTCGTCCTCGGTCGGACACTCTGCTGCGAGTCGGCGTGTTGCCCCAGTGGGTCCCCCGAAACCCACGGCAAAGCGCGTGTGTTCCCTTCCTTCCATCCAATGCAAGCCCTTTTATCAGCGAGTACACGTACATTGCCTGTGTGCCGAACGAACCGCGCCTCGGCATCAAGTTCCTCTCATTGGATCCTCCCACTACGGCCTCCCCCACCCCTAGCCGCGGCCGCCGTCCTACTCGCACTCCGCACGCGACCGACGTATTTGGCTTGCCTGGCGGGCCTGCCTTCAACGCACCCTGACGGAGCGGTGGCCGTCTGCCCTCACCCAGCTCACCCTGAATAGGAACAGTCTCAACGCCAATGCGCCGCCCCACCCCTCCGCCACGTTCATTCATTCATGACTGGGCCAAACCCCGAACCCACGCACGGCATTATAGCACGTGCGAAACAGCTAGAGCCGGCCCCCGTCCCAGCCCAGCAACCGCCCCTTGGTGCACAGCACCGGTAATGCAGCAGAAAGCCGGCAACAATTCCGTTTTATTTGAGCGAAGCCGAAGCCAGACCTAAAAAGTTCTAGGTGGTGATTTAGTTATGGTCTTATTAAGTTGCATTTATTTCTATCTACTCGTCGGAATAAAGACATGCGATTTGAAACGTTGGCAGAGAAGAGATCAACAAGTCATTGTATCTTTTCACTTTTTTTGATAAGTTTTTGCCAAAAATTCAGGGTACCCCGGGCCGCAGCAGTGCTGGCCGGCCAAACGAATTGGGACTTGTAGAGATAATTGAGTCCGATTGCGCGCGGCGATTGCAACATGCGTACAGGATGAGGGACGGGCTTGCGGCGGGCGTCCACGTCCACGTTTGGTTTGTATGCCCACTCAGGAACCGGAGGATCTTATTTTTTTGACAAGCCCCATTTCCACTTGGAGCTCCCCTACCCAAAAAGCAAGGGGCAAGATTTATTTCTCTCTCTCTCTCTCGCTCGTTCGTGTTCGCTCTCTCGTTCGCTTCTCTCTCTCCGCACCCCCCTCCCTTGCACAAGCTCTATCACAGGAGAAGAGAGGCTCTTTTAGACACAAGAGGAAAGGCTGCAAACACCGTAGTGTGCCTCGAAACAGGTGAAATTCGCAAGGAACTGTGCGTACACGTTGTCCCCGCGCTGGGTTCGCCCCCGGGGCAGCCGGGGGGTCCCGTCAGAGCGGGCGAAAGGGTCGTCTACGCAGTGGGGAACGCCACGGGCCGTGACCCCTTTCCGTAAGTAGGGACGATGAGGGCCCTTTGGGGTGGGGTAAGGTCGGAAACCCTGGGGTGCTCGGGGACACAAGTACTTCTGAATTCTTTTGAACCGTACCATTCCTCGTAAAAATCCCACAAACCAAATAATATTCAAAGAAAACACTCACCCGTCATGAAAACATGCTCATCAGCAACAGGGGTTTCCTACTTTGAGGCACGGACCGGCTCGCAATTGGCTGCTCTCGTTACGTCACGCGCTAACGACGCGTCCCATTGGTCGACACCGCTGACAGCCTCCGACAATGCACCAGAGATATCAACTTCAACATCGATTTTTGATCGACAATCTGGCTCTTAATTTCGGTTGGGCCCATTTTCTTCATTACCCCCTGCGGGGGCAGGACCTTGTCAGAAGCCCCGGGACCCGCAACGGGCTCTAGTAGAGCCATTGACCCAATAGGGAGGGGGGCTAATGGCAATTTAATGCTCTCTAAGGGTAATTTGAAGCCATGTTTGCGGCGTGTGTGACGTCAGTGACCAAGGGTTTCTCTCCCAAAGGCTGGATAATTATTGCGGCAACAGCGGAGAACATGGGTTATGGGTTTCTATTCTATGTAATTTAAACAAAAAATGCATATAATTCCGCCGCATTAAAATTAAACATGACTTCAGTTCAAGATGTAGAACTTATTGAACTCGCATAGATTTAGATTATTATAAAAAAGGAGTACTAGGGCTAGGGGGTATGAGTATCCAGGGGCCCCTAGGGCCGAGAGTTCATTAGGGATCCATATAATATGTGTGTGCCGCGGGATTAGGTTGTCCGCCGCGGTTGGCTGGTTAGATTGCGCCGTTTGGGGACTGATGAACGCTGGGGTTTGAGGGAGGAACAATTAAAGCCCCTCTCTTTGAGTTGTGTGCCATTGGCCGACGGGCCTATAAAAACACATGGCCCTAGAGTATGTGAGAGCCGTGTAAGGCACTACACAACAGCTGCGTGTGCAGCGAGGTGAGGTGACGGACGTTCTTTTGGATGTGGGATATATTTAAATGATAATCCGACTGGATAATACAAATTAAAAAAAAAAAATCAAAGGTCGATCTTTTTTTGGAAACAATTTTTTTTACGTTCTCTTTTTATGCAGTACATACAGATTTGTATGTGGGGTAGTTCAGAGCAGGGGGGAGGGCAAGAGATCCTTGTTTACAGCACAAAAGCGCCTTATTCGTCCAATGGCTGGTGAGCGTTATGACCTGGGCCAAAGCCTGAATGTGCGACGAGGCCTCTTAGTAAGAAATTTTGTTGTTTTGCCATTTTTTTCGAGTTATTTGGTGGAGACATGCAAAATATTTGCGGAAATACCCTCATTATTTTGAAAAAAAAGCGGCATTTGCACACATATATAGGACGCGTGAGAATTTGAAGTTCTAAATATGATTGTGCCAATTCAGATTGCTATACTTGACAGAATCCGCTCCTTTTATCGTCACGCAAGTGTCTATTAGAGTGGACTTAGAAATTTGCAATAGTTAATTAAATTACAAAAAATTAAAAATGCTTATAAATATTTTAATTTTCTTTTGCTGTTTGTTTCAATAGACAAAATAGTAAATGGTTGGGTCGCACGAGAGATAATTATTTTGATTAAATTAAATAACGCAAAAAAGCTAATAATATTATTATTTAATAACAGCTACAACAGTCATCTTGAATCTATAATACGAGTCAAATGAAAGTCATAAGTTTTGATCAAGTTTTAGGTTCCACACTAACGCAATTAATTAATAAAAATGTTAACCCACAAGCTGCGCTTGTTTCATTTGGCTCACAGTGCTATCCAACGCAAGCCTCCGCCAATGGTGCACACTGCACTTAAACATTGGAGGCGGGGCGTTCTAACTTCTCAAAGCAGACGAAAAATAAAAGGAAGTCCATTTGCGAAAATAACAATATGAACAGTCAGGATGGAGAGGCGCGCCAAGGGCGAGCAACCAGCTAGGGGCTCATTTTTTTTAGCAACGAGAGATACGTCGCCAACCGAGCGCACCCACTGAAGCACCGTCATCGTCTACATATCATGCAAGCATGGAGAAGAATTAAACCTGATGCAATAAAATGAAAAACCCTGGTTGTACTAAAATACATTTTTATTGTGACAACACCTGTAAACAACAGCTAGGAATATTTCAACAAATGGAATGTGCTCAGCTATCGTTAAAAACTCAAACCCAAAACACGTTCAATTATTTGCAATAAATTAAATTCACAGAAAATATTTTGAAAAGTATTGATATTTTGGAAAGATTTAAGTAGTGCAATTAGCACGTATTTTTTATAAATAGTTTTTGACTAGAGGCTATTAATGTATTAATTATGGCAAAGTTGGAGTCTAAAAAGGATTATATTTTGCTGTCTGAAGCATGAAATTTGATTAAGAGACTAAAGAACATTATCACAAATCAATTTGATCGGAAATTTGTTAAAAATTACTTAATAATAAATAAGCAAAAATGATCTATATTTAACTATGCTGAAATGAGGCTCTTCACTGATAGGCTGTTCTCGAGGTGACGTTGATCATTTCATTGGTGCTGAAATAATTTTTGCTTTCCTCAGAAACAAAATTTTACTGAAAACAGCAAAGCGGTGCACGGAAACAACAGGTGCAAATAGCAAAACAAATAAGCATCTCAACCATTCGATTTGTTTTTAACCAGTTAAAGAAGCATGCGCGCAGTGAGGAGACAGGATATAAATAACGCAGACTGCGGAAGCAAAAAAGAGTTGCAAAAAAAGAAAGAAAACGTCAATTCACAGGCGGTTCCGACATCACCCGAAGGAAATCAGAGATGGCGTCAATGAAGCTATCCATGCATTTGGGAAACCAATTAGGGGTGGTGCTAACAAAACAATAAACATTTACCAAGACGTGCAAACGCCAAAGAAAGGTTAAAACATTAATAGCAAATTAAAAGAGTCGCCGCCTACCTTCTGCCGCACTTGATGTGGATCAACAGGAACAAAACTCCAAGCAGAAGGCACACGGAGCCGACAACTATGTAGGCAATTCCCAAGAATGGATTTTTACCACCCAGCAGGGAGGTAGTTGACAGAATCATCCTCTTAGTTCCTCCAAACGGCTTCACCGAGTAGGCTGAGATTTTCTTTTTAATTTCATTGTTCTAATATAAAGAAACCTTTTACCATAATTCACTATGAGAGTGTAGTCGCCCTTGTGCAAACCCTTGATGAAGCCCGTAACACTGTGGTCCACTCTTCGGTATAGCTTGCGGAATGTCGGCAACGCAGATGTCCTCATCCACACAATCAAATCTTCATTCTCAAATCCGTTATTGTTAGGATCCTTCGGGTCCAGCTCATAAACATTTTTGCGCCAGTTTGGAGGCTTGGCATAATTTTCAAAAGCTAAAAATTCCAAATTATTGAAATAAATTACAAAGTGCGGCATTTTTAATTTAACCTTGCTGCAAATCGCCAGGAGGGTTGTTGAATTTCATTGCCTTGTCCGAAGGCCAAGCGATTCCGGTTTTCAGTAAGGGCACATCCTGCTGCAGATTCTCAATATGAGACTTCAAGGTTAGCTCATCTGTAAAATATAGAACAGTAGCAATTTTTTTCTTTTTCAAAAGAGTTTGAGAATTCTTACCGTTGAACAGGCTGTTAGCTATGGCACCACAAGGAGCAATTGGTTTTGTATCGTTGTTGCCGGTAGTGGCGTAAGGCAGACAATCGTTTGACGGATTTAAAAGTCTGCCACTCAGTTGGACGTCGTCTCTGGACTTGACATAGCGTCGGTGGTTTTGATAGAAATTGGTTAAGCCGTAGTACATATAAACTTTTCCCTGTAAAAAAATCATCAAAACTGAATATTAAATGAATTTGAGTAAAATTCTCTTCATTCACTAAATTTAATATTTTCCCTGTTAACTTCATGTTATTTACATGATTAAATAAAATATTAGTTACCTCCATATCTTTGTCCAGAGTGAAAGTCATTTTGCAGAAGCATTCAGCAGATGCACTTTGCTCGATAATGTCAGCACACGTTTCATTCCTATCATTTTTGCAGTACGTGTAGTCTATGGTCTTCTCTCGTACCTGGGGATTTTTCAAACATTTTTAATTTTTAAATACATAAATATGATCTATATAAAGATTGGTGTTTTGTTATCATGCATGATTTTATTGCTGCCGCTGCGCTTCAAAAAGAACTTAATTGCTCTAATTACGGCAATTAACCCTCAGTCCCCAATATTTTTTTATTATTTTATTGCAAATTTTACGCAGAGGCGTTTCAAAGTCAAGCCGCGCTGATAAGACGGAATGACAATGACGTCTTTTCTTGGCCAATGCTCAAATATGACCAAACTAACCTCTTCCGAGAAGTACAGAAGGCCAATTCCGACCGGAATAAAGGCAATGCCAATGATGAAAAAGGTCGGAAGAACCGTTCCCGCAGTCAATATTGGCTGCCAGGCGGGCAGCCTTTGCTGCCTGAACGCGCTATCTGCAAAAACAGGACAAGGTTGAGTGGAGAACAAGCAGGAAGAAACGGCCACTCCTTGAGCAGAACCGTTTAGGAAGAGAAAGAGGCTTTCAATAATATACCTGCAGGCCTCTTCGAAGTCATTTTTCCGTCCGCAGGTTCGACGGCCGAAGTCATTTCAGCACTGGAGATTGTGCTGCTGCAGGTGCGACCACACTTAAGCCAAAATGATGATTGAGCACCAACAGACCAACAGAAACACAAAACACCACAACTTGCTGTTGCTCAATAAAGGGGCGTGGTGCAGGAAGGTCAAAAAGAAGTAGCGAGGAGGGAGTGAGCAGGGGAGTACGTTGCATGCGTTTTTAAATCACATTGTTTCCGTTGGTTCTCGTGGAATATGAAGGTGGGGATGAAAAAACGCCGTTTCGCGCATGCGTCACCTCCGAATTCACGTGATTGCCTTCAGCGTTGCAAGGAGGGAAGAGGGGAAGAGACCGAAGCACCTGACTAAACGAACGAATTTTTGTCGACTGCTGCCTCGTGCCTCGGTTGGGGGCCAACAGATGGCGGCGGCGTGTGGTGCGGGGGTCGGTACGAGTTGCAACAAGAGAAATTTCTCTTTTGGCTGGAGCAAAGTGAGGCTGGCTGGCTCGCTGGCCTGGCTGTAGTACTTGTTAGTGTCACGGGCGGAGGTGCGCGTTTCGTTCGGCCAGCCGTTTCGGGCAATCGTGATTTTCGGCAGCTGCATCTCGTCGGCGCCGTTTTCGGCGGCTCCCAGTGCTGCGTGAGTGGGTGCCGAACGGACCCGAGTGAGTGTTCAAGTGCCTAGGAGCGAATTCGGCATGCGAGGCGGGTGCGTTTGACCATCTGCGCGGCCCCGACGGCCCGTGCGTCCTCAACACACCGAATGGTGAGCTCCTCTCCGCCACCCTTGCAGGCCACGGCCGCAACCGCCCCGAAAACCTGCGGCCGACGAGGTCCGCGACGAGACCTGCAAAGTCGGCCGTGCCGAAACCACCCCCGCGGCCTCCGGAGGCCCGAGCGTTGCACCGACGGGGGCAACGCCACGGAGTGGGCGGCGCCCGCCCCCGAGCGCTCCCAGCGCGACCTTTTTCGGCCCCCTTGCGTCGATTCGGCCGAAAGGGACCGGAAAACCCAAACCAACATTCAATTGCCTGTTGAAACAATCAACGGAAACTTCAATTCACTATTTGTTTTGGAAACAATTCGACCAATCTGTTACATTCTTCAGTTGTTGGGGGTAAATAAATTGGAAGATAATAATAATTGAAAGAAAGCAGGATCGTTTTTTAGTTCGAAATTATAATTGCCGGGATTTCCAAACTGCGGTTGACAACGGTGTTATAATTAACGTTGCTAATTTGATAATGTTATTGATCTAATTTTATTCTCTCGGCGGTGAGAACGGACACGGAAAGCGTCGAGACAGTTTCTCAGAACTAAAGTAATCAGGGGTAGGTAAAAATATACCTGATGATAATTGAATACTGAGAAAATTTTTGTTTCGAACCAGCCTGTTACAGTTTTGGCTCCAAAACCTCAACATAAGGCTTTAAAATTAAACATTTTGAACAGTTTCTGCTTAATTTTTAAAGTAATTTGTTGCTAATTGCACTTTTTTAAAAAAAAATTTAAAAAATTTAAAACACAGTTTGCTATTAATTTCATATTCGGTCGAGCGAGAAGTTTGAAAGGCTCAATTGAAAAAGTGCAAGATGAAATATAAAAAAATTTCGATCCATCTCGGTTTAAAAACGCACAACTGGTTTGAAGCCGGAAGTCTCTATTTTTTAAGAGAAACTGAGCTCAAATTGAAATATTTTGCGGATCAAGTGCCGGATGGAGATGAAAGCGAGAATAGAGTTTGCACACGTAGATGCTGGTCGGGTCATGTTGTTCTCTCTCTCTCGGCTGGGTGTGGGAGGCTGAATTGTAAAATGGATCTTGTGGGAGGAAGGGGACTCACGAGAAGAAAAGAGCAAAATGCTCTCCGCAGCCTCTGCTTTCCACTCGCACGTGATTCCGATTTTTTTTAATGTACAGTTGTCCGGAATTGGCCTGCAATAATCTTGAAAACTGCAAAAGAATAATGATTATACGGATTCCATGAGTCAATCTGTTGTAACTAATTAATTATCTGCTTGGTGTCAATCGGCGCTAATAGGGCGTATTATCTATCTGAGTAATCGTACGAACCGATTAATTAAATACTAAATGTAATTGCAAGCAGCTGTTTGATTGTGAAACCACAATCAATTTATTTAATTGGAATTCTTGTTATAGTTTTTATTTTTCGGTAAAAATAATTATTTAAAATTTAAAATAATCACCTTCAAGCTTTAATAAGTCTTAAATAATTGAAGTTAATAAACGTTCTTCAAATTAAAATTGAAAATCAACAAAATTTGATTTAAATTTTTTGCTGTTTTAATCAGCAACATTTCTGGACTTGTTATTTTTGTTTATTTTTTATCTTTCAGATGTTGACAAAATGATAATCAAACTTGTCCCAGTTATGTTCAGTTTTTCAGTTTTATCTTGAAAATTTGATTCCCTTGTTAAAATATTACTCAAAATCGGTCAAGCTGATTTTCCCAGCGCCGGTGGTATTTATTCTCATCGGCCGGAGCCTGCACACAAATTCATCCTGCACAGACAGGTTCAAGGTCGCATTCCCCATGTTCTTCGCTTGCGCCGCGATCTCGCTTGCTTGCTTGAATGTTTCCCTGAAAATCTCAGGTAACGAGATCCGTGCGACCGATGGGCGCCTTTTCACTTTTTGCTCGGCATGAATTGAATTCTTTTTTTCTCTCGTTCGCGGGCCGGAAAATTGCAATTAAGATTCCCGAGAGTTTGAAATGGTCCGTCTCTCGGCGGTTTTGTATTTTGATTAAGGCTCATTATCGGTCGTCCGCGTCTCGGGTTTCGCGACGAGGGGCGACACTTGTGCGACTTCTTCTTCTTCCAAAGCCCTCGTATTGAGATTAGTCAAAACAAGAGCCGTGTCCGCAGCCCTACAAAGGCAGCTTCTATAATATCTCTTGCCGAATTTTGTAATTTGAACTTGTGATCGAATGTATTGTTGTCAAAGGATTGAACCGAAGGAACCTCAAAGTTCAGGGCAAACACGCGGAAAATTCAGTAAGAAGACAAAAATTGACACTTTTATGCAAGATTTTGACATCAGCTAAAAATTCAATTCCGAAATTAGCTTGAAATTTGTTAAAAAAAAAGAAACCTTCACTTGATTTGAAAAGAAAAGTCCTTTTTTTAAGGATTTCATTTTGTATTCGAACGATACGAACTGAAAATTAAATTCAGATTTAATCATTAAAAAAATTAATTATTTTCTTGCAAGGAAAACGTTTTTAGTATTCGTTAAAATCTTAATTCCTTTCATCGGTTTTGTTAAACAATTTTTCTCCGCTAATTAATTCTGTTTAACAATTCAGATTATTTTAGTTAAGAGTAGAATTACTAATTGATTTTTAATTTAAACCAGACAAGTTAAAATAATTTAATATCTTAAAACTAAATTCTGAGGAAAATGTTTGATCATTTTGCAAAATCACATGGAATGTTCATATTTAAGCAAAGGAATAATATTATGAAGTTTGGTCCAACTAAAGACTTAAAACTGTTGAAAAAATTAACCTCATTCAGATACTGACAATGAATATCTTTCAATTTTCTTCCTCGACATATCCCATTTTGCACTCTCACAATTGGCGGTCTAAGCAAAGTATCATCCGGCCACGTCGAATAACCCGCTCTCTCTCTCATCCTCGGGTTGCAACGGAACGAGAAACTGCACGATTTCGCATTCCGAAACCGCCGGTCGGGTTGATTAATCAGCGCAATTACACTCCACTTTGTTCCCACTCAAGCGGCTCTTGCATATCTCTCTTTCTTCCTCCAGTGCATTTTGCACTTTTCGAGAAGAAAAATGTATTTGATCGATCACGCTGGAGCAGAAGAAGAAAAAACGCAAGGTCGCGACCAAGTGTGCATAGTGAAGGGGCCTCCCGTTTTATATTTGCTGCCGCTTTATTACTCAGCTCGGCCCGACCTTCAACGATCTCGAAGCTCTCGGAATAACAAGAATATCCATAAAAAAATATCACTTCATTTTTCTCTCTCTCTACAAATCGATTAATGTGAAATTAATTCGAGTATCGTGGAATTTGATAGTTTGTGGCAAGAAAGAAAGTCGCGGATTTTTATTACAAGCTGAGCAATTGCAAACGAGACTACTTGCAATTGTCGATTACGTTGCGCTGCAAGCGTTTGATTTCAATAGAGCACTGCCATTTTTATATATGTTTATTGTCGTTGCAAACAAGCAGGGGGAATTTATTATTTGCGCAGCAGCTTTCTTTCTTTCGGTGCTCATTATTTGCGGCCCACTTTTGCCGCTTCGGAGCTCAATTGAATTTAATGGAACTGTAATCAAATGGGGGGGAATTGACTTCATTTTTTTCTTTTTAGTACTTAAATTTATAAAAAGACAAGATCTTTTTTCAATTGAAAATTCTTTTGGAAAAGAACTAGATTTAGATTTGATGAACTGATTTCCAAATTTATTCAAATAGGAATACATTCAATTTTTAATTTTGATGGAATGTGGAACAAGCGCATTGTACTCAGTCCAGCTAACCTTGGATAGATTAATTTCATTTAAACATTCCAATGCACATTATTTAAAATAATTGAAAAAAAAAATAGTAATCATTAGGTATTAAAAACGTTAATGGGTGAAATAATTAATAATAAATTTTAATTAATGTTAAATGTTCATTATTTTAAATTATTATTATAAAAATTGAAAAAAAAATTACTGGAAAGGTCAAAATGAAGACAGAAAAAATCTTTTTTAATTCCGTCTAGAATTTATTCCAAAATGGATCTTTGCGAGTTTTTTTGTTCGGATTGATGTGATGTTAGAATCAACTTATCAATCTTTTTGGTAGATTTTTAGACTATTCGTAGAATTTAATTTCAATACATACTTTTCCTATTGTTTGTCAATAGGTTTGCTTTTTAAACTTGAACCATGATTATATTCAAATTAATTGTTTCTTTTGAACCAAAGTTGGCTTTTAAAATCGTCAATTAAAAAAAAAAATAATATTATCAGGGAAAGGGGTTTAGAACAATTAAAAAATATAATTTTTCCCTCTAGTCCAGTTACCAAAGAATTAAGCAAATAGCTGAAATGCTTAAACGCTGGAATTTTTCAGTAAAAATTACTTCCCGGTGCCCTTTTTCAATTCAACCATTTGTAATTCGAAAATGTAGTCTGATGAAATGTTTGTTTTGATTTCAGTTCAAAGGAGCGACTGATGTCGTGATCAAGAGCTAAGAGGCTCAAGATGCATCCCGCAGACGGGGGGACGCTGCTGCTGGCCGTGCTGGTGGCGGCGGCGTCGCTGGTGACGCGGTGCTCGGCCGGCGACATCGTGCGCACCTTCACGGACGAGGGCACCGAAAAATTCAACCACATGGTCGTGGACAAGAACACGGGCCGCGTGTTTGTCGGCGCCGTCAACAGACTGTACCAGCTGTCGCCCGAGCTGGACCAGGTGATGAGCGAAATCACGGGGCCCTTCGAGGACTCGCCCGACTGCTCGGTGCTCGACTGTCCGCCCAACGTTGTCCAGAAGCTCACGGACAACGTCAACAAGGCGCTCGTCATCGACTACAGCACCACCAGACTCATCAGCTGCGGCAGTCTATTTCAGGTACATTTTATTTCTGTAAATTTGGTTTCGCAACAAAATTATACCAGCAAATTTGGACAAAAATTTGTTGTTAAATTCAGCAAAGTGGCAGTTTTAGTGGGAAAATTTTATATTTTTTTTATGGCCGGCAAAGATGCTATCAACTTAATTGATAACAAATTTCATTCAACCTAAATTCATGCACATGTGGTTCAAACTGCATTGGCCTATATATTTTGTTTTTTTTTCTTCTCAAAATTATGTAAATTATTGTGTAAAGAGGCCAGAAAATTAATATTATTTTCAAATTGTGTGCTTTCTTTCAGTAACTCATGAGCAGACTGGCAAATTTAAGTCAAATCACTTTTTTATTAAACATTATTTTTACCATTTATTGACTTGCGTTGTGGTACTGCAAACAAATATCTGAGCAAATTTAATCAGAAATACAATAGTAAAGAAATTTAAGAAATCACACTTCAAACTATCTAGAAAACTACCACACTCGGCTTCGTCATAAAATTTCCTCACAATTTTAAGGAAAAAAGCTTGAACTTAAATTCATCAAAATACTTCTCTTTTTTTGTAGAAAACCACATAAAAGCAGATGAAAGTTTTGGAAATTTTAAAAGAAAATATGCAATTATATAAAATTTAGATATTTGAATTCTAGCCGTGACTGAATTGCACTAAAAGTGTACTTCATTAATGTTTGGAAGAATTTATAAATTACAATGCCACTGGACATATGAAAGTCTGTTAATGAAGTAATTTCATGCATGAATATGAGTGAAAAAAAAACTGGTTAAATTTATCAATCCTAGAAATTTATTTTTGGCTTTCATAACAAAAATTTGGTCATCTTTGTTTGCAGGGCATTTGCTCAGTGCGCAACTTGCACAACATTTCGGACGTGCAGATGAAAGTGAAGGAGGCTGTGGTGGCCAACAACTCAACGGCGTCGACGGTGGCGTTCGTGGCGCCGGGTCCGCCCAACCCGCCGGTCAGCCAGGTGCTTTACGTCGGCGTGACCTACACGGGCAACTCGCCGTACCGGTCAGAGGTGCCGGCCGTGTCCAGCCGCAGTCTGGACCGCGACCGGATGTTCATGATCGCGCAGACGGCCGTGACCACCGGCACTCGCATGTTCGTCAACTCGCTGGCCCGCGAACGCTACCCCATCAACTACATTTACGGCTTCAGTTCCGAGGGCTTCAGCTACTTTCTGACCACCCAGATGAAGTCGACGTCGCCCTCGCCGACCGTGTTCGGCTCGAAGTTGGTCCGTGTGTGTCATGACGACGAGAACTACTACTCGTACACGGAGATCCCCATCGAGTGCACGGCCAACAACGAAAAGATCAATTACAACCTCGTGCAGGCCGCGTACGTCGGCAAGCCCGGCTCCGACCTGGCTTCGGCGCTGGGCATCACCGCCCAGGACGACGTTTTGTTCGCCGTGTTCGCCGAGAGTGACAAGACGGAGGGCGACACTTCGATGAAGCCCAGCCAGTCGAGTGCCCTCTGCGTCTACTCGCTCAAGGACGTCCGCAGGAAATTCATGACCAACATCAAGAACTGCTTCAACGGCCAAGGCAGCCGAGGCCTCGACTTCATCTCGCCCAGCCACCAGTGCATCCCTACCGTGAGTACCGAGAAATTCAAAATTTAGATCGTAATTTTGAGGTCGAAGGCTTTGCGTTATAGGCGAAATATATGAGAAATTTTTCATTCAAAATAGGTGATTCAGATGGAAATTTTATAACTGCTTTTTAATTAGAGAAAATTTGTATTAGGGATTTAAAGTTTTAAATTCAATCCCCAGATGCAGACACTTTGAAGCTCGGTAAAAAAAAAACTGATTTTATTGGTACTAAAATTTTATAGAAATTAAAAGGGTGCTTATCATACCTTTAAGGAAATTATCTAAGAAATAATATTGATTTTATTAGAAAATTCCTTTTTTGCCTAGATATGAATTGCAATTACAAATATTTTTGACCGATTTTACAAAAATTGAAACCAGCAAAAATTGGGTAAATTTTATTATCTTATCTTTAATCCAATTCAGTTCCATTAGCAACTGGTAATTGATAACTTTAAATCAAACAAGAATTTGTAATTATTATTTCATTCAGTTTAAATTTAAATGAGATAAGAAGAAAAACAATCATTTATTTATTTTATTGTTTTGCGTTTTGCGGTTCTTATGAATTAATCTTTTTTGCTTCATAAAACGAATAATTTATGTGGCGCATGTTAAAATTTTATCAAGAACTTGAATGTTTATCAAGGAAGTGTAGCGGATGATTCAAGTGAATCAACATCCCTTCCTCTTATCAATAACGCTAATTGTGAGTCACTCCATACGGGTCCGCCAGCTCGCCTTCCTGCTGGGATGCAGGCGTGCATTCACATGTATGCTATGTTGGCAGCAAAATTAACTGTTGATATCAAAGGAATTTTCTTGGGCGAGAAAAATATCAAATTTTGACACTGCGCGCGAGCAATGGCACCCGACCTTTTGCGGTTGTTGCGGTTTTCTTGAATAAAAAGCTTTTAAGCGCATTTCAAGTAATTAACCGTTCCTGAGAGGTTCTGAACGTTGTCTGAAGAAAAAAAAATTACTATATTTTAATAATGTCGCTGGAATTAAGTGAAATGTTTACATTATATGCAACACTTTCGGAAAAAATATGATAAATTCAAATTATCCTAATTGAATTGGAATTGATTTTAATTTTTTAATGGGATTTTTTTTAAATCCATTGGTTGGAAAATCTTATTGCAATGCCCGGTTTCATTTTAAAAATATAGTCTCATTGAATAATAAGGCCATTAATTTGATTCTTTTATTTGTAAATAGTGCTCGGGCCATTCAAAGTGGTTTGAGTGCGCGATTTGCCTAAACGATTTGACCTCGGTCTGGACGCACTTGTTACGTAAACCGATTCTCTTCGGCGGCAGGAAGTTCGAATCGGGCAATCGAACGAAAAGTGCAGGCAAGAAAAGTGCAGCCCTCGAGCGGGGGGTGCGAGTTTCGGGAGAGCATTCGCTCCTTGCATGCGTCGCACGCAGAGAGGCAAACCACCCTCCCTCCCTCTCTACTCACGTTCGCAGCGGCAGGCAGGGGGTGTGTGGGGTTGGCTGGCAGTATTGATCGGCGCTACCTTGCTTGTGTCTGCAGCCGAACCAAACCGGCGGCGGCGGCCAACAACCGACACTGCTGCTCATTCATTCAACCAACCCTCCTCTAGGCCGACGCATATCCACTTTGTTTGCCGCTGCAACCGGCTGCTTCTTGTTTTCGCCACTTTGTTATTCTTTCCCTAAAATTCGACCTTCTCCTTTTTGCCCTGCGAAAAAATAATAATAATAAAGAGATGCTCCTTTTTATGCACACACGAGGAGGGTAGAAAAAAAATGCTCCTTCTTCAACGAGAGCTCCCGAATGTCCTTTTACGTTCTCTCGGGCAAAAACAAGTCTTATTTTTTCTTCTCCTCCGCCACTTGAGGAAAATTTGAGGTGAAGCAGAATTTAATTACAAACTGCTTCTTTTTCTGTTTCACGCCAGAATTGACAACTCGTTTGCTTTTGAGTTTTGTACGTGAAAAGTGTTTTTAGACAGTTTTCAGCCCATGAATATTTTTTTCCGTCACGACTATAAAGTCTGACAAAAATTTTATGCAATTTTCATTAAGAGTTGTTACATTTTGGATAAAGATTCTGTGCTCCAGATATATGAAATAATTTAAATGCTATGAAATTATTTTTCGCAAAACAAATCCATTCTTTTAAACAAAACATCAAAGCTGAAAATTTGTGCACTTAAAAAACAATTTATAATCAGACACGAAACTATAAAATATGTAAATAATACCAGGTTTCTTTTTAATTTTACTGTATATTAATTTAATTGTATTATTTTTTCATCACTGAGCTCTGTAAAAAAAATGTATTACTTAATTTCATTGGTTTGGTTTATTCAAAAGTTCTAAATTTCACCAAATGCAAGTTTCCTTTTCCTTGTTTTTTTTTTTTTACGTCCGCACTCACAGTTTGGTGCCAGTGATAAATTTTGCGCCTTCAAGAAAGCATACCAAATTTCGTTATCGCCCTCCTTCTGCCTCAAAAAGTAGACCGAATTGCGAAATTAAAAATAAATAAAGCTTAGGTTGGCCGAGGGCTTATCGATCTGGGCAGCGACTTGTCGATTTTCCAGCCAGATTTGTGGCCGAGGCGTTTTAGCCGGCTCAAGTGTAGTGTGTGCTGTGACATGCCTGTGGTCTTCGGGCGGGGTCACAATGAATATGCTTTAGCTAGGGAGACGGAGCGCGCAAATGAAACCAGAAACGAACGCATAGGTGGGAGAAAAATTGCCGTGTGAAAAGCAGTGGAAGAAAAGTGGCTTTTAACGCACCCCTCGCCAAGTTGTGCCTGCTCACGAAATGTTCGTAATGTACAAATTCCAAAGTGAGGCACAAGCTGGAAAAATTGTCAGAAAATTAGTATTAATTAAACTTTGCTTCACATTTATAACAAATAAAATAAAGTGAAATGAATATATTTAATGATGACTTCTTACAAGAGATTAAATGAATTGAATTTAAAAACAAATCATCATTCACATTGGAATAATGATAAAAATTATTTATAATTTCAAAAAAATCAAGAATCCTTGGTTCGATCATGTATTAAATTCAAAATATGTATTGATACTTTTAATATGAAACATAATTTTAGTTTTTGAAATTTCTGTCAAGAAAATGTTGAACCACCAAACATTTTGTCCTTATGTAACCGGATCGTTAAGTTGTCAGTCATTTGTGTCATTTCGAGAGTGGTTTTGTTGGGACGAGTGCAGTTAATTGTCGCCGCGGAGAGATGAACCGAGTATGTAGCAAGGAGCTGGTTTGTATGGAGGGACGGCCGGCGTTCTCCAAATAAGGCATTGTGCGGGGCACATACTTTTGCCGCTTTATCTGCAGCCTGGCAGACTTCCTTGCCTTGTGCGTGGGTCGCCGGCAAGGCCTTCCACTATATGCTCTCTCTTGTCAACAAACGGCCTCAAATTCGGCGCTTCGCAATTGCACAGTGCGAGCACGCAGCCGAGAAAACAATACCAAGGATGAAAATTCGCTGCCGCCGCCGCGAAAAGAGAAATTCTGATCAAGCATCGGATGGGCCGGACGAAATGAAAAAGACGGGCAAAAATTGGGTCGCTCGTTTTTCCAATAAACAAAAATGTTTTGTTTTCAAAATGTACTCGTTTTCACGCTTTTGGCCCGAATTATTTCTTTTTTTTTTTACAAATGAATTTAAATTTGGTAACTTTTAAGAAAAAATACCAAAGATTTCAGCAGCACAACAATACTTTTAGTTTGTTAAATTTGAACATACATAATAACTATGAATTACCTACTAACTTGTTCCTGAAGCCCTTCAACAAACTCTGAGATATTTTACAATTATTTCCAGAGCTGCCAAATAGATTGAAAATTAAAAAAGTGCAGAATTAACAAAAAAAAATCTAAATTCTCAGCCTTTTTTTTCAAACGAATCAATTATCTTTCGATACTCGCTTTCTGCACCACTTTAAAAAGATTTAAACCTCAGATCAGTATCTTCATTTTTTTGTCCTGATATAATTAATCATTATTTATGTTGTTTAGTTTAGTTTTTTTTAATCAACCCTAATTAACGTTCATGTGAACTTCCCAGTTTGGCATCTGTGCAAACATTCCTAGACGAGAGTCAATGTAGCACCGAGGGCTGTTTAGACAGACTCTGTTGATTGTATGTGTGTCTCTATGCGAGGAGGAGATTGAGTGGTGGAAAACCGCTGTGGGCGGGTGGTTATTCTGAAGTCATTCTCGCTCTTTCTCTGCGTGTTGTCTGTCGTCGTCTCGGCGCGACCTGGCCCCGCCGTCGCCGATCGGCAGCAACCAGTTTCGCCGCCAGGGAATGCTAATTGCGTGTGTGTGCAACTCACTCGATAGCACACTCAATAGCCCGCAATTCACGCATTTTCCGCAAAGGGAAACTCGCGTCAATAAATTTAAAGCCGCGCAACCGACCTACTCGAGGAATGCGATTGCGACGGAAGACAATAAAATTTAGGAAACCGCGCCGTTAAATTAATTGGTTCCTTTCAAATGTTAATTTTTTTAGACAATATTAATAAAAGAAAGCTAATTTTCTATGAAATTTATATTTTTTTTTCTTGCATATTTTGCTTCAGAAATCGTTGAAGAATCTCTCAAATGAACCATTTCAAGAACCAAGTCGGAAACAAGATTTTTCACCTGAATTCGCCTAATTTGAATCTATTCGTAGATTTAGAAATATTGCCTATTTGGTGCTCACTTAATTTTAATCAACTTAACTTTTTTACTATTAATTTTCTCATATTTTTATTTTAAATTTAAACCTCTCATTCAAATCTTACTTCCTAATGTAAAGAATGTTTGACTCATTTCGTCCCTCTGAATTTTTCAGAAACTGCAAACCATCGGCGAGGACTTTTGCGGTTTGGACGTGAACACGCCCTTGGGTGGCGAAACGCCGATGGCCGCGACGGCTGTGCTCTCGTTCGGCGTGCACCTGACGGCCGTGGCCGCCACGTCCACCGGCGACTTCACCGTCGTCTTCATCGGCACCTCAGACGGCCACTTGAAAAAGGTTTGAATGCAAATAACAAATTTGATGTTACAAAGAGAAATCTCGCTCTCTTAATTAGGCCTCTTTTTATCCCATTTTTATCGCCAAATTCACAGCTTGACTTTCCGCTCTGCTTCTTCTTCTTCTCTAGTAGAAAGTGAATCCTGACAGAATGGCACTCGAGTGTGAATCTAAATCGTGTTCTTTTTTATGTTTGGAAATTGCAGTTCCGAAACATTGTATTCGGTCAGATTTAATTGGGGAATAATTGAAGAATCGGTTTTAAAATTACAATACCGTTGGTAGCACCTTCACAAAACAAAAAATAAGCTCGGCCGAGCGTGAATTTGGAATAATTCTCGCTCTGCGTCCCACAGAGATCGTTATCATTTGTGTTCGCGGAAAGACTGGAATTCCACTGCTTTGTTTGTTTCACTGATTTTTTGTTTCTCCCGTTTACTATCGTTAAAGTGGAACAATCATAAAATAATCCAAAAAAACTTAAAATTTTTAAATTAATTCAAATCATAGTAAAAAGAATACTTTGTGATGTCATAATTATCAATATCAACTTTCCAAAAAATAATAATTTGTGTATAATATTAATTGATTTTTTTTTCAATCGACTTTTTAAAACATAAAAAATAATTTTCCGTGACCACAGGTGGCGGTCGAGTCTAGCGAGTCTGCGCTTGAGTATGGCGACATCGCGGTGGACGAGGGTTCCCTGGTGAACGCCGACCTCCACTTTGACTCGAAACTGACGCACCTCTACGTGATGAGCGAAAAGAAGGTGTCCAAGGTCAAAGTGCAGGAGTGCAGCGTCTACAAAACGTGCTGGGATTGCCTGAACGCCAAGGACCCCTATTGTGGCTGGTGCTCCCTCGAAAACAAGTATGAAAAAAATTATTTGATTATTCTTTCCATCCAAGTAAAAGTGTGAGATCATAAACTAACGCAAATGTGGTAATTTTTCCGACAGGTGCAGCCTTAGAAGCGACTGCCAAGATGCGGCCAAAGACCCTCTGTACTGGATCCCATACAAGAGTGGTCGGTGCACAACCATCACGTCCGTCTCTCCTAACCAACTTCAGAGAACGACTGCTAGAACGGTATGCAATGATGAAATTTTTAAAGTATTTTTTTTCCATCAGTTTAATTAATTTGTAAACTTTTCCTATTTGATTATGTTATTAAATATTTAACTTGCAACAGCTGGACCTTGTGATTGAAAACCTGCCAACTCTGAGTGGACAGTTTTTGTGCGCCTTTTCCGCCCTGGACAAAACTCTGATAACTAATGCGACCAGAAAGTCGTATGGCGTCAACTGCACCACACCTCGGACTGACCTGCTGCCCTCCATTCCTCAAGGACAACGTAATTTTATAATTTTGGACCATTTCCCTGTTACAAATAATATTTTAATCAACAGATCACTTCATGGCAAAGTTGTCTGTCCGCATGACCTCTGGGCCGGACTTTGTGGCAACCAATTTCACCTTCTTCGATTGCAACACTTACAGTTCTTGCACCCAGTGTGTTTCGTCGTCCTTTCCATGTGACTGGTGTGTTGATGGGCATAGATGCACACATGACACTGCCGAGAATTGCAGGAATGACATTCTGGTCACCGGAGTTAGCGTAAGGAACTTTCATCTCTAAAATAATGCAGTTTTGTATGATTAATTTCATGTTTCAGAGGATTGGTCCAAGCTACAGAAGTGGACCAGGATTTTGCCCGACAATAAATGCCACCGCAGGCGCATCAACTGAGATTTTAGTTGCGTCTGGGATCAAGAAAAGCATTAGGGTCAAAGTTCACATAATTGGGGTGAGCTGATTTACTTTCATAGTTGACATTTGAAATAATGAATAAAAATTTCAATTTTTTTTAAAATTAAGTCAACTTTACATTAATATGAAATAATGTTGTTTATCCTGTCGACACAAATTAACTGTTTCTCTTTTCAATTTTCACAGCAATTCATCGTGCAAACTCGATTTGTGTGTCAGTTCAACATAGAAGGTCGGGTGACCTCAGTAAATGCCAACCTTCTTGCCGACACCATTTATTGTGACCCTATGGAATTCTCTTACACTTCAAGGGCCCCAAACATCACAGCCACGTTTGCAGTGATTTGGGGTGGCTCGAAACCGTTGGACAACCCTGACAACATGCATGTGGTCATCTACAGATGTAGAGACATGGCCGACAACTGTGGCATGTGTCTGGCCCTGGCTGAGAAGTACGGCTGCGGGTGGTGCCAAAGTTCGGACCGGTGCGAAGTCCGAGAGCAGTGTGACCGTGGCTCTGGTGTTTGGCTGAACCGCAACCAGACGTGCCCCAACCCTGAAGTGCATACTTTCGAACCAGCTCTCGGACCCTGGGAAGGTGGCACCAACATCACCATCAAAGGAATCAACCTGGGCAAGACATTTATGGACATATACAGTGGTGTCACAGTTTCTGGCATGACATGCGAACCTTACAAGGAGCTCTACCTCAAGACCAAGCAGATTGTCTGCCAGGTCGACGGCCCTGGGACCAATGAGCACCGTAAGGGCCCTGTAATTGTCAAGGTTGAAGACTTCAGAGGCGAGTCAAAGCAAAACTACGAATTTGTTGATCCGGTCATAGAGTCCATCAATCCAAAGTTTGGTCCAAGGTCAGGAGGCACCAAGCTCAAGATAACCGGCCAATTTATGAACGCAGGAAGCAAAATTCAAGCCTTCATTAACGACCTGCCTTGTGAGATAATCAGGTACAGTATTTATAAAGCTTCCACATGTAATTAAAGACTAAAGATTTGTTAAAGGCTCAATTGCTAAGTTTATATTTTATATTTAAATCTTTGCAGGACTGATTCAAGGGAGGCCGAGTGTATCAGCAGTGCTTCTGACCGGCAGCGAAGTGGAAAGCTGAGGATGAAATTTGACAAGGGTGACAGATTTTTTGACAAAGAGCTTTTTGAGTATGTCGAGGACCCCACTATTGAATATGTTGAATCAGGAGTTGCAAGCCAGGTAATTGTTTAATCTTTCTTCCAAATCCATGTCATTTATCTATCGTTAAAGGACAAGGTTCCAAAGGGAATTCCTGCCGGAGGAATAAAAGTATCTGTGTCGGGAAGGAACCTGGCTTACATCCAGTCACCAGAGATGTACGTCTACTACGACAATAAAAAATTCACAAGCGTAAGTTTTAATTGCAATGTTTTAACTTCAATAATAAATTTTTGTATGAACAGCCTTGTGTGGTTTTGAGCAACTCGAACATGGCCTGCAAATCGCCAAAAATAGAATTTGAAGGAAAGGAGCCTGACCTTGAGCCTCCAAAAGGTCTTGTCTACGGCTTCCACATGGACAACGTGGTGGGTGTGCAAAATCTGTCAAACCAGAATGGCTACAGCCGCTTCTTCCTGTACCCTAATCCTGTCTACGAGTCTTTCGATGAGGATGTTAAGTACTACAAGAGCGACTACCTCACTATCAATGTAAGATCGTGAAATTCAAAATTTTATTTAATATCTTTAAATCATTTCAATTTCCAGGGGCATCATTTGGACCGAGCTTGTCAGGAATCTGACGTTAGGGTTGAAATAGGAGACAGCGTTTGCAATGTGACCTCTCTTTCAAGACAGCAACTTACTTGCCGCCCACCTACCTCTCAGCCACCTGCCAAAGGTCTAAACGGTCGATCTGATCCAAATGAACTTCCCGAAGTTGTGGTGATTGTCGGAGGCTCCCTTATCTTCAACATTGGAAAGCTGAGCTACGCCCCGACCTCTGGGATCGACCCTGCCATCTCTAAGCAAGTCATCATTGGCATCAGTGTGATCGGAATCATCCTGACCTTCATCTGCATTGTCTTCTCCGTGTTGTACCGCAGAAAGTCAACCGAGAGCAACCGTGTTCTCAAGAACATGCAGGAACAGATGGACATATTGGAACTGCGAGTGGCCGCTGAATGCAAGGAGGCGTTTGCCGAACTGCAGACAGAGATGACCGACTTGACAGGTGACCTGACCTCTGGCGGCATTCCATTCTTAGACTACCGCACCTACGCCATGAAGATACTTTTCCCGAACATGGACGACCATGCTGTTCTCTCAATGGACAGACCTGAACTCATCAGAAAGGAGAAAGGTCTCAGGCTGTTCGGTCAGCTCATCATGAACAAGACTTTCTTGCTGCTTTTCATCCGAACTCTCGAAAGCAATCGATACTTCTCAATGAGAGACAGGTAATTTCAAATTGGAGTTTGATTTCACTATAATAATTTTCAATTCCTCCTCGCGTTCGTATTGATTTTTATTTTGCCAATATTTCAGGGTAAATGTGGCTTCGCTCATAATGGTGACTCTGCAAGGCAGGATGGAGTACTGCACAGACATTCTAAAAACTCTGCTGGCAGAGTTGATCGAAAAATGCATGGAGGGCAAGAGCCACCCGAAACTTTTGCTCAGAAGGTACAATTTGTGTTTGATATTTACAAATTATTTCCCACGTTGCAAGAAAGCAATTTAACTTAGAAAAGTGGAGTTACGCCATTGATACATGATTAATTTACATTTTATGTTGAAATTTAATCCATTTTTGGTTAATAGAACTGAGAGTGTCGCCGAGAAGATGCTGTCTGCGTGGTTCACCTTCCTGCTGTACAAATTCCTGCGTGAGTGCGCTGGAGAGCCTTTGTTCTTGTTGTTCCGAGCCATCAAGTACCAGGTGGAGAAGGGCCCTGTGGACGCCATCACAAGTGAGGCGCGCTACTCCTTGAGTGAGGAGAAGCTCATCAGGCAGTCCATTGACTTCAAGCCAATGACAGTCTACGTGTCCATCTCGCAGCAGACCGTCATCATGGGCATGCATGACCCTAACACAGAGAACACTCCTGTCAAGGTTCTCGACTGCGACACAATTGCGCAGGTCAAGGAAAAGGCCCTTGACACCATCTACAGGGCTGTCCAGTACAGCCAGCGACCCAGAAAGGAAGATCTCGATCTAGGTACGAAATCGATATAACTTAGGATTTTGTTTTAATTACTTGAAATTTCATTTTAAGAAAGTGAAATAATTTAAAATTTTATAAATGTGTTTGCGCAGAGTGGAGAACAGGCACATCTGGTCGCCTGTTGCTGTACGATGAAGACTCGACCACCAAGGTCGAGAGTGAGTGGAAGAAGAGAAACACACTCAACCACTACAGGGTGCCGGACAATGCCCAGCTGAATCTAGTCCCCAAGTCGTCGTCAATGTACAACCTGTCCATCCTGCCCGACAAATACGACAAGTCCCACAAGTACGAGACCCTCAACGTCTCAAAGTTCAGCTCAGCGAGTCCCCCACTCAGCCGGGCTACTTCACCACTCAATCATGACAATGATGGTGGAATGAAGGTAAATTACTATTAATTAACTATATCACAATTATACTTGTCGCATTGAACAAAACACAGATCAATTTTACTCCGTTATAATTTTTTTCTCAGGCGTGGCATTTGGTGAAGCATCACGACAACGACGCGCAAAAAGAGGGTGAGCGAGGCAACAAGATGGTGTCCGAGATCTACCTGACGAGACTGCTGGCCACTAAGGGCACTTTGCAGAAGTTCGTCGACGACCTGTTCGAGACGATCTTTAGCACGGCGCACCGTGGCAGCGCCTTGCCACTCGCCATCAAGTACATGTTTGACTTTTTGGATGACCAGGCGCTGCAGCACGGCATCTCGGACGCCGAGGTGGTGCACACGTGGAAGAGCAACAGCTTGCCGCTCAGGTTCTGGGTCAACCTGATCAAGAATCCAAACTTTGTGTTCGACATCCACAAGTCGAACATCGTCGACTCCTGCCTCTCGGTCGTGGCGCAGACCTTCATGGACTCGTGCTCAACATCCGAACACAGATTAGGTTTGTTTCATTCAAAAAGATTGGCTCTGCTTTACTAAAAGAATTTTTGAAAACGCAGGCAAGGATTCGCCCAGCTCAAAGTTACTCTACGCCAAGGACATTCCTCAGTACAAGGAGTGGGTTGACCGGTACTACAAGGACATTCACTCTATGTGTGCCATATCCGATCAGGATATGAATGCCATGTTGGCCGAAGAATCTAGGGTGAGCTTCTTTTTCTTCTTATTGGACAATTAATTAATTTTCTTTACTGGCCGTTTGAATTTTTACGTATTTTGATAACCAAATCAAAATTTGGTCTAATTTCCTTCAATTCAATTTGCAGCTGCACTCAAAGGAGTTCAACGTCAACTGCGCCCTGCACGAGTTGTACACTTACGCGTACAAATACAACGAGCAGTTAACAGTGACTCTCGAGGAGGACGAATTCTCCCAAAAGCAAAGACTTGCCTACAAACTGGAACAAGTGCATAATATCATGGAGTCCGAATCCAACCCGTAACAGCAAGCGCGTGTGTCTGCGAGTGCGTGTGTGTCCGTGTCGATGTGCTAAATTCTATGTACATATCTACGACAACTTAAGATAAAAACCACTGAAGCAGCAAAACGATTAAAAGAAGAAGAAAATCCATTCATGGATGCAAGGAGGGAGTTGGAACCTGCTTTTCCTTGATTCTGTCTGTCTGTCAGCAATAACTCGCACACCTACGACAAGATATACTCCCCATTTGGTTGGTTTTCCTAAGAAAAAAAAACTCATTCACTCACAGTCAATGTTGTTGTAGCAAGATCCTTCACATGCTTAATCAAATTATTATTGATTGTACATGAAAAGAAAAAAATTTTGCTCAAATTATTGGGATAATGCCCCCGTTCTTCTGTTCAGACGTTCTCGTTTTTTTGTGCCAACACCATTTTTAAGCGGTCTGATAACTAATAACTTTGGTGCAAATCATTTTTTATTTCGAAAATTGGCAGCTCCAATTATCATTTCCGATGTACAATTTACTCAAATTGATTAATTTGCATTTATCCAATGCTGTTATTTTCCTGTGCAATTTTTGTTTTTAAGAGATTTTATGAAGAAATTGTAATACTTGTCAAATAGGCCTACTGTATCATAAGGTAGTTTTTTTTCACAAAATCGAAGAGTGAGATGAAAGAATCGAAGAACAGCTGCTTTTTTACTCTCACGGGTGCTCCGCCAACTATTTTACGAATTCAATATTTTTTCGTGTCACTTTTTATACTCCGTGCCAATTTTTGACCCCAAGTGCACAAACAGAAAAATTTGTCGTCCCCTTGTGTACTTAGGCATTTGTGTTTATTTTTTTTTTAACCTGTTTCCCTTATTCAAAATATTTTTGTTTTCTTTGTAAAATAACGTGAGACTGGAAACACACTAAACCGCTTTCTTTCTTTTTGATAGTTGGCTGATGAATTTTAAATTACGGTGTCCATCGATGGCTTAAATGTTTGCTGTGTAAATTTAAACTGGAAAAAAATAAGAAGTAAGAAAAAGAGACGTTCGTGTGGAGCAAGTGGAAATTTTTAAAATGTACTTTCGAGTGTGCCATGCATGAAAAACGTTAATAAGGGACAAATGCAAATGAGGAAGCACTTGGTCTTCTCCGATTTGATTATAAAATAATCTCTCTGTCCAATGTCAATGAATGAATAATAGCAAGAAAAAAAAATACACATACACACAGATTACCCACCCCCACACTGAACATACACCGTTGTGCTGCAAGTTACTCAATGAGGACCAAAAACAAAATTTTCCCTTAAAAAAAAAAGATGAGATTTGTTCCTTCGCAGCTAATGAAAAATAAATTTCATTCGTGTTGATATATATAATTTCAAGTATCATTGGACAAGCGAGATCCCTTGATTGTGTCTCAGGAAAACAATATCTTGCAGCGAATTATTAAGTGAGCAGAAAAAATAGCCGTAATTAATTAATGGAAAGCTGGTGTTTTGCTTGAATGGGAGAAGCGCGAGTGCTGCTTAAGAAAATTTGAATAAAAATAATATTTCGTATATTCAATAAGGATATCAATATGTGTTTTTAAGACTGGAATTGTTTCTTCTTTGTATACACTGTGTGCATGTGGAAACGAAACAACTAATTAAATAATAACCGGCAATGCAAGAATAATATGTGAAGAAAATTCTCATCCATCTTCAAAATGTGTATAAATTTTCTTAAAAGTATAAAAATTTATATATATTATTTTAAAGATATTTTCCTGCGTGATGCTGAAAAAAATAATTGGCGCAGGCATTGTATGAACACTTCTGAAACTACCACTGTCCAGACGATTTCGCTTATTATATTTTAGAGTTTAATTCTCATTATTATAAAAATATCTATATCAAGTCAGACGAAAAACCTTAAGAAAATTATTTTGTTTTGATTTTTTTGTATATATAAACTTCTTATATTAAATGACAAAGAATTTAAGACACGTCCTCATTTTTATTTCCGCCTCCTTATTTTTTATTTCAACGAAAGATGAATAGCATTTGGATGCTGCAATTATTATTTTGTATTTCTCTCCAGTTCGATGAACCCACGGGGACATCGCCTCTCTCGATGAAAATCACGATTTCACGAACACGATCAAGCGTGGGAGCTTCCAATCGCGCAAGGCCTCGTGACGGTTCATCTTCACTTGATATGCACCCAAATTTTTAAAATTTTCTTTAGATGAAGAAAATCGTGTGGATTTTAGAACTGTTCATACCCGGTTAAGTAAAAATTAGAAAAAAACCATTTCTGAAATTTGCAACTTCTCCGGTATGTAATTCAAAAGCGAAAGCTCCATTGTATAAAAATTAATGAGAATCGCCTTGGGCTATCGATGGCGGGTTTGTTCACCGCAAGTCTCTTTGATGTTCATTTACACACTCACACGTACACAATGTAAATTTGTAAGACGAACAAGTAAAAAAAAAACATGACGAAAATCAAACCTCTCGAGCTGGTTTTTTGGTTGTGAAGAGAGAAAGTATATGAAATGAGCGATTTTTGTGAGAAACTCACGTTCTGTCCTGTGCACTGCTGATTTTTCTCAACGGTGGTGTGCGTAAGGAGCAATTAAAAGTATTTCCGAATTGTAATTCTTTGTCACAGTCTCGAGAAGTAATTTTTATTGAAACTTTGTTTAGTTTTTTTATACCCAAATAACCGATTTCTTTGTAGGATTTTAACTCTCAAATAAAAAGTCCCACAATTGATATTGATTGACAGAGCCATAATTATATATTATTGTTGTAAATTTTTATTCTTACTGTGTATGGTACATATGCTCAGTGTTTACGTCGCTACAAATAAAATTTTTCATGCGAGAAAATGACCATCTAGTTTCTTTTTCATACTCAGTCTTTACAAAGTAATTCATCACATCATAGTTTCATTTCCAAATGAGAAAAACCGAAGGGTCGGAATCGACAATCTGGTCCAGTTGGGATGCAGAAAGTCCCGTCGTGCAACATATCTCGTCAAAAGAGTGCAGTCCGTTGAACTGCTGGTGAAGTGGGGTGGTGACGGCCAACTCTGAACTGTGACCGCCTCCCAAAAACACCGGATACTAAAATCATGAAAAAAAAATGAATAAAAAAGCTTTTAATCTTGCCATTTTTCAAAATTACCTTATTGATTCTACGGATGTATCCCTGCAGCAGTCCGTATTGCACAAGTTTTTGCTCATCAATTTTAAGTGAGTAGGGGTTGATTCTGATGCACAAGTCTTTCAGGGTGGTTCCATAAGTCATGTTGCAGTACATGGTGAAGACGTCATGTATTGTTGGAAAGTTTGTTTCTGGAATGACACAAAACTGATCAATTTCATAACGTAAAAGTTTGCAAGAATCGTGGCAGATTAAATAATTTTAAATTTATCTAATTACGATTCCAAAAACCTTTTTTTAAAAACAAGTTCTAATAATTTTAAAAATACTCCATAATTGCAAGCTCTTTTCTTTTAATAATATTTAAGCACACCTGACTTAGCCACGTATTTGACACACTCCTCCTGCGTTTGGGCGTCGTCGGAGAGTTTTTGCAAAGCTGGTGTTGTGCAGTACACATTGCTGTACTGAAAAATTGGAATCAGCTGCACAATGCCGTAGTAACTGTAAAAAGTTTATTATGAAATGTTTGGTTTTGATTATCAATAATAACTCAATTACACTAGATTTTGAACACAGGCTTTGACGAGGTTGCTCTCGACGTCGGCCTCGGCTGCAATTTTTGCAACATGGTTGAAACCATTGATGAGCGGAAGGACCTGCTGCGTCGTCAAGTCCCACATTTCCTTTTTGAAGTTCTGCTCGTTGACGGTGAAGATCGGAACTTGGTGGTCGAGGATGGCTGGAGGGTCGGCAGCCACTTTTACCACTTTCAGGTGCATATTCGTCGTTCCCTCTACAAACAAAAATAATTAGTAAGCCACAAAAATTATTATGATCTACCTGTTATTGTGCAAATTTTCTTGGAGTTTAGGTCAGCCAAAATCTGCTGCAGGATTTTGGGCAGTTTGCAGTTGTCCGAAGACGAGCGCAGTTCGTTGGAGAGGAAATCGCTTTCCAATTCCATCATCATCTTAAATTGATGTGAATTATTTATAAGAAAATTAATCTAATTTTATTTTGCAAACCAGATATTCAGCCAGTTTTTTCACCACTCCTTCGTACTGGACCGTGCGAGCCCAGGCGTCGCACACAAAGCACAGATTAAAGTAAAATGCGTTTCGAGCATACTTTTTGTTTGATATGCTTATCGGGAAGCCAGTAATTTTGTGGCCAAGGACATTCCTGAAGAATTAAAAATTAAAAAAGTGACCTTAATACATTGTAAACAAATTTACACTGTTAAAATGCTCCTTTGAAGTTGCTGCTTTGGAATGATGTAGACGGAGACGGCGTCAAACACTTCCTTCGAAATGAAATCCTCTGGTACCTGTGAGAGATTTTTAATAGAAATTGGTACATTTTAAGTTTGCAGTATCATACTTGACAGGATATTTTGGGTCCTGCTGTTGGGTGAAATTCGCTGAAGAAAATGCAGCGAATCGGTCCCTCTCGACCACAGCCCTCGAAGAAGGAGCTGTCGTCATTTCTCGGTGACAAAACCTGCTGCTGCGGTTCGTCCAGCATGATTTAAATTCTGGTGGGAACGAAGAAATTAGTATTTATAATATTATTGATAATTATTAATTAATTACAACTATGTACATAATTATTAAAAAAAATAATAAGGTACATAATCGGAGAAGTAAATAAGTGTGTATGACTTGAGCAGAAAAAAAACAATAAATAAAGTAAAAGGTCTGCTCACCCAAAATTAAACGATTGAGAAGAGGAAAGGTGTTCTTTTAACACATTTTTTTTTGCTTCAACAATGGGTCTGGGTGCGATTCGCCAGCTTCCAATGCACCGTCGTCCGAATGAGCCGCGAAAAGGAAAAGGGAAATCGAATGTTTCACGTTTAAAACAGACTCGGAGGAAATGTAAGATGAAATAAAAAAATTACATAAATTCAATCTCTTCACCAGCTCTTCACGTTAGAAGAAAACAACAACATTGGTGCGTCCAGAAAGGAGTTTCAGTATTTCTAAGATCCTATTTATTTTGTAACACTTTTTATCACTTTCTATAATATTTTCATCCAAAAAAGTATTCAAAATTTTTAATTCTAACTAAAGCTCTTCAATTTCTGCTTAATAATTTGATTTAGAGGTACATAAAGTTTATAATAAGCATCTCCTTAACTAACACCCTGATTTTCATCTGTCATTCGTCCCATGTGTTACACAAATCGTTTGTGCATATAGCCGATTTTCACAGACAACGGGACTTGCGTTTATTTTCACAGAAGCCGGACTAAACTAGAAATAAAAAGAAAAAAAGAGACGAGAGACCGACTGTGGTCGGCAAAGTCGGCACGAGGAGCAAAACACAGACAACTTTGGGCTGATTGCCGAGTTTTTCTTATCCATGCACGGTATGAACATACAAATCCCTGTACTTTGACGACCTGATTTTGTTTCAAATCAATGTCATTTATTTCGTTTGGTATTTTTTGCACAATGAAAACAACTTTGAAAATCGACCGAGCGAGCAGTATATATCCATTTTTTTTAAAAAAGCAATGACAAAATAATTTGGTTTCAGGCTGAGGACTTTTTGCAACTATGTCTGAGAGTGAAAAGGGCGTGAAGCGGCCGAAAGGACAGAAAGGCACTGCTTGCAAGAAAAAGGCCATGAAATTCGAGCCCTTCACTTTAAACCAAGTTTTCAGTAACTGCACCGAGAAACTCGCTCAGAACTGGGAGAGCAACGAGGACTGTGCCGTAGCAAAAGACAATGGTATTTTTAACAGTATTGTCGATTTTTTACAATAAAAATTTTCCGAATTTCCAGAAGATTGTGAGGCAAACCCACAAATCCGTCTCTTCAACTCGCCGTTCAAGCACTGTGTTGTGGACAACTTTGTCGACGGTGAGAACTTCCTCTCTGACCTCAAGTACGAGCTGTCCGACCTGAACTACACCCTGAAGAACAATGACCTCTTCCAGTTTCACCAGTCAGATGCTTTCGACCTTGTTGAACTGCCCCACGTAGCTGCGTTCAAACAAGTTCTTTATGAAGACGTCCGACAGTGGTTGGTTGAGGTGACCAAACTGCCCCTGACCAACAGATGTGACACCTTTTGCTCAAGATACGAACATACAGGTACACTGAAATTTCAATGCAATTTCGAATGTTGACCCGAACATTTCTGTCAAGACTATCTCCTGTGCCATGATGACCGTTGTTCGACCAGAAAGATTGCATTTATTTATTACTTGAACAAAAATTGGAAAGAAGGAGATGGAGGAACTCTGGATCTTTTTGACTCTGATGGTAATTGAACTATATTGGATAACTGGGATTTTAAATAATCATTCTTTACTTGCAGAAAATAGCCAGCCGAGAGATCTGGTCAAGTCAATTCAGCCAAACTGGAATAGGTTCCTGTTTTTCGAGGTGTCTGAAAAGTCACACCATCAGGTCAATTGCAATTTTTACAAACCCTGAAAGAAAATAATTTCCAACTTTTGAATCTTCAGGTATCAGAGCTTGTGAATCAGGACAAAATCAGGGTGGCCATCAGTGGGTGGTATCATGTGGCGTCTGCGCCTGAGTGCGACAAAACAATACCAATTTGTCCTGTTGAAAATGGACTGACGGCTCTGCAATCCCTGGTCTGTAAAATTTTAATAAAAAATTGCATTTTTTATAATTTTATGTGATTTCATAGGTTCCTTTGGACAAATTCATAAACCCTGTTTATTTGCAAGAAGACTATGTGGCCTCGATTCAGCAACACTTTGAGCAAACTTCGGAGGCGCAACTGCACAATTTTGTCATTCCTGAGTGCTACCAGGACTTGAGTGAAGCCTTTCTTGACTCGAACGTGCAATGGGAAATCACAGGACCACCAAATATTAGGTGATTTGCGGAGGGGTCTAAAAAAAGTTAAAAATGTCTGTCTTTTTAAATCTAACTGTTCATTTAAAGTTTATTAAATAATTATATCATTTCTATAACTTTACATTTGATTCTTTTTGTTCCGTGTAGAAAAATGTCATGATTTCAATTTTTCTTCTCACAGGCATTACCAGAGGGCAGAAAAGACTAGTTTGCCGGCGCGCCTTCAAGAGTTCCTAGAGTTGATGCACAGTCAGTCCATGTTCAAGTTGCTGGCCAGCATGACTGGTCTAGACTTGCTGGAGGAGCGCGACCCTGACGTGGAAGAGCAGCCGTCTTGTCACAGTGAGGTGCAGCAGTGGTCCCAGGGCTGCTACACGCTGCTCGTCTCCCCACTGCACGCAAACAACCTGGAGGTGCTGGACGTCTACGTACACTTCAACAGTGAGGTCTTCCCTGAGGACGTCGGCGGCACCATCAGCTACATTGCCAACACACGACGGGGCGCCCATGAGGTGTGACTTGCAAAGGATAATCTTCCATCACGATTATTAACTGTCAATAATGATTTATTTTACTCAAAGATAGTCACAAATCAGAATTTCTTTTAATTTGATGCTAAGAATTTTTTTTTAATGCTGCACTTAATTTTTGATCAAAAGACCATTTGGAGCTTCATTTTTTTTGTAGCATCCTGGTTTTGTAAAAATCCCCTTTGAACAATTAGCGTTTATTTCATCCTGCGTTTGCCATTTTTGATGCTTGAAATGAAATTATTGTTCTAGGTTCTAAATTTGCGCCCGGCAGCCAACTCAATGAGCATGGTCTATGCTGGCAGAAGTGTGGACAGGACAGTCAAATACCTGAACAGCCGGTACGAGTACGGCTTCCACACAATCCAACTTCGATACTATGTGCTGCGGAGGTCAACTCAAATGCCAACGTCACCCTCCTCAGACAGCGGCTCTTGCTCCGAAAGCTCCATGCCATGACTTGAAATAAATCCCATATTTTTGTGCTAAAAGTAATGAAAAGGCAATTTCTTTACTTGTACCTTTGAGGTTTGATTTTATTTATAAAGTTGAGCGTTCCAAGTTTTGTTTGATTCACAAAAAATGAAATCGGCTATCACATAGTAAATATATAATTTTCTGAAGTACATCCTCGAGAAGCGGTTTTAAATAAGATTAGAGAAGAATGTTAACTTGTTTTTTTAGCAGAAAGGCCCTTGACCTTCATGCCTCTGAATGAGCTTCCTGATCTCCTTGGCCAGGTTTTCGTCGATGCCCAGTTCGGCAACTTCCGTGTCAAACTGCTTGACACTGGCGCGGCCGACGACGTAGCCGTTGAGCCGAGCCGCAATGTGCGACGACACCAGGTCCTCGGTGGTCTTCAGGCCCAGCAACTTGGTCAGCTCGTGGTGCTGCTGCAATCGATACTTTTGGTGGTAACTAAAAAAAAAAAACGATCATCAGTTATACCAAAAGAAACCTGGAGTGAAATTTAAATTACTCTTCGGCGTCGTAAAACTGGGTTGCGGGGATGATTTTGGTGAGGACGGTTTTCTTGGACTTTGCCTCCTCAGCCTTCAAGGTGGCGGTCGCTTTTGCCTTTTGCTCGTCATCATGATAATAGATGAAGGAGGAATACTGTACAAAACGTGAATTAAATTCAGCTCATCTTTGAAATTTTCCGAAATTTATAAGTGGTACAGAAGGCAACGGCTTTTTTTTTTTAATTATGGAAGAGAAGAGATGGGGCTTTTTCCCGTGATTTTTTAACAAAATGGCTCTACTTCTACTAGTTTTGGTCACAGTCTGCTACCCTACATCATCAGCAAACGCACTGGTCGCAGCAGACCATAACAAAAACTGGTAGAGCCATTTTTTTTATAAAAATAATTTTTGTTAAGAGGAAAAGCCCAATCTCTGCACTTCCATGATCATCTCCTCAAATGTCAATTTCTTTGTCAAAAAAACTTTTAATTTATCTTCAGCAATTCAATTCTAAATTATCCTTTTTTTATTAATTAATTATTATATTCAGAAATTTCAACAACAAAAATCTAAATTTGCGCAAATTTTTACCTGTTTACTTGAAGCGGAGGTAGGGTTGTGGCTGGCCCAGAAAACTTCCAGGAGCTTGTCGTACGAGACCTGGTTTGGGTCAAAATCGATGTCAATGGCCTCGGTGTGATCTCCCCTTTGAGAATTGAAAAAAAAATATTATTAAAATAAATTCGAAAGTTTTTGGAGGAACTCACAAGCTTCTGTACGTAGGGTTGACTTTGGTGCCGCCGGTGTATCCGACCCTGGTGCGCAACACGCCCTTGACCACCCCGTAGATGGAGTCGGGCGCCCAGAAGCAGCCCAAGGCGAACGTCGCCTTTTTGAACGGAATGTTCACTTTGTGCAGAAAGTTTCCACCCATTATCTGCAAAATTAAAAAAAACATCAGTATTTAAAAGATAATTTAAAAAAAATTCAAAAATTGGAAAGAGTTTTAAAAATTTAAATTAAAAGATACAAAAATTGTTTTAGCAAATTAAAGGTTTTACTATTCATGATTTTCAAGCTCCTAATTTCTTCCTTCGTATTTCTATAATTTTATTTAAAATATTTAACTTCCAAGAAAAATAATTACTGTTTTTCACTGAATTGATTGAATTATAAATTTAAATTAATTTTCTTGTAAATGCCATAAACTGATTAACGAGGCCAATTAAAACGCGAGTCGCTTCTCGTTTAATAGTCGAGGTCATTAATTAAAATTAACTGCTGTAACGAGCCTTAATTGAATTACTTTGTGTGGCCCGACCGGTCGATGCGCGCACTGCGTTTTTTTATTGGGCCGGTCAGTCCGGCCCGAGCCAAACGAGTTCGATTTTATGATAATGAGGCCATTTCTGGTGGTCACGCTATACTAAAATAAATCTCGCGAACGAAATCAAAAACAAATTTGAAGATTGCTTTGACCTTGGCCTAAATGATGCAACGACGGCAAACTTCCTTAATTTTTGCAGGAGGAAGAACTAAACGACCTAAGGTCGGTGCTCTCAACCAAAACAGCGCGACCAGTCGGCGGCGCGCACGCGAGCAGAATTTCAATAGGACGTGTTTTTCACAAAAGGCGAAAAACGATACGAAAGCGGCGATTTTAAAACTTGATACCAGCGAGGAAAACCGCAAATTGTGTTTGCACTTTTATCGTGTATCTCTCTTTGCCTTTTGACAAGCGGAGTGAAAATAAAAAAAAGCTTTAATCAATAATATTATAATTTATTAAAAAATAATTAATTCGTTTAATTCCACCTCATGAATTTAATATTTAAATATTGTAGCAGAAAATTCTAAGGTATTATGTAACTTTTATGACAATTTAAGGAACACTATTTAATTAATTTTCTATCAAACAAGAATTTCAAGAACATCTAAAATTAAATTTAATTAAAAGTATCATTTTATAGTTTGACCTTGGTCAAATCCAACAACAAAACTGGAGACTATTATTTACTTACGTCCAGGTCGGATAGTGGATTCGGCTTGAGTGAGGTTTGTCAAAAGGCTTATGTAACACGAGGAATGTTTTGGGTCCCCACCTTACTTTTAATCGATACACCAGATATGATAAATTTAGCAGGTAAAAAATTTACCTTTAAATGAGCACAAATTTTATTTAAAAAATTTATTTTCAAATCACTACGCAATTCAAGAGTATTTAAATTGTTACAGTACATTTGTTTTCCAGATGTTTCTAAAATATCGAATTGCGCAAAATGATGATTTGATACTTTTGGTGAACAATTTGGCGAACAAAACAGAGACATCTGGCGGAAAATTGGTGCGATACTGGTGCTCATTTGCTGCCTATTATACGTGCTGCCACCTTGGAATGTTGCTAAAAATCGCCGAATTAAAAGTACAATTTTAATTTAATGCCAATTTGCGCCAACACAGTCTCTGTTTTCAATAAAAAATAAAACAAGTAATTTTTACAGAAGTTGAAAAATTTGAAGCAGAAAAAATCTTTCTAATTATATTTAAAAATTACAAAATTTTATTCCAAACAGTTATTTCAATGGAAATGAAGAAGTTCTCGTTGTAGAAAATTGTTTTTATTCAAAAACAAAACGGGCTCTTTTTTAATAAAAACAAATTTTTACAACGAGGACAAGCCCGACTATTCTTCATTTCCTTGATCAACTCCTCGAGTGTCAACTTCTTCAAAGTTATTTCCATATTTTATAATAAGTCTTTATGAAAATTGACCAAAAAATTAAACACCTTTAGAATAATAACAAAAATGACAAAGTTTCTATTTCTTTTTATAAAAAAAGAATTTCAAGTTATCCGTTTTCTTATTCAAAAGTCTCTAAGACTCACTTTGAGAATATTAACATTTTTCAAATAAATAACCTTGAATTCATATGAAATTGAAATTTTAAATACTACATATAGATTAAAACAAAAAATAATTAAAACTAATGAAAATAATATATAATATAATATATGAAATAATCTTAAATAATTTATGCTTTGAATAAAGTTAAAAAAAAGTTATATTTTGATTGTTGGAATCTTTTAGTATCTGCTCTAAAACACCGCTTTGAAAGTTGAAATTTTAGAGCCAACACCAAAGTCAAAGGTGAGTGACCTGCTTGTCGGCGAAGGGCGACGCTCCGAAAACATCTTCGACGGCGCTGAATCCGCACTTGGGCGTCGAAGTTCCCGGATTCGAGTGATGCACCGGGGCACTGCGGATGCCGAACAGCAAAATCGCCAACGACACGGTGGCGAAGAAGCTGAAGAAGTCCCAACACCTCTGCATTGCTGACTCTAAAGACTACGGAAGGAAACAAATTGCCAGCTGGTCACCCGAAATTCATTCCCCTTTCGGCTGCCTGGGAACCGTCTGGAATAAAATAATGCACTTTATGATGCATCCTCTGCACGCTAGAGACATCTACGAAATGCATCCAAACTACCGAAATAAATGCAATGTGATTTTTCGGGCAAAATCGAATGTTCGGACACGGTTTTTCTTCTTCGGTCCGTGATAACTACAAAACTGAGAAAATGGCCATTTTGAAATTTACAGGGTCGATGTAAAATTTCACGGGCAACATTTTTACTTCTACCACGAAAAAAATCAGAGGAGGGTATCATCGTCAAAAATTGACTTTTATTAAATAATTGCCAAAAATTAACATTTCCCTTAAGCCTACGACTTTTTTGTAAACAGCAAAGTTGTTCAGCGTGAAAATTTGGGTTAGGAACAGTTTAAAACGTTTTTCTAACGTAAGCCGTTCCAAAGTTACGTGAAAAAGTAAAAGAAAAAAGAATTTGCTTTTCTTTCATCTTAAGTGTTTCCCAAATATTTAAATACCTTTTCGTCAAAGTTAATTTGGGCAAATAAATCTTTTTCTTATTGCTATCAAATCAAGTATTGAACCAGTGGCTGGCTACGGCTGCCGGCTGTCAAAAGTGCAACTGCAATGAACACTCAGCTCAGCCAAAGTCAAGAAAATGTTTGACTTGGTTTTATTTATTTATTACTTGCGGCTGCCCTTTTTGTTTCAAAATTGATAGCAATTAAGGTCAGCTGGTTCAACAGTCGAAATAGTTGACGGCTTATTGATGGTAAAATTGTTGGGATGTTTAAGCGAGGTGGTATATAAATATGAAGGGAGAACGAGCTTTGCGTGTTTTAGCGCATTTTGAGAGTCGTTTTGTAGTGAATTTGTAGTCAACTTGGAGTCGTTTTGTAGTAAATTTGTAGTCAACTTGGAGTCGTTTTGGAGTCGTTTTGGAGTGAATTTGTAGTCAACTTGGAGTCGTTTGTAGCCGTTTTGTAGTGAATTTGTAGTCAACTTGGAGTCGTTTTGGAGAGAATTTGTAGTCAATTTGGAGTATTTTTGTAGTCGTTTTGTAGTGAATTTGTAGTCAACTTGGAGTATTTTTTGTAGTCGTTTTGTAGTGAATTTGTAGTCAACTTGGAGTCGTTTTGGAGTCGTTTTGGAGTGAATTTGTAGTCAACTTGGAGTATTTTTGTAGTCGTTTTGTAGTGAATTTGTAGTCAACTTGGTGTATTTTTGTAGTCGTTTTGTAGTAAATTTGTAGTCAACTTGGAGTCGTTTTGGAGTCGTTTTGGAGTGAATTTGTAGTCAACTTGGAGTCGTTTGTAGCCGTTTTGTAGTGAATTTGTAGTCAACTTGGAGTCGTTTTGGAGAGAATTTGTAGTCAACTTGGAGTCGTTTGTAGCCGTTTTGTAGTGAATTTGTAGTCAACTTGGAGTCGTTTTGGAGAGAATTTGTAGTCAACTTGGAGTATTTTTGTAGTCGTTTTGTAGTGAATTTGTAGTCAACTTGGAGTATTTTTTGTAGTCGTTTTGTAGTGAATTTGTAGTCAACTTGGAGTCGTTTTGGAGTCGTTTTGGAGTGAATTTGTAGTCAACTTGGAGTCGTTTGTAGCCGTTTTGTAGTGAATTTGTAGTCAACTTGGAGTCGTTTTGGAGAGAATTTGTAGTCAACTTGGAGTATTTTTGTAGTCGTTTTGTAGTGAATTTGTAGTCAACTTGGAGTATTTTTTGTAGTCGTTTTGTAGTGAATTTGTAGTCAACTTGGAGTCGTTTGTAGCCGTTTTGTAGTGAATTTGTAGTCAACTTGGAGTCGTTTTGGAGAGAATTTGTAGTCAACTTGGAGTATTTTTGTAGTCGTTTTGTAGTGAATTTGTAGTCAACTTGGAGTATTTTTTGTAGTCGTTTTGTAGTGAATTTGTAGTCAACTTGGAGTCGTTTTGGAGTCGTTTTGGAGTGAATTTGTAGTCAACTTGGAGTCGTTTGTAGCCGTTTTGTAGTGAATTTGTAGTCAACTTGGAGTCGTTTTGGAGAGAATTTGTAGTCAACTTGGAGTATTTTTGTAGTCGTTTTGTAGTGAATTTGTAGTCAACTTGGAGTATTTTTTGTAGTCGTTTTGTAGTGAATTTGTAGTCAACTTGGAGTCGTTTTGGAGTCGTTTTGGAGTGAATTTGTAGTCAACTTGGAGTCGTTTGTAGCCGTTTTGTAGTGAATTTGTAGTCAACTTGGAGTCGTTTTGGAGAGAATTTGTAGTCAACTTGGAGTATTTTTGTAGTCGTTTTGTAGTGAATTTGTAGTCAACTTGGAGTATTTTTTGTAGTCGTTTTGTAGTGAATTTGTAGTCAACTTGGAGTCGTTTTGGAGTCGTTTTGGAGTGAATTTGTAGTCAACTTGGAGTATTTTGTAGTCGTTTTGTGGTGAATTTTTAGATGAAAGAAAAGCAAATTCTTTTTTCTTTTACTTTTTCACGTTCACTAATTTTTTTTTTCCTTTTTTATTTGTTAAGTGTATTTAAAAAAAAATTGGCGAATTTAATTTATCTACAAATAAAAAATAAGCTTGAGAATTTTAATTTTTCAGAGTTGAGAAATTTGAAATTTCACGTGCAAAAAATTTCAAAAGAAAAAATCCTTGCATAATTTCGCTTTGATGAAGAGGTCTTTAGAAATTTCTGAGCAAAATAAATATGCAATTTTAAATTAAGTTAGATACAGATTTTTGTGTTAGCTTTGGATTTCAATTTTGCCTTCATTTCCATGATCCTCACAAAATTCTGACTTGAAAAATTAAGTTTTTTGTTCATTGCAATTGGCCAAAAAATCTAAAAAGTTTGCGAGCATGTTGACGACCTTTTAATTACCAGCTGATTTGATTTTAGCGCGGGTTAAATATTTATCCCGTAGAGGGGGCTAAGAAAAGATATCCCCCAATGACTTGGGGACAAAAAATTGAAGGCGGGACAAAAAATATTTAACCCGGGACAGAAGCATAAATTTTATCCCTTTTGATTTATCCCGGGATATCTTTTTTCCCGGGAGAGCTAAGTCCTAAGTCTATTGAATCTCCCCCATTATTACTACAACTTATTATTGAAAATAAATTTAACGAATATTTTCAATTATAATTTTTCATATTTTTTGTCTTGAAAAAAAATTGAATGATATTTTTAGGTAAACTTTTTCGTAGGAAACAAAAATACCATTGCCTGAAGATTTTTACGAAATTCTTTGAGACTATTGTCTAGAAGAAAGATTAATAGCTATATTTCTCAACTACCCGTAGCAAAAGCGAAGAAAAAAATATTTGAGTCATTACAAAAGCCTAAAATTACTAAAATTAGTTCAAAAGTCTAAATATGTATATTTTCCGATAAAGACTCTAGTTGTATGAAGCGTAAAATATTTTGAATCAGGATAAATTTTGGTGCAAAATTACATGAAAGGGTGAAATTAAATTTTTTTGCACATGACTTATGACTTGTCATAATTTTCAAGCGTTAGGATATTTTCTGTTAGGACATTTTCAATTCTTAATTTTAGGGCATTTTCTTTAGGATATTTTCTGTAGGACATTTTCTTTAGGATATTTTCTGTAGGACATTTTCTTTAGGATATTATCCGTTAGGACATTTTCTGTTAGGACATTGTCTTTAGGACATTGTCTTTAGGACATTGTGAGACACCCCCCCACGCTGAACCAATTTTGATTTTCACAACGCCATTTTTTTTTTTTTTTTGCATAATTATAGCATCACATGAAAAGATACAGTCATTCTGAGATATAAGAACAATGTTATTGAATTACGCAACTGGTAATTTATTAATTTTATTTTAAATAAATTATCTGAGAGAAGGGAGGCTTTGATGGGGCGTTTGGAAAACAACAAAAACGGGCTAGCTTTTGAAGAATTTGTTTTTGGTGTAAAAAAAACCCCACTTTAAGTTTTGTTCACCGCAGACTTCTTTTGAAAGCTCTTTTTCAATTCAATATCCGAGTGAATAAATAATTTTAATTAAACTCTCTCTTTTTATTTTATTGAAAATTTGCAAAAATTGCATATTTTTGGATCCGCTATGGGTGTGTCAATAGATTTGGTTAATAGTTGACAGGTGCGATGGAATGTTGAATCGATAATTGGCGGCGGTCGAACAAAACGCACGCAGGGCCGCGGGAATAAGAAAAATTAAGGCTCTCGGCGCGTTTTGTACGATTTCGATTTGCAAGTCACCTAATTATTCTCTCGTGAACTATAGCAGCGAGACTCGAATGGACGCGAACGCGCTGGCTTTTCACAATTACGCATAAATTAACTCTAATGCCTATTGAGAGGAGCGAATCAATTTGTATTTAATTTGCGCCACTCTTGACGTGCACACGTCGATGCGTCCGAATCGAAACGCGATGCACTGATTTGCTCTTGATAATATAATTATATGCCTCTCCATGGACAAACAGAATGCGTGTGAAATGGACACTATTAAGTGAAGCTTTCTAAAAACGCGCGGCATGCTAATAACTTGGATTCCCTCGAAGAGTTGCGTGAAAACGTTTTTATTATTTTAATTCACTTTTAAATTCATTCTGAGATAACAATGGAGGTTTGCGATGCAGATTCAAAATATTATTCACAAATTAAGTCCCATTAATTGAAAAAAAAAATATTTACAAAATTTGAAAGAAACATTTGGCAAAAACCAGGGGCCAAGAGAAACGTCCGAACAGAATTGTGACAACAAAGAAGAATTTAATTGCAAGCTTCATTACTTAAATCCTGAAAGCCTGACTTTTCGAATCAAATTATCTTCTGTATTAAACATTGGAGTTGTAAATTTAAGAATAAAAGAATTCAAGCAAAACATGAACTTAATTTTATTATAAATTTAAATGGACGAAAGACTTTATAAACTAACCAAATTGTCGACTGAGTGAATTCCTTTTTAGGAAGGATCTTCATTTCTACACTCATTTTTAATTTGCACGGTCTCGCCTCGTGGAGACCGTCATAAATCTCAGCTCCGCCTGCATTGTTACTCACGTACGCGAGTGATTTTATTATTTCTGCCCAACAATTGACTGCTTCTAGGCAACCGCGTGTAATAAATGCACGTGGGCTCTGAACGAGTAACGACGTTTTTAAGTGTCTTGCGTAAATGGAGGCCGAGCAAAGGGGCATCTTTTTGGAGCCCGTAAAAAATATAACAAAAATTATTTCCTCGTCGCATTTTAAGCGTCCGAATAGTTTCAGCAAATCTAAATTCCCATTTTTTCAGGGAAAAGTTTTTCTTTAAATAATAATAATTTAATATTAATCAGGTGTTCCAAACGCTTTTAACCAATCTTCTTCGTTAGGAATAAATTTGAAAATTAATTATTCTAGCATATTTTAGGAATGATTTTCAATTGTTACATGAAAATTTGTTTCTTACAAGTGAATAAGGATATTATCAAAATAAATTAATTTATTTAAAATCAAGGAATATCAGCCAATTATAGCAAACTAAGTTTTTTTTTTACTTTAATTGCATTTTCCTCAAAAAATCTAACAGTGAGAAGAATTTAATTAACATTTTGTGCAAGTTAGTTTTGTAGTCTGAAATCGATATCCATATAATCAGTCAAACGCAAGGGTTCCTCATTTTTTTTTCAAACGACGTAAATTTCTAGATCTGTGTTATTTTAATATTTTCTTTTCCGCACACATATCTCACTTGAATTCCATACTTGTTCATAAGCACTCTGCCTTATTCATAACTTGGCCACTATCAAGATCGACAAATAGGCCTGAATGGAAACGATTTTATTCGCATCATTTTTGTATAACGGCCATTGTTGTGCAGTTCGAAATACACGATTGTGATTCTTTTTTATTCGAGACTTGCGAGCCGAGGAAAATGAAGCAACGATCGACTTATTATGGAAGAGGATTTGCTGCGAGCTCAATCAAAGTAGCACGCGGGGCACAATACCGCTTTGGATGTAGCACTTGCTTGCTTGGATATGAAATGATATATGCCCTTGAATGTCGCGCGTACTTGGAGGCTCTTTTATTATTCTCCAATGATTCTGCACATCTTATTCAAGCAAACAAGGGCCATGCTCGATAAAGGAAAAAAAGGCGAAGATTTTGAAAAGGAACACACACACTTCCTGTAAAACAAAGCGACTCGCGCGCATTTCAAATGCAGGCAACCTGCTGGGCGCGGCTGTTCCCAATGGTTGCCTACCTTGGATTTCAAAGGAAATAAAATTGAGATGTCTTGCGCAAAAACTGTCACAGCAAATACAAAGCAAGATTATGCTAATTGTTTTCATTCGACTAATGAAAAATTATTTCTATATTTAAATATCAAACTTGAATTGAATGATCTACAGTTACAGAAATCTCTATATTGCTTTATTTATCTGCAAAAATTTCCAATCTGTCTTAAAGTAAGAAACGCGGTAGAACTCAAGTAATTTTTATCCAATTTCATAATTATACTATTTATAAATAACGCATACGCCTCGAAATGTTTCTCTGGAGCTGGTTATGGACGCGATTTTTTCAGTCTCTCCCCGATCGGAGTTGGAGATCGCGCGGGTCAGCAGCAGACTTCATTTCTGGGCCATCAAAAACCTCCCCGAATAATCGGTTTTGCCCACATCAATGTACGCATTTATTTTTTCATTCAACTTCAAGATTGAGGAATTCTGATGGTGTTGAAAATTAACATTATTGTGATTTATTAAATTTTGCTGTAATTGTTAGTGGAAATTGTACGTCTGCTATATTTTGCTACAGCCAAAGTACGAAATTTTTGTTAAAAAAAAATCACTTGTCTTGTCGAGGCGCCAGGGCTCAGAAACTAGCGACGTTTTACTTAATTTTAATATGTACTTTGATTTAATTGTATTTGAATGGAGAATAAATATTAAATAAACGTTTTGGGGTTCGGGCCTGTCACGCGACAACGTAAATGCACAGACTAGATTTAAAACTTTTGAAATTTTAACTATTAAGATTTGTATACTTTCGGCCAATATGGATTTTGGTCGTAAAAATTTCCAAATTAACCGATGAGATTTTTATATACTAATTTTTCTTGACGTAAGTCTGTAAAAATTAAATTTAATTATCGGACACCAATGCTGAATTTGTCCCTTTGATAGGAAGGAAGAACTCGAAAATCTTAATCGCAAGGGAGGTCAACCACATTTCTTGTTTAAAAAAAGTTTGAAGCACTTTAATTAAGATACCTGCAGGGATAGGATAAACGTCAATTTGATAAATTTGCTTCCTTAAAACATGAAAACAGATACGTTGAAGAAAATCTGGAAAATTGTGAACTCTTGTGAAGCTCCGGAGCCAACAAGAAAAGGGAGCGCCATCTAAAAATCACCAAAAGCTTCGTTCATTGAAATCTCCCCACAGAAAAGAGTCGGCCATTGAAAATTCGTTGGGCATTCCTTATTTTGTTCTGAAAATAGTATTAAGTCTTAATTTTGTCAGTTATGAGTAATTTTTGAAAAAAAATTGATTGATTCAAATGGATCAATATTCAAATAGTCCTGATAATGTATATAATTCGTGTTCAGTAGTCAATTTTGCTATTATTTTTATAGTTCACGAATTTTTGGAGTATTCGGGAAAAATCCAGATCAAACATCGAAGGTGCAAATTTTTGCACTTGATTTGAGCAGCAGTAAAATTGGGCGGGAGATGGCCCAGGGCAGGTCGCGCGGCAGCTGCCAATAAGCCGCGGGCGAGGGAATTGGGGAAAAAAGAAAGAAACGGAAAAGGGCAAAAATGTGCGCGCGCGATATGGAATGAGAAAAGTGGAAGATTTGTGTCTCCACCTCCCGAGCGGCGTTTCTCGTGGTGCGTCCGTCCCACCTGAGAAGAAGATGCTCCCCTCTACGCGGAGAGATGATCTCATGCGGCGGCGGCGGCTGATCCAGTGCTGCATCTTTCTTTCTGGCTCGTCGCTCTCGGCTGGAATGCCGTCCGTAGCTTATGGTTAGTGCAGTATGTGAAGCAGGCCTCGACACACCAAAGACCCTCCGAATGGACTCTTTGAGCAATGCGGAGCTGAGCGAGCAGCCCTTCCTCTCACCTCAGCAGCAGCTCCTTTGGTGGGAGCGCCTGCACACCCAGCGCACCCTCCTCTCGGCAGCAGCCCCCGCCAACCCCAACCAACACCCCTTCTCTAACGCCACCAACACGTCAGACGTAGTAAGTTAAACTCTTTGTTTCGAATTTCAAATTTTTTTATTGGTTTAAATTTAAAAACAACGAGATTGACATTTATTTAAATATGAATTAAAAAAACATTTCTCATCGGATTGTTTATTTCATGATGTATTGAGCAATTTTACTCTAGAAAGTTTAGTTAAAAAATTCTCATAATAAAAATAGATTTATTCATTTACTAAACAAAAAAATGATCATTAAGAATATTGTTATATTATCCACCGAAGTGATAGAAATGTAGAAATTAATCGCCAACAAAATCATTTGAACCAATTGTGAGCTCATCGTCATCAGTTAGTTGGTTGAAAAAAACTTACCAAGACAAGTTTGCACAGCTGCTTTCATATTATTATTGATTAAATTAACAATTTGTATTGTTTGAGGGTTATGTAGATCGAAATTAAATTTGAAATTATAGGTATAATTTAAATTCTTTCATTTTCCAATATTTAGACGAATAATTTCAGACTTTTAACAAGTTGAATAAACGATAAGGAGTTAATTAAAATATTACCCATTTACTCGGTTTTATTATGTTAAAATTTTTACTTTTCTCAATGATGAAATTCTCTTAATTTTAATTTTGAAGAAAACTATTTCAACAGAATTTTTTGTTTGGCCCGAAAGAAATCTTTCAAAACATTGCATTTTTATATTTGATTCGGTTTTAAGTTTAAATTAATTTCAAAAGTGTAGAACAAAATAATCAAAATCAACATGCAACATATACAAATCGGTCTATAAATGAACTTTAATATTTCATTGTGTGCAATTTTAATTTTGATTGACATGTGATCTTGATAAGAGGGGTGGGTCTTTTGTTTCAACCAAATGTAATTGGCAGATATGACCTGCGTATATAAAAAATCATATTGTTCTCCCAGCCTCGATTTGCTTATTTCCTTTTATTATTTTATACACCCAATCGTCTCTCCTTCTCTCTCTCGTATCGAGGCTCAACACTTGTATTTATTTATTTATTTTCTCAAGAAATAACCGGCACTTAGAGAGGATTATAATAATGTGTGGTGTGTGCAGTTAATTATCATAGAGAGAGAGACGCGCACAGAGTATTATTTCAATTCACTTAATGGCCGAGCTGCTCTTGAGCAATTTCACTCAACTCCAATTTCAGATTAACGTATACACGTTTAATTGGACGCGAGTAGCGTGAAGAAAGGTGTGAGCTTCATCACGCTACACTTCTTCTTCTTCTTCTATCTGTGAAACGTGTAGGTGGTATACGAGTGTGAGAGAGAATAAGCAGCGTGAAATAGCCGTCATTCATTTCCACACAGATGGAGTCGATTATTTATTTTCTCGTGTGTTGTTTCCGCCGTCTTGAGAAGAATACAAATCAGAGTAGATTTCACGCCGTTTAGGAGCATCTCCTCACCTCGCGCATTTTTTTCTTTTGATTATTTTTTACAGGGAAAAAGCGGCGCGCGATATATATCCGGGCACGAAAGAAACCAGTTCGACACGTAAACAAATGTGTTCCCGCCGCGTGCAGTGTGAGTGTCACATTAAGTTCTTTTCTAGCGCTTTTTTTTTAATGTGCAATAAAATTCATTACTTTTCTAATAAAACTCTCTAGCTCGTCGGCGACGGTAATTTGCGGAAATCTCTCAGCACATATTATGTGACACACTCTCCTTTAAAAGGGTCGTTATAAATAATATTAACATATAATTCCTTTTTGTTATCTCTATATGGTTATGTGGAATTTTTCTTTCGCAGTAAGTAATCCCTCAAATCTTATCAAATTGAAATCTTGGAAATTTTCGACGTAGCAGAATTTAAAGTCCTATTTGTTACAATAAAATCGTTCCAAAAACACAAGATAGTTTGAAAATTTCAATGTGAAAATTGACTTGTGTGAAATGAAACCTTTTTTTTTTAATTCAATTTTTGGTATTTTACTCCTTGCTTTGCAGTTTATTTCATCAGGTATATTCCCCAAGTCAAAATACAATCGCGTGGAAATATGGAATCACTTTTCAAAACTGAAAATATTTTGGTGTTTTTTTCTTTAAAATCTCGCATTATTACCTGTTAAAATCAGCTATAATTAAATAAAAATGTCTCTTAAAAACCTTTTGGTCTGATTGGACATAAACAAAAAAGTCTAAAACATTTTGAAATAGCCAATTGGAGTGAATTACTTCTCTTTTGCATTTAAAGCTCTCTTAAACCATGCTCATAATCTTAATTGCTTTACTTTTTTAGACTTCGTCAGTTTTTTAAATTTCCAATTTCTAGAAGTACTTTTTTTCCATTTTAAGTCATAAAATGTCCTATTGTTTGCATTAACTATGAAGATTTAAAGTTCAACGAACTCTTCATGCACCTTTTGCTTTCAATTGCACTACAAAAATCTTACTGAATAGCGAAAATGCTGTTCCGTAAGTCACCCAACTTGTAAAGCTGATTTTGTGAACAACAGAGATTAGCAGCAGATCTACATTTTTTCTCCTAATGCTGCACGTTTTGTAGCTTTTTCCGAGAAAATATGAAAGTCAGTATCGCGCCGTGTCGCGCGGTGTGTTTTGGCGATTATTGCCAGCAGTTGAGCGGAATGAGATTTTCGGGCACGGTTTGAATAAGGCAGAGCGCCGCGACTCGTCCTCAAAAAAGCCATCTCTCTTTTAATTTTCCTTTTTTCCTCGCTCTGCACTTGCTGCTGGCGCGGAGTTGTTATATTCTTATAATTGCAGTTCAAACATAATTTGGCCGTGATTCAGCTGAAAAATCAAAGGAATAAAAATAAATGTAGTTCGTCGGTTTCCCACAAAGCTTTCCAAAACGCACTGGCTCCCGGTATTCAAAGAAACAGTTGTCGTTTAACGAATAATACAATAATACACGCTGTTGTTGCCTCGACTTTTATATATTCAGCTTTCCTCCGAAACATGCACCGTAATCGTCCTGAGAGATGTGACTCGCCAACTATAAATATATTAATTAAGTTGAAACGCGACAGACGGATCAAAGCACCCAACACTTACACATTCGCCTGCCATTTAATAATTTCATAATTTTTCCCAGAAAAAGTCGCCAAATTTTTTCCCCCGCTTGCCTTTTTGAGAAAATGTATAACAAGAGTTTTGGAATTTGCATTCAGGACCATTTAAAAAATTGAGCCATTACTGCTGCGTTAAACGACGGGCTCGCGGTGTGGACTTCTTGGCGAGTCATGTGGGACAGGCGAGAATTTTTCGGGCGCGTATTACAACACCTTGAGCTGTGGTGCAGCGGGTGGGGAAATATAATATGTTGATTGCCACGCTCGCTCGCGGTCATTAAAAGACAATCAAGAAACGTTAATCTGCGGCTTACAGCGTTTCCAACGTCAAATAATCATATTAAATCTGCGCAGAAAGAGGTGTTTTTTTGCAAGCACCGCAGCTGATAAATTCTTAAACGTGCAAAAAGAACGCGGTGTGCATTCGGAACGGAAATTATTGTTCTCTTTTTTTCTCCATTCGGCAGCCTCTATATATCTGAACCACTTGTCAGAAAGCGTGTGTATGTATAATTAAATGGCGAAAACGCCTCGCTAAATGGTCTTTTAATGGCCGAGTTCTATGAAAAACGCTCTATGCGCGCCAAATTAATTTATCCAGAGCGCCTGGCGAGCAATCAAGGCGGCAGGAGACGCTCCAAAAGAGTCATCTGCGGGATTGCGATCATTAGAAAACGCTAGGCTTGATACCCTTCTGAACGCCTCGAGAGCACCTCCATAGAGATATCAACAACAAAAATTAAAAAATCATAAAATTCATGCTAAGAATTAAAAATTTTGAAAAGTATAGAATATTGAAAATTTCTCAAAATTTATAGTTCGATATTATTTCTAAATAATAATTTTAATGGTTCTGTATAAATTTGCACTGTTGCAATTCCAAAAAAGTTATTCCTCATCAATTCGATTGCAAAAGTTCTAAAACTTCTAAGCAAGTCCGATCTATTGACGTGTCTTTTCAATTCTTACTAAAATCTTTCAACAATGAGTGTTTATAAATCATTTAAATTACAATCTTGCATTTTTTTTTCTTTCTAATAAAAACGTTTTAAAAGTATATTAAGATTGGCAACTTTTCTTGATATTGTTTCAGATGAACCAACTTTGCAGAGTCTGCGGCGAACCAGCAGCAGGCTTCCACTTCGGGGCCTTCACGTGCGAAGGTTGCAAAGTAAGTTTGAACTCAAATCAAAATCAGATCCCGAATCAAATTTCACCGAGAGAAAGCATGAAAAAGACCAGGGGATTTACTGGAGGCCTCTCTTTTTTTGTTCACAGTCCTTTTTCGGGCGGACATACAACAATCTGTCGAGCATTTCAGACTGTAAAAATAGCGGCCAGTGTGTGATCAACAAGAAGAACCGCACATCATGCAAAGCGTGCAGGTTGCGAAAGTGCCTGGTGGTGGGGATGTCAAAAAGTGGCTCCAGATACGGACGCCGGTCCAACTGGTTCAAGATCCACTGCCTCCTTCAGGAGCAATCCAACAACAACAACACCATCCCGCAGGCGAGTCCTTCGCCGAGCAGCATGCTGGGTGACACGGCAGCGTCCAAACTGTCCAATTCCAAGATGGCGTCCAACAACAACGACAACTCCTCTTCGTCCTGGAGTCCATCGACGATTCCTCCGCACAAAAAACCGTCCGAGTCGCCACCACTGCTGCAAAGGTCAGTCGGACCTTCGGCCATCTTCCCGGGCTACAACGCCGCCGCCAACAACGAGGCCTCCCTGGCAGCCTTCACGGCGGCCGCCTTCTGGGCGACCAGGAAGAATCCCCTGATGCCCAACGAAATGCTCAGTCCGCACAGCCAGCCAGGTCTGATGCCCTTTCTGGCGGCGTCCCCCTTCTCCAACAAGAACTTCCTCTTCCCATTCAGCCCCTCATCGACCAAGCAGAGCCCTTTCATGCCCGTCCTGCCCCCCTCCACAACGATGAGGACCCCCTCTCCTGCAAGTTCCGCCTCATCCGCCTCCTCCAGGTCCAGGAACAACTCGTGCTGCTCGTCGCCAAAGGTCAAGGACGAACCTGCAACGAGTCAGCTGACGGGTCTGGCCCTGCTCAGGACCCTGGGCCCCGTCCAGGACCTGCCGATGGACCTGTCGGCCAGGGCCCAACCGGAGCAACGTAGGGAGAGTCCGGAGAGGAGTCTGGCGGAGGTGAAGAAGGAGGTCGCACCCGACGACCTGAGACCTGCCAAGCCGCCCACGCCACTCGACCTGACGACCAAACTCTGAAGTCTCAGCAGCGTCCATTATTGTTCCTACTGCTCTCTCGGCAGTCTCTCTGATGGTGTGCAGTTCAACGTTTGGCTGTGAACTTGAGAAACGACACGTGTGTGAATCTAAAGAAAATTTTACATTTACTCAAAAAAGCCACAAAATTCCAGACTATACACAAATCTATGCACAAATCAAACACCGTATATAATATATATTTAATACTTGCCACACCAGTCTCCCAAAACAGTCTCATTTCTTGAAACTGTAATTGAATAAAAAGAATGTCTGTCCAATACTCGCGCGCGGTTGTGTCCATAAATCACATAAAATGCTCTCCTACATTGTATTTAACAATGGCACAGTTCAGGGAACTGCAAAAACTGTCTCCAGAGCAGCGTTCATATTCATCAGTTTTTAATTGACAGTTTATTATAATTATCGCTATTTAAAATGTAATCAATCATTTTTTTTGTCCCATTTTCTCTGATTGGTTAAAAAAATTAACCAAAATTGTAAAATTTGAATCAAAACTATCCTAAAAAATCAACGCACTCATTCAAAACTAAAACGAATTGGAATTTCCGAGAAAATCTTGTTAAAAAGATTCTAAATTTCGAATGGTAAACTAAAGTTGGATATTTAATATCATAGCCACAATGGAATAAAAAGATGAAGGTCTTTTTATTAAAAACTGATGAATCTTAACTCTGTCGTGGTTGTTATAAATTTTGTTTGTTACCGTGGCGCCGACTTGTCATAATAATTATGTATGTAAGTTACTCTATATATCATTTTATGTACGGTTTAATTTATTTGTTTTATACGCATAATTATGCCAGTGAAACAGGCCAGTGTTACTTTGTTAATGTTGTTTTAAAATCTTGCGCGAATCAGCCAAGAGTGTATCATTGCATTTATAATTGCATCAATATTGTATGTAATTAATGTGTTACTCCAAGATTATAAATATATGAGAGAAAGATAGGCCGGTTGAACGATCGAAAAAGAGCTCTTCCTTTGAAAATGCTTTTATTGCTCAACAACTAAGAAGTACAGGAAGAAAAATAAAAATTATATCTATTTCAGCTCAAAAAAACCTGTTTCAATTCCACGCATGCACATCTAAATCAATAAATAAATAAATAATTTTCCAATTAATCACAAATTATTAGCGTGCCGCAGAGAGTGAGGCAACTCTCCACACACAATGCAAGCAAGAGAAGCAATTTTTCAAATCGCGCGACTGAATATAATCGAAATGCAAATGAATTCAACACACACAGAATGCAGTAGTTTATTTGCATGCGCCGGAGCGCGCACACGATCAAAAGAAAAGTAGCGGCGCGGCTGCAATTTTCGAGACTAACGACAACACGAGAGGAGCACCGCCGTGTTCGATTGTATAATAAAAGAGCAAGTAAGTAAGTGGAAGTGCACTTCTTACAAAATAAATGCATTCGATCTGTAATTCGATTTTAATGCGCCGACAGAGTTTAGCATATCCACATTTATGCCCAAATACAGTAGAGTATATATAAGTTTTTAATTGGCAGATATCACACGTGAATGGAGCGCCGCTTCAATTCTCAGGCCGGTCGTGCTGCTTTTCATTCGCATGAAAAATTGAGTGTGTTTTGATTTATCCTCCTGAGAAGCAATAAAATTTATCGCGCGCATATTTCCGAGACGTGCTTTTTCCCCTCGGCCGCGCGTTTTGCGCGAAATTAGCTGCTCTGTGCATAGCGTCGGCGCAAGGTGAAAAGTTCGCGTTTTAATTAACGGCGCGCGAGAGGCTCCAATTGTGAGTTACTCAATTTCCAAGCGGATTTGCGCCTTTTCAGTTTGTTGCTGGGTGCTAAAAGGCTAAATTTTAATGAATCATTAACTTGGTGTTTTGGTTGGAAACATATTAAAGTTGCAAAATAAAACATTTTAAAGTCTTCAGACAGTTTTTAGTGATATTTACAGCGGATTGTTAATCATTCTAAATGAGCTAGGCTAATTAAATCAGAACAAATAATCGTTTTGGAACGTTTTAAACGTTATCGTTGATTCATTAGGATGAAATGGATCAATGGAAATTATACAACATGTCAATAAAAGATAAGCAAAACAATAAATAATAATAATTATACAATGGTTCAAACCAAAGATTCCAACTTCGAAGTAACATTTTACATTACTGAAGCTATGAAATTTATTTTCATTTACAAAAATTTTTACTGGTATTTTTGTGGCGCGGTTTTTTTCTTGTTTCAAAGAATTTATTAACGATCGAGGGTTGATTCAAGATATGAATTGAAAAACAACAGTCCGTAGATGAAGCGTGCAAACAATAAATACAAAAAAAAAAATTAACTAATCACAAAAGACAATGAAAAAATAATGTAAAAAAATAGAAAAAAATGTAATCGGTCATATTGGTTATACAGGATGATAGTAATTTCCAATAATGTTCGACAAAATTTTCAGAAAATTTTATTCATCCTTGCCTGCTTGATTGCAATGTTGACTTCTTTAAATCAATTTGAGCTTATGGTTTTATGAGTGTGGTGTAGGTAAAATGAATTAATGGGTTTATAATTTGAGGGAAAATTCAAATTAGTTTTTGAACGTTTGATACTGGGATTTTATTTTTAAGGATATATTAAAATTTTAAGAAGTGTGTAAATTTAATTACCATTTCTTCTATTTCTCATATTTATTCACCTATTTTAATATGAAGTTTTTTGTTATAATAATTATTGATCATTGTATCAACAGAAATTGAATTGTTTTACCAACTGCTTATACAAGCTTTTTATACAAAAAAATTATTTTTTAGTTTAAATTTTAACAATAAAACAAACAACTCATTGATTTGAAAAGATTAGCTCCACAGATTTTGTGAAAATTTTTTACATGCTCGTCGCCCAGCTCAGATTTCTGTCACGTCCGAGACTTTCGTAAACATCATTTTACACCGCCTGAAAGTTTAGGCTCGTGTTTTGCAGCTTTTAATCAAAATTATCCCACTTTCAAAGCACCTCAAAATGCTTTTTACGCGGGATTATCTAATAAATCACCGCGGCGGGTCTCGAGCAGAGAGTACGGCGCGTTGCCTAAGAGAGAGAAAAACGGGTTTATTTTATTTGTGAGGAGCTTGCGGGGCCATTTCTCACCGCGGCGCACAACAACACACACGCACGACAATTGCGCTTTAATTTTTGACACCCAAGACGCGCGCTGCTCTCTCTCTCGTCTTGATTAGGGACAAAGACAAAAGTGCCACGAAGAGAGAGAGAGAGGAGTGGACCTGGCCGGCGTCGAGCTCTCAAGTTGCCGACAAATGAGGCCTGTCGGCGGTCGCGGTGTCTGTGTGTTTGCATCTGTCAAGTCACACACACTGCACGCAGGTGCCTGTTATCCTTTGTAATTTTTCACTTCCCTCTCTTCTGGAAAATAGGAGTGTCCGTCTCCGCGAAAAGACTGATTGCACGCATTTGACTGACTCGTTGGACCTAAGCTGAAAATTGTAATTCATACAGCAATTTCTTTCCTCGCTCGAAACTAAAAACAAACACATTTGTCCGCTGCGCTCAAACCTTACAACTCGCGAGACAGAGAAAGAAAAATAACTGCTGAGTAAGCATGGCAAATGAAACTTGCCGGGAGATACGGTTACAAAAAGCATCTCGTGAAAAACATTATTAGAGTCAAAATATAGTTAAATTAATCACATCATATCTGAAGAGGAAGGTGTATTGCAGTAAATTAATTTAATTGAGTAATCGATGAAGGAAGAGTTAAAACAAATTTTTAGACTCATGGCAATGAACTTAATTGAAAACAATAAAACTTAAAATTAAAGTGAAAAAAGAAGAAATTGAAGTTTTACTATGGGATGAAATGTGAAGAGAAAAAAATTATTTGAATAATATTCAGGTCAGCAATAATAATGATGATGAATAGCCTTTACCTCGCGTTTTCTTAGGAAAATGTCACTTTAAATTTTGGCCAGATTCGTTAATCTTCCAGGTTTTTATGTGCATTTTAAGTTCACAAGCATTAGTGATTCTTGTAAGAGCAATTTAATGTTTCCCCTGTTAATTAAGATTATGGAAGAATATTTTATAAACTTTTAAAAAATATATAAATGAATTTAAAATTTTGTTCTTTAGTCGTGCAACAGTTAATTAGTTAATATAAAAAATATTTGATTTATGATTATTGATATAGGAAATGTATAGAGCAGAACATCTTTTTCTTTTAAATGAAAATCGCTGTTTTTTTTTGTCTGTTGGAATGTTTGGACTGCTTTGTCTCATAATTATCTTTTAATTAGGAGCGAGTTCGCCGAAACGCAGGTTTGCTCACTTTGGTTAGTTAGCGGGTTGATCGAAGAAGCGACAAGTGAATTGTTTTTTCTTTCAGCGTTGGGAGTAGCGATTGTGTTTGTGTTGCCGCAGGAGAGAATAATAATCAGATCGATTCCGCAGGTGATCATTAATTAACATTTTTTTGCTGTTGGCCAGCGCGGCGTTGAAAGTGGAAGTGGCTGCCGGCGATTATTTTCTTTCCGAGCTCGGCTTGCTTATCTCTCTTTCTTTTTCCAAGTAAGATAAAATGCTGATGTCTTCATTAGCAGACGTAATGAAGCATTATTGTTGTCTGGCCGCCATGATAATTAATTATTGCGCCGTGCATCTGATAAAAAAGCGTGCGCTCCTCTAATCAGAATTATTTATTCATTCTGCGCTGATTATTTGTTCTCCCATTGAGCTTCGATTTTCTAATTGGCGTTCGGCGGCCCTTTTCAAGGCTCATTACAAAGGGAAAAGAGCAGGGCACGTGCATACATTGAGATTAAGTCCTTGTGCACGTCACCCGTGCAAATTGAAGCCAGAGGGCTCTTCGCAACGGATTCGTCACTTTGAAGAGCACTTAATTAACAATTATTAATTGGCTAATCGGGTTGCCTGCCAATTATTAATCAGCACATTGCTATAAATTCCTGTATTCTCAACGCTAATTTTCTTTCTTTTCATTTGATCTTTGAGGCTTCTAATGTTAACTTCGTGTTATGTTCGGAAACATTCACATTTAATTTCACGCGAAAGGAATTTTTGTGTTAATTTTGCAGCAATTTTTAACCAGTTTTTATCAGGCTAATCTGGAGAAGAAAATTATCTTCAATAAATTCCTAATATGCCAATTAAGGTCTCACAATCAGTGCAAATGATTTTATAAATGCAGGAATATTAAGGATAAGACCATAGCCCACAATGCGATTGGATGACACATCGTGATATTGACAAAAGTGCGAATCGTACTTTAACCTTGTGGTCAATAATTTTTGCCCAATTTTATTTCTTCAATTTGTCCATCTAATCTAAAACCGATGATATTTGAATGATTCGGAGAGCAGAAGTTAGGCAAAATATTTACATGGAGGACGCTTTTGTTGCCTACATTTAAAAATATAGGCAAAAATTAATAGCCGTTCCAGAGTTCCCAAGTTGCATATTAATGAAAATCTAAAAAGAAACATGCAAGTGTTAAAATTTAAATTTATTTGACTAGTTTTCATACATGGAAAAAACCTTTAAAATTGAAATTAACCTCAAAATTTATTGCTAAAAATCTCTAAAAATCTAAATATTTTTTAACATAAATTCTTATCATTCTTAACTCGCTGACTTTTTTTTAAGAACGTCATTCAACTCTAATTTCCTTTTAATGGACTGATAAATTTATTGAACATGAAAGGATCGATGTTTGTTTATTGTTGATAAAAATGCGTTGGGATCAAGGAACCTCTAGTGCAGTGACGTGGCCCGCCAAGACCCCACAGATAGGATTTGTTTCGGATTGGAAAAGAACGAGGGCTCTCTCTTGGTCTCGGGCGCATTATAATATCGAGAGGTGAAAGAGCGAATAAGTTCATCAACCAAAATTGTATACTTTCCGCAGTAAAATATGTATTTAATTAAAAGTGTGTTTTAATAGACATATACACGTATCATATAATTAAAAACAAAATTTCAAACTGATCGATGTGGGTGGGTGATAATTACAGCCTGCGAGAGCGCAACCTGTTATTAAAATCATGCGCGTACATAATGGAAAATGCGCTATTATATTAAAGCAGTTCAGCGAGTAATATATTTTATCACGTGTATGTATTGACTAAAAATTGATAATTAATAACATGGTGCGCACGCATGCCCTCCCATTTCCTGTTTAATCATGTTTCTCTCCGCGAGTCGGGCCCATAAATCGGCCCCGGTGTGTTATGCATTCTGGGAATTATTCTCATGCTCGAAATTTCGCTTCTCGGAATTATTATTTTATATAGATATTCATTTATTAATCCCATCTCGGCGGCAAACGAACGAGAGCAATACCTGAGGTCTATTAGCACCAAATGGATACTTTCACGCAACGCTGACGCACTGTTTTTAATTTAATCTCACACCGACGCGGCCCCTTAATCTCGGACCGAAATCTGATAAAGTAATTGAGAGGATGTCTCTCGTACTAATTAAATCTGCTCCAATCAAGAAGGAGAAAACTAGATATACAAAAATACAGAAAATTTTCTCCGATTCAAAGGGAGAAAGGAAAAATCATATTCTTAACTTAATATGCGAGAGTCTGGTGCGAGCTTCAGGTCAACCAGTTGTGGCGCCAGATCCTGCTGCAGCCGATTCAATTCTCTAATTATCATTTTGAACAATCAGTAATGTCGCGCGCACGTGCAAAGTGCCTAAAAAGTGGCGCATCCTCCGTCTGACTAAATGCGGTCGTGTTTCTTTCTTTTGAATTATGGCTATTTTTAAAAACGGGAATTTGTTTAAATTTCCTGTTCAACTTTGGTAATATTCACTTCTAGAATAAATATCAACCGAGTTTTTTAATTTATGCATTTTTTAGATCAAAAAAATTGTTTCGCTTCTATTTTTTTTTTAAATGAAATTCCAATTTTGAAAGTATATTTTGTGTACACCATTTGTGCTAGTAAACAAAAATAAACAACAATCAAGAATTTGTTTGAAGAAGTTGACACTCGAGGAGATGATCATGGAAATGAAGAAGTCGGGCTTTTCCTCGTTGCAAACAAACGGCTCTACCAGTTTCGGTCACGGTCTGCTACCCTATTTCATGAGCAAGAAATTTGTTAGTTTTAAGATTTTTATTTTTATGTTAAAATGTGGTTTTTCAAATTTGCTGATTTCTTTCTCATGAAATAGGGTCGCAGACCGTGACCGAAACTGGTAGAGCCATTTGTTTTTGATTAAAAACAATTTTTTGCAACGAGGAAAAGCCCGACTTCTTATCATTTCCAACAATCAAGAAATAAAAAGATCGAGAATTCCAAATTTGAGACTGAAAACTGGGTTAAAATCTTTCTTAAAAATCTTAAAGTAATTGAAATAATACATAACCGTTTTGAGCGCAATCCATCATCCAACTCATATAAGGCAAACTCTAAAATTTGTTTTAGAGAAAATGATTTTTTTCCCTCCTTTGTCCTCATTCCCTTTTTTTTATCTGAAAAATTAATCGGAGCCAAAAGTTCAGCGTCCAAATCATAGCGCACGCGGTATATTCGAAAACGGCGATAAATTATTCCAAGATCCGACCCAGCGTTGAAGTCTCTCCGAAAGTGAAGAGGCCTTTGTTCGTCCCCGGTTTATTACGATTGCTGCTCGATTTGTATATTTATGTGTATTGGAGCGGGAGAGAGAGAAAGATCGCCTATCAACACTTCCAGAGGTGAAGAACAAATAAAGCAACGAAGGGAATTCAGCGTGTTCGGAATAAACATGCAGATAGGCAACTCTACACAGTCGTCGTCGGGCAAACAGAGATGAAGATAAACTACATTATATTATGGACAGCAATATTTGTGTAGGCACCTGCCGAGCGAGCTGGCGGCCCGAGTGCACCGCATAATATTAATATTGGTCCGGCCGGCCGGCCGGCCGAGAAGAGGAGTGCTGAGGATGAGGAGAAGAGAGCAACAATATTGCTGATGGGGTGACCCTAAGCAGAGTGATGCACACACCAAGGTCGTGAGAAAAAGACAAGAGTTAAATAAAAGTGGGCGTCGCTCTTGCTATTATACCTGTGTACACTTCGCTTCTTTGGCTCGCCAACTTTGTGTGCGGCCGGCAGGTACATACATAATTTTAACAGGGCGCATATTTCACCTCTTGTTCGCACTCTTTCGGCACAGAATTTACCTTTTCTTTCTTGCATCTATACCAAATGTCAAATGCGTGAGCAGAGCGAATTGTCGTGCATGTCATTAGAAAGGACCAACAATGAAGTGAATGATAATTTACAATTAGATTAGCTTTGTTTTCGATCACGAGTTCGAGCAATTACCGTGCGAGTCCACATTATTGTGCTCCATTGTGAATTGCTAATGAAATGATATATAATGTGATGCCCTTTGGAACGAGCGAAATTGTCCATCATGCCGCCACGCGTGATCTGGCTGATCCGCTAACCCGCAATGCAAATTGTAAAGAATTTTGTTTTTAATCATTTTTTAAGCTACAAATTTTTTTGAACATAAAAAATTTGACTGATTTTCTTAAAATGTTTAATTAAAATTTTTTAAATCAAATATGAGAATTTTTTAAGTTTAATTTTAAAATAACTAATTTATTCGGAGTGCCAGCCACGGCCAGCCACAAGACTACTATCATGGCTGAAAATTTCCACAAATGCAAGCTTGAAAATCCTAAATTTTTACCAAATGGCTTCAAGGCCATTTTCTACTTACAATAAGAAAAATTTTAAATGTGAAATTAACACATAATTTTGAGCTTGCAATATAATTTTTTTTATTAGTATTGCATAAAAATTCATAATTTCAGAACTTTGAAAATTAGTTTATGCTTAAAAATAAAAAAATAAAAGTCGATATGGGGTAAAAATTTCAAATTTTTTCAGTAAAAAAGAAAAATTGGGATAAATTTCATCTTTTTTTAAGTAGCTCTTAATAATTTGAAATTAGAAAAAATCTTTTTTAATCCCCAGCCGAACACATTTGTATTAAATTATATATTCATGCAAGTATTTATCAAAAATGAAATAATGCTTTTGGCTGTGAATAAATTCCTCTTTTTTGAAGATTATCAAATTATTGAATTACACGAATACGACCGATTTCACCGCAAAAATGCAAGAAACTGTTTAATGAAATTATCATTTAATAATCAATAATATTAATGAAAACATACTATGACTTGGCAGCAAACAGTTTTAATTTTATGCGGGTGATTTCAAACTAAATAAACAGGTGAAACAATAAATTTTAAATAACAACTTAATTGAGCAAAAATAATTCATAATTATATTTACTTGCCACTCTCATTAATATAATTATGTCTTGATTCTACTTTTTAAACGTTAAACCACATCTTTGAATAAAATATTGTGATGTGGGAAACATTTATATTTAAAGAGTGAAAATTAACTTACATACCTGGATGGCCATTAGGTTGTTTTCCGTGTTGTCTGTTTCGCCGCTTTTCTCTCGATTAGCAAATTGACGCTCATCTCATCTCTTTGGCGCGCGGCGACGAGCAAATCAGATTCGCACGTCACAAAAATTCTCCTTTTGATTTTACGCACAGCGGCCCATTTCACGCCTGTAAAGATAACAAACCATCTCTAATTCTTCCATCCAACGAGATATAAATAAATTAAAACACCAATAACACAACGGAGAAAATATAAGAGAGAAAATGTTTAACGAACATTATAAAATATGCTCAGAAATGAGAAGGTGAGTTAAGCAAATATTTTTACCGTACCTGAATAAAATTGTTCGGATATTAAAAGGACTTTGCAGGTATTCTTCATTCACAAATATATTAATAGTTGTAAAATCTTGGCAAAAGTAAAAATTTCGTAATCGCCGGACAAAATAAAATCTGCTCAATTAATTAAAGCAAATAAATTTTTAATCTCAAAACATGTGAATTCGGAAAAGAGTGATAAAAATAAATGCAAAGCCTTTATATAAACTTGATTTTAGATTTGGTTTGCAACAAAACGATTTTTTGATAAACCAACTCCCTCTGCTAATTAAATCCTCTGAAGGGGTGGCCGTTTTGCAGCAATTTCTGTTCTGTTTGTCTTGCTTTGATCTCTTTTTGTCATGAATCAGCAGAAACTTTTCGGCAGCGCATCCATCCACGATTCAGAATTTGAAAGGAGTTTTCCGACGAAAGACCGCGGATGTTTACGACGGGCAATATTCAGAAATTAAGTATGAGCTTTTGACTAAAGAAAAGTTATCTTCCATTTAATTGCACTCGTTTAAGTTCATGTTATAGAAAAGTAAGTGCCACTGATGCCACTCTACGTTGAATTTTGTTAAAATTCCGATATGATCATCAACTCTTTGGTCACTAGCGTATAAAATAAATAAATAGTATGCTAAAGTAAAATTCGATCTGAATAAATCACATTATTTTGGATTTTGTAGTGTTAGAATTTAAGAGATAATTACGATTTTTTTTTAAAGTTAACTGATATTTGATCAATTGCGTAATTTCATCAACTCATTTTTTGTTTGATCATATCCGCACCGCATTGGATTTTTTGTCTGCTTTATTTTGTTCGTCCGAGAGAGTCGGTTTGCTTGATGGTCGCCGCCGCGCGCACTCTGAATATTTTAAGGTGAAATCTGCTTTTGGTGCTCAACGCGTGTATAAACATACACATATTTTCGAGGTGTCAGATGTGGAAGGGCTCGGGTTTATTATTAAATAAGGCTATTACGGCGGCATTAAAGAAGTCCGTCTCGGTCCGAGAGAGAGAGAAAAGTGTTAAAAAATAATCCGAGCCATTTGCCTCGTCGCATTTTAATCAACACACACACACACACACACAAGAGGCGCGCGTTTTATGGGGGAAAACACTTAAGATAGCCGCCAATGTAAATTGATAATGAAAAATATCATGCCCGGCTTGCGTCTAGTTAGCGCGCCTAACCTGTACAATACCGCAGTTAGCATTGCATGCCGGGCAAATTTATGGTCCGCCTTTGACATTGCGATCGGCGAACTTTTTTTTATCGTCGAACCTCCTCGACTCGCCGCCAACTTTTCAACTTTTCATACATATCGCTTTTTAATCACGCTTCGACACACCGTCGTTTAGCAAAACGTATTTGCGCGAAAATTTATCGATTGTGCGATAAAAATTTTATGATTTGGCTTGTTTGAATTTTTTTGCAAAACGCTTAACGAGGAAAAGCTACAAAAAATATTCGTAATAACCAGTATTCTGAGCGTAACCGGATTTAGGAGGATATTCTGAAAAGCAGAAACTAAAAATTAATCTTGTGTTTATGTTGAAAATTTAAAAAGCAATAAGAAAACGAGATTGCAGTAAAATCTGTTAAAAATCATTAATAACGTGCACATAATTTCAGTATCAAATGAAAACTATTTTGTGCTTTTACATATTGTATTGAGTTTTCCACATTGTTACAATCTTTAATTGTAATTTGAATTGACTCGAGTAAATTAATTAAGCGCTCATTGTATTTTTTAAATAATTATATTCAACTCTTGCTTCAACAAAGAGTAAACAATGTTTCTCTTTTTAAATATCCTAATTTATTTATATAGATATTGACCGTGAGAATCTCATTGATTTTAGAAGCCAGAAATGTGTTATTTAGAATAGAGTGTTTGACGGGACTCGGTCCCGACGGGTCCCCGCGGGACCGGCACCGTTTTCTTTAAGAGCAGCGGGAACGGGACGGGACGGGGGCCGGGAAATTGAAGTTAGTTGCAAAGACAAACCAGTTTTCAATTCCCCGTTCCGTCAAATGAATTATAATTTTCAAGCCAAGTCAAAATTAAAAGTTTTTGAATAGCATATTTTTCTAATCGCAAACTCCTATTTTCGCACTTTCTTTTAAAAAGAAATATAAATAATCATAAATAAATTAAGAAATCAAGACAATATTTAGACATTTGAGGTATTGATATAATTAAGCAACCCGCAGTACGTACGAGTAGTGCTATTTGCATACCACGAAAACTGGACGATTAATAGCTGATTGCATGAATCGGGACTCGGGACGGGTCCGGGAATTTCGTTTTAGGCACTCCCGGGAACGGGACCAGACTCGGGAAATTGTTTGAAAAAAATTCGGGAATGGGAAGGGAAAATTTTCAAACACTCTAATTTAGAACAAAGAAAAAAATTACTGTTTTATTTCTCTCTTTTAATTAATGTGTGCAAAAATTAATAAACGACATAAACAACAAAAAAATCTCAGATTTCTAGTTATAAAAATAAGCTCTCAATTGATCGATTTTGCATACATGATAAATATGCCATGTAGCGTTTATCGAATTCGCACAACAACCGGGGGCTTTTCTGCGTCGGCTTTGTCTGCATCGCTTTTGTAATTGTACGTGTGCAGTGCCAGATCGAGATCGAGCCGAGATTATATTATTTCTCCGTGCAATCTGCAGCGACTTTTCTCTTTTTAATTCTTACTGGCGGCGCAAAAAGGTTGTGCGGTGGCATTAACGACCGAGACAAACAATGAAAATTTCAATCAATGGCGCGCTGCACCGACGGACCGAAGGGATACAATAAATTATTAATGATATAATTGATGTGCAGTGAAAGCACGCCGGCGAATGAAAATTATTCGCTCTCAGGTGTCAGGTGGAATAAAAGAAGAGGAGCGTCTCTTTCTTTCTCTCTCGGTCGCTCGGCGCGCTGGAAATTATTAATATAACAGACCGGCGATATAATGTCAAATGTTAAACACGTGGACACGCAATAAATAATGGAGAGAGCGAGCGGTGCATTAAACTGGAATGTGAATTAATAGATTGTGAAAAAAATTTATAAAAGGTTGGAAAAAACAATTCAGCACAAGAGCGGAGGGGAGACAGAAAAAGGTGAAATATGGAAAACCACTTTTCTATAAATACTAATTCGCCGTGACATCTTTTTATATTTTTTAAAGATCCTCTCCAGTTAAAGATTTTTATTCTTGAATTCGAATGAAGGACCCAAAGTTTTGTTCATCTCAAATGTTCAGCTGGTGAAAATGCTGCTTTATTTGGTGCAAATAACTTCGATGATGGCGGATTCAGTCATGAATATTTTTCTTTCAATTCCATATAATAAAAATCATTATCGGAGGGAGCCTTTAAATTTGAATATCTGACAGTTATGAAAATTTACATTCGAACGTCTCTTGTATTATTTTGCCGCAATCATGGCGTGTTATATAATTTGAGACGTAATTATGTAAGTAAGCAGCCGCTCGACAGCATAATGAGTGACAAAGCAATTCGGGCTCTGATTTTACTTTATCATTTTTTTCCCACCTCTGCTGCGCTGAAGAGAAAATTGGCCTCGCAATTATTTAACCCGTATTGTGCCGATATATTGTTGGCCGCGGCTATTTTTGTGACGGGCCCGAATTAAAAAGAAGGCGCCTCGCCGATAATTCCACTTTGCACCTCGCTGACGAGTTAATTATTTTCAAAATAACATGCACACACACACTTGCTGACGACGTGCAAAAAATCACAGGTTTTTACAACGCAGATGGTGTAGATTCGGAGATAATTCCGAGATGATTGCGAAAAATTTGCAAAATAATGGCAAACAATAACAAACCAATGTAATCATTCTAATTGCAAGGCCTAATTTAAGCTCGTCGAGATTTGCCTGCAATTTTTTTATTTCATACATTTTTTGTCTAAGGTGTTAAAATTTAAATAAGTGTAAATAAATGCAAAAAATTTCAGTGATTTTACAAATAAATTCAGATAAAAAATGCGTGTGCAGGGAGTTTCTCTTAAAAATTGGTATTAATTAGTTATAAAAGAATTAGCAGAAAATTTTCATTTTCCAAACGAAGAAAGTAGTTAAATTTTTTCCATTTAGCTGGGATATTATTAAAATTTCTATCTGTAGCCGATATTATTATTATTTTTCATTATTATTGATAAATAAAATTAAATCAGAGATTTTTTTAAATGAAAATAAAAGCTTATCTGTATCCATTTAAATTTAGAGATTTTTGTAATAAAATTTTTCAAATTTCTGTTTAATTAGGAAGGTTGGGCCATTCATAAGATAAATAATAATACGTAATTACGTCATTACCGCTTTTATGCCATCAAAATAACCGTTTTGCCAATTGGTGACAGGATTATAGTATAGGTGAAATCATTGTAAAGATCCTATTACAAACCTATTTTCCAAAATATTCACGCGCTGTAACCAGATATTCTATAAAATTTATGTGCATAAGACTATGTTCCTCATTTTGCGCGGCCTAGCAATGCATGTAAATATATCAGATCGTCTGATTTGTTAATTAATTACTAATAATTAAATAATTATAAAAATCCAATGCAAATTTAATTATTTGATAATTTAATTTATTGTAGTTTTCTAAATTATTATTAATTTTGTAGAAAAGTACAACAGAGTTTTTTTCCAAGTCAATCAAATAAATTTTTAATAGCCCGGGTAATAATTTATACTGAAATTTTTAATTTTACACCACATCATTTGTCGTTCAATAAAACAGCAAGTTGGAGATTTAATGCGCTTGAAAAATATCAAATTTCTCGTCAAAGGAGTTTAATCT